TATACTTTTGCTGTTTCATAATCGAACACGCACGAGCCCATGCATATTGTGAAATTTTTCTATTTCGCCGAAATATACCATAGCTGATGTATCGATTACTATGTATTCATGTATAGCATAACCAGTGAAATTTAGACTACATGCAGGTATATCTATGCAGTCACTAGTGAACCAAACTCTGTATATAGCAGTTGTCCTGTTTTGATGTTTCTATATATGGGGCTCCTTCGATGAGACGACGGAAAGTACAATTATAATTTACATATCGTTGCCACAAATGTGGTATAACTAGTGCCTAAAATAGACAAAAAGAACTTCTCGACGTTTACTTTAACAAATTCGGATATGAAACCTCTATTTAATACCCGTCCTAGCTGAGACAAATGACGACTCTTTGTTATGAGTTTATGATTTGTCATTCTATTAATGTAATATGATACTATGATACCCGATAATCCATACCTGCATGTGCTCTGATGCACTGCATGGATTAACAGAAAACTTTTTACAATCAACAATTTATTCAAGACATGCCCGTAACAAATGCGGACTATGCTGAAACTTTGTATGTCCCAAATAATCGTCAACTATAGGAAAATATCATATTTTCAAATCGTTTCTATAAAATTATATTGCAAAATGAGACGCACGAGCCATGCATAATATAGTGAACATTTTTCTATTTCGCCGAAACATACCATAGCTGATGTATTGATTACTATGTATTCATGCATAGCATAACCAGTGAAATTTCGACTACTCCTACGGGTCTTTGGAGTCACTAAAGAACCAAACTTTGTATAAAGCAGTTGTTTTGTTTTGCTGTTTGTATGGGGTTGTTTCCATGAGACGACGGAATGTACGATTATAATTATGGCATATCGTCATATCAAATGCGGTATAACTGAGATTCCTCTGAAACAAAATATAATATTTTCAAATCGTTTCTATAAAATTATATTAAAAAATACTCATTTGTGAGCTATTACAGGTCGCGCGGAGTACTTACTATACTCTACCTATATTTAGACGACTAACGTCACGTGTTGCTTTGATATTTGCCAGCCTTCCAAAAGCCCTCCCATTATATTAAACATAGTTGAACGTAGCTACTGTATTTTATACTGCGATCAGATTTGAGGAACTGTTGATGTAAGTTTTCGTTTACTGTTCTACACTGTATTGTATTGTTGATATCTAATATAGTTGTGATATAATATAGTTGTGGAAATATATAGACCTAAATAAGCCAGGGCTTGTTTAAAAAAACGATGCACTTCTTTCTCGCCGTAAGCTATGGCTTTTCTACCTACTTCTGTTAAAAGACCTCGTATACTATTCTAAACAGCAGTTCTAAACGGTAGTTAGATCCGTCTGTCGCTCTCTATACAAAACCAACATTGCCGATTTACCTGCAGGATGTTAACCGATGTATACTTTTGCATAACCAGTATAGCATAACCAGTGAAATTTAGACTACATGCAGGTATATCTATGCAGTCACTAGTGAACCAAACTCTGTATATAGCAGTTGTCCTGTTTTGATGTTTCTATATATGGGGCTCCTTCGATGAGACGACGGAAAGTACAATTATAATTTACATATCGTTGCCACAAATGTGGTATAACTAGTGCCTAAAATAGACAAAAAGAACTTCTCGACGTTTACTTTAACAAATTCGAATACGAAACCTCTATTTAATACCCGTCCTAGCTGAGACAAATGACGACTCTTTGTTATGAGTTTATGATTTGTCATTCTATTAATGTAATATGATACTATGATACCCGATAATCCATACCTGCATGTGCTCTGATGCACTGCATGGATTAACAGAAAACTTTTTACAATCAACAATTTATTCAAGACATGCCCATAACAAATGCGGACTATGATGAAACTTCGTATGTCCCAAATAATCGTCAACTATAGGAAAATATCATATTTTCAAATCGTTTCTATAAAATTATATTGCAAAATGAGACGCACGAGCCATGCATAATATAGTGAACATTTTTCTATTTGGCCGAAACATACCATAGCTGCTGTATTGATTACTATGTATTCATGTATAGCATAACAAGTGAAATTTTGACTACTCCTACGGGTCTTTGGAGTCACTAAAGAACCAAACTTTGTATAAAGCAGTTGCATGTTTTGTTTTGCTGTTTCTATTGGGTTGTTGCCCTGAGACGACGGAATGTACGATTATAATTATGGCATATCGTCATATCAAATGCGGTATAACTGAGATTCCTCTGAAACAAAACCTAAAATATCCGTGAACCATAGGAAAATATAATATTTTCAAATCGTTTCTATAAGCTTATATTACAAAATTACTCATTTGTGAGCTATTACATGCAGGTCACGTGGAGTACTTACTACTCTACCTATATTTAGACGACTAACGTCACGTGTCAGTTTGATATTTGCTAGCCTTCCAAAAACCCTCCCATTATATTAAACATAGTTGAACGTAGCTACTGTATTTTATACGGCGATCAGATTTGAGGAACTGTTGATGTAAGTTTTCGTTTACTGCATGTTGTACATTGTATTGTATTGTTTATATTTAGTAGTTGTGATATAATATAGTTGTGGAAATATATATAGACCTAAATAAGCCAGGGCTTGTTTAAAAAAACTATGCACTTCTTTCTCGCTGTCAGCCATAGCCTTTGTACCTACTTCTTTAAAAAGACCTTGTATACTATTCTAAACAGCAGTTCTAAACGGCAGTTAGTTCCGTCTGTCGCTCTCTATACAAAACCAGCATTGCCGATTTATCGGCGGGATGTTTATTTTAACCTTCTATTATATATAATGTTTTAATAATCGTTTTGCTGTTTCTATGGGGCACTTAGGGCAGCGTACGCGTGTCGCTTTGATGTTTGTCAGCCTTCAAACAAGCCTCCCATTATTAGGGAGATTTATCTGCGGGATGTTTATTTTAACCTGCTATATATGCTGTTTAATAATCGAACACGCACGAGCCCATGCATATAGTGAACATTTTTCTATTTCGCCGAAACCTACCATAGCTGGTGTATTGATCACTATGTATATGAGAAAAGCATAGCTAAGAAGTGAAATTTAGACTAGATAGACAGATAGATAGACAGATAGTTTAATAAAATACCTTCTTGCAGCCAATTGGCTGAGTTGACAGGAATTTCAAAAATTACTGTAAATTGCAGAATAAGTTAAATACAAATTTATTATGAAATTTACAGGTATATCTATGCAGTTACTAGAGATCCAAACTCTGTAGATAGAAGTTGTCCTGTTTTGATGTCTCTATGGGGCACTTAGGGCAGCGTACGCGTGTCGTTTTGATGTTTGTCATCATTCAAAAAACCCTACTATCATTAGAGAGATTTAACACAGAGACATGAACGTCAAAGAGGATGTGAAAATGGGGGATAAATAACGTCATGCGCCTCGCATACATATAACGACGGCAGTGCATCTGTATACTGTCACGATATGCAGATGCACTGCTGTGAGTGCTGTGAGTGCTTCTAATGTTTTGTTTGAACACCTTTACGTTTCAAAACATGCAGCTTTGACTTTTTCTAGCATAAAGTGAACCAGTTTTGTTTGCACTACTGCATGGTTCAATTCTTCTGAACATAATTTAAGAACGTTCCGCTGGTTTTCCACTGGGCTGAATTTTTCGAGCTAACGAAATTTTTCGCTCGACTTTCTTTTTAATTGTGACCAGTGAAAGGAATCCGCTACTAGGGAATTCTCGAAAAGAAAATCGAGCGAAAAATTTCGTTCCATCCAAAAATTCTGCCTTGTGAAAAACCGCCTTTTATCATCTTCCTTTGCAAGAATAGCTCTTGGTCTCCCAGATGTTCATTTAATTGAATACGAACCTGATAAACAACACGTTTCCAACTTTTCCTTTGATACATATACCCTCACCTCAATTTTTTGCTGAGACAACCCATCATTGTTGGCCCTCTCTTGTCCATTGTTCAATTTAAATACGATACGAACTAACCAGAAAGTTGAGAAAACATATGGTAGGCTTAACTATATCATAAAATGCGCAAGTTCAGATCAACATATCCACGGAGATATAAATAAAGAAAAATTATCGACTGAAATCAGACTTTTGACCCCCACTGTAGGGTATATGGACATGCCACGCCATTTATCCCCCATTTTCACTTCGTCTATGCTAAATCTCCCTTAATTGCATGAACGTAGCTACTGTATTTACTGCAATTAAACTTTAGGAACTGTTGACAGTTAATGTCTGGTGTTACGTTTTCGTTTACTGTTCTTCAGTCTAATGTATTGTTAATATTTTTAATAGTTAATTGTGATATAAAAGTAGTTATGCTATGAAAGTTGTATTTTTTTCACTTTCATCTTTTTGTTTTCACCGTTGATCGAATAATAAACATTTACTTAATTATACGTTAAGTCGGTCAAAGCTATACCAAATATAAGTACGAGAATGTCATGACTACATACGGTAAAATCTTTTTATCAAAGAAGGAAGTAGACAATCAGGGTAAAACAGGTAGTCTGTCTGTTTCTTCAAAACTAACGTAGCGGATTTATCAGGGGGTAGTTTATTTTAACCCTTTATATGATTCATTTTATTCATTTGTTATAAGCTTGACAACACGAGATTAAAATGAACTGACAATTTTGTTATATTATCAGTGTATGCTAGACCAGCTTGTAAAGCCCTGTTAAGTGTGATGATTCAACAAGCTTGTTATAGTTTCTACATATTGTAATTGTCGACAGCTCCGCAAACAAGCTGTGTGAGCAACAGAATGTGAGATTTTTCTTGTATCATTAACACTTACGTAGTAATTTTGACGTGTGATTATGAACTAATTAACGTTTTCTACAACATACGTTATAGATTTATTGTCGTGTTGCAGAAAAGTTGAATTTTTTGAGCTTGTGAAGACTTCAGCGTTTATATTTCAGAAGCACAATGGGCAACATATTTCAATTGAACGATAAAAGTGAGAGTGAAGACGGTGAACTTTACGATAATCACGAGCAAGCCTGCAAAAAATTCTTCAATATCCAGAAAAGCTTTCCCTCTACAGCCGCAGCGAAATTGGACGGGCTAAAAGGTAAAAAAGGAGAGGTTTATGATATTACAGGGCTGAATGCACTCAATGTTATTGCAATGATTGCAAGCATCATAAACAACCGCGATAAGTGGAAAACAAACAAAATTTTTTACTTTTTGATTACTAAAAGCAGCAAACTTTTTAAAATAAAAGCACTACCATCAGATGATCAACCAGGAAATGGCTTGGTTTACCCCATGTTTCTTAATAATGGAAAGTACGTTGAAGAAAAGTCGACGCCTGACTATGAGGGTATAACAAAAGAGCTATGTGAAGCAAAAACATCTATTCAAGAGTTCGCCGAAGCCATCCAGAAACTGTTCAAGAACAATCTCTGCTTTACGCATGACGAACCGGCAATTGGGGCGACAGCAAGTCCAGGGAAAACTGATTATGACGATTTGCCACAAAGAATGTCACGAGTTTCGTTGGATCCTTCCAAGAAATTATTGTTTGAAAAAGTATACTTCCTTTTACTGTTTGAAATTGCAAGGCGGCTTTCTGGGAGTAATAATAAGACGGATGAAGGAGAACAGCTAGATAATCTGCCTGTCGGAAGCGCAATTGCAAGGAAAATATTACTCGCCCTGGATGTTAAAAATAAAGAAGACGGAGAGAAGACAGAAATCTTGAAAAAGGAATTAACATCGCTATTTGATTGCTTCAAGTATGATGCGTCAACCAGGAAAGACTATATCAAAGAAATAATCAAATATCCTGCTCCAAATCACCTTTCGTGCGAAGCAGAACTGTCGTATATGTTTCTCTGATCCTAGTCCCGCGTGGACGTCGAATTCAAACTTCCTTTCTTAAAGATCTGAGAAAACTCATGAAAGAACATATTTGCTGGAAGGATGATGAGTACAATTCAATGAATCACTTCATGATGCAGTCCATATAGTGAAAATCAACAGTGTGAAACATTTATAAAATATGCATGCTTTATTTATGTGGTTTCAAAAGGAAGGTTTTCGTTAACATGAACTTGTGAACTTTAAAACTGTTGAACATGGCAGAGAGAATACACAGAATTAAGATGTTTCTCCGAAAACGACACGGGAAAGGTTAGTTCGTGCATTTGAGAAACCTGATGAAGACTACTTGGAAATGGCAGACACGTCCTACCAATGATTCCCATGGCTGTATAACAATTTATACGAACTAACCTTTCTCTGCCTTGTCTTCTTATGACATCGGTCTTCTGCGCATTCTTTCTGCGACGTTTAACAGTTTTAGGTTCACAAGTTCAACACGGTTTAAATACACTCGTATTAACGAAAACCTCCTGTTGGGTGTTGTTTGCTTTTTGTTTATTTCATGTAAATTGCGTATATTCATTTGTTAGTTTGTTAGTTTGTATGCCGCATGATGTAGTTAAAACTGCTATTCCAAAAAGATTGTAGTTAAGACAGCTATTCCAAAACGCTAAACTCGCTGATTATTCCGCATGCCAAACTCAGTGTCTTTTTAGTTATAGCGTTGATCACCTTGTATATTGGCAATAATAATTTATAGTCTTAGTGCATGTTATGCTCAGTATAAGTACTCGTTGATTATCATATCACCTGATCACATGTATCGTAATCCTTAATTAGCTTTCTGTGTTATATACTCGACTATTCGTTCTATATTTAGCTTGTTTAATTGTTATATTCTAATTCGTTCTGATTCTCAATCGATCTACAGTCCGATTCCAGTTGTATCAGTTTATCTACGGACACTCGTATCTACAGGGTGTATCAAAAAAAATGTCCCAAATGTAAAATTTCCGTTTTTCAGGATAATTTGTAGAATTTGGCAAATTTTTGTGTTCCTAGAGATAGTTAAGACTTATCTGGTATACCTAGGCCAAGTTTGGTTTTTCATTAACAAAATTATGTTACCGGGGGGTGGTTCCTTTCCACTGATATTGAGAGGGCTTGCGCGCGAAAATGTGAAGCTGAAATTGAGATATTATTTAGCTGTTTAAAAGTAGAAAAGCTTTTTAATAAACTGTCAAAGTTTCAGGAAAAATAATGCATACTGGGAGCAACGTGCGACCTCTAAAGGTGACAAATATTTCATTGCGCGCAGTGGATTAAATGCATCGTTGATTTTCGCGTGACCGATCTCATACAAGGCTGTGCAAATGAATAAATTAAAGCGAGAAACTGAACACAAAAACAAAGCGATTTATTCGTGATGTTAATCCTCAGCATGTCCACCATTTCATTCTAAGCAAACTGCGGCTCGTCTGAGCATAGTAAACACTGAACAGCGAAGCATTTGTCTGTCCATTCGCCTAGATTTGCCGGTGGTAGCGTAGGCGATTTGCAAGAAAGAATTTCAAACGAAATGGAGAATTTGAGGCAGGACAGACAAATGGTTCGCCGTTCAGTGTTTACCATGCTCAGACGAGCCGCAGTTTGCTTAGACATATCAAACTCTCGCTATACAAATAGTCTATATCGCGTTACAAGCGAGGATACCCCCAGCAGTGCGCAATACAAACTCGTCCAAAATAAGCGCTTTTTCTGTTCGTGTGCCTTAGAAACTGAAGTTATCTTTCACTTACACGCGGATTATTAAATTTAGACCTATGCCACACATTATTTATTGTTTTTGGTAAAGATTCGTCGTATCCCGGAGTCGGACTTTGGGGGTTGAATGTTGCGGGCTATATAAGAAAATTGGTCAAAAATCGCCGTTTAGAGCGGAAGTTGCGGGAAAACTCCTCGTACTGCTTCCACTATACAATATTTCTTTTCCTTACATTCGGAATTGAAATCTACATGTTTTGGCGCGTATTTTGATATGAATTTCGTACATATTCAACGTGAATTAGCTTCGGACCGATGGCCATGAACTGTAGGTATTTTGCGACATTGGTCGGCATTTACATATGTTGTTCACACATTGATTAATGCAGTCTCTGCTGTTGGTGATGTGAACACAATCGGAATGGAGGCCCGCCGTTTACTTACGAGATAAGCAGGCAAGGGAATTTTATATTTTCACCTTGTATGCTTTAATATAGTACTGTATAATACCACAGTTGTGTATATTTTGACAAATTTTAAGCCTGACAAATGCTGTCTAAATATACACTGTAAATAGCGTTGGCAATAGCCTACGCTGCTACAGTGATTTTCTTATTGATATATTGTGTATATTATATATAATATGCTGGAATAAGGGACATTAATATCGTTCACATCGGCTATACCTGCGCGTGTAAGAGCGAATTTTAATCAAAAGGTTTTATTGTTGTTTATATTATCGGCTCTATCGTCTATGTTGAAGCGGCGGCCAAAACACGAGGCTTTTCATGCTGAAGAAACGGGAAATATATTATCTTTGCCATAGCCTATAGGGTCGCCATTCATCAAAACGCGAATCGTATCCTTTAAAATGCGTACGAACACGTTTATTTTTTTGATCAACCTCTTTAATCTCAACCTCGTAGAGGTTATTGTCTTTCGCCTCCCGTTTAAATGATTTTTTCCACATCGAACCGCAAATTCGTGGACAAAACGTTGAGGTTTGCATAATGTGCGCTTTGGTCTAGACACCATATTGTTTTACAAGGCGCGCATTTTGTAACAGAAAAAAACTGGACACTAGTTTGAGCAAATGTTCATCTCAATAGGGAAAGAGTTTGATATGAAGAAATGGTCAAAATGTTGAGGATTAACATCACGAATAAAAATCTTGTTATTAAATCGCTTAGTCTTTCTGTTCAGTTTCTCGCTTTAATTTATTCATTTGCACAGCCTTGTATGAGATCGGTCACGCGAAAATCAACGATGCATTTAATCCACTGCGCGCAATGAAATATTTGTCACCTTTAGGGGTCGCGCGTTGCTCCCAGTATGCATTATTTTTCCTGAAACTTTGACAGTTTATTAAAAAGCTTTCCTACTTTTAGACAGCTAAATAATATCTCAATTTCAGCTTCACATTTTCGCGCGCAAGCCCTCTCAATATCAGTAGAAAGGAACCACCCCCCCCGGTAGCATAATTTTGTTAATGAAAAACCAAACTTGGCCTACAATCTCGTGCAAAAATGTTTGAGACAAGCTATTTATTGAAGTATTTATCCTATAAAAAGTAGTTTTTGCCCCCCTCATCCCCAAAACAATGTTGTTTCAACATGTTTTGAAGTAAGGGGATATTCAACAACACATTTACAACATTGTTTTGGGGGGGAGGGGGCGCCAGTCGGAAAACGTTTGTAAAAATGTAAAGTGTCTCATTATTTTTGCACGAGATTGTAGGTATACCAGATAAGTCTTAACTATCTCAAGGAACACAAAAATTTGCCAAATTCTGCAAAATATCCTGAAAAACGAAAATTCTACATTTGGGACATTTTTTTTTATACACCCTGTAGTTCACTGCTGCATGTGTTATCCCAGCGAGAGTTCGTGGTTGTCAGTCATACCTGTAGTATCGTTGATATATTATATATATATATATATATTATAATATATATATATATATATATATATATATATTAATATATATATTAAAAATCGTCAGAACATTAATCTCCGAATCGTCTGTCGAGTTCATTTTGTTATTCATGCACCCGTCTAGTTTCGCTTGGATTATCGTTATGGTATTCAAATTCTGTTCGAAAGCCTGTATAGGACTCATTTGACGATATTTCAAAGGCCTATACAAGAATTAACCTATATAAGCTGATTTGACGCTACCATAGCAATATTGAAACAAGCCTCCTTAACATGGAAACGATTTGATATGTTACATCATCGTTTTTCAAATTTACCCTCCAAAGCCGTCCACACGTATCCGCGCTCAGCCGTCGTTTTCAAATTCTTCAACTCTGAAGAGCGTTTTCAGATTCTTCCGTTTTCAGTGGGCGAAAACGCCCACGAATTCAACAGATTCAATTTTTTTGTGTGTTTTCACCAGATGTTCAAATCGGGGAAAATCCAGATGTTTGATCATGGTTGAATATATAAAATTATAGGTCAGATTAGTTTTAGTCCGTATGACTCGGACCGCATTAAAGATATCGCGTTTAAAAAAAGCTGGCAAAAGATTGTTTAACGATAAAATTAAAATCTATATACAGTATACAAGGGTTAAAATTGGCTCTTTCTTGGCTTAGTAAAATTACAAAGGTTAATTAGGCCAAAATGAGTTCTGGAACATTTTAGCTCCAAAAAAGCGCTAAGCTTTAAACCGTACACACCATGGTTTGATAAGGATACTGGGGCTTGATGTTTAATGATAATATGGGACCTTTTTGCGACTGATTTAACCACTTATGAACTTAACATGCACGTGCCCTAGTCAAGCCGGAAGGGAGTGAGACCGTTGCGACTGATTCACACCCAACATTTTTGAAATCAAATCTCTAATTGCGTTTTCCTCCGCCGACAAGGACTGCATGGCTCTCCAATTTGAGGAAATTAAATGTGCATGTCCACGCTGATCTTTATGTTAGAACTGAATAGTTATAACACATTCACTGTATCTTTTTTTTCGTTCTTTCTCTCAAAGCGTCAACTGCTTGTTATGTTCCAATTCGACTTCCACGGTTTGCTCTTTCTATATGGTATTGAGCACTATCTAGTATTTCCTAAACCGAACCACCCACGAGCCTTTTCCTGTATTATAGCTTTTTTTGACACAAACCTTTTCATGCAGAAATAAATACACTCTAAATACATTCTTGACTTTACCAGAATGCATTTTATGGACATGTTTTCGGAAATGCGAAGTAAGACGGTTCTTTGCTAGGAAAAAGCGTAGAGTCTAGCGTGATAATATAGGACTTTAAACTTCACTGAGAAATGTGAACACGGACCATGGCCAGAGTTGGTAGATATGCAAATATTTGAGGCCAAATTGTCATTAGTGCTATGAAGAAAACAAAGAAAACAAAAGGCAAAGACAAAGGAAACAAAGAACTAGTGTGATGTTGATTGGCCTCAATTATGCAGCTATCTACCAACCCTGAACATGGCGTATAGTTATTCGACCGTGACTTCTCAATAATTTTTATCGCAGAAACATAAATTTTACATCAAATATATATTTTCCAACTTTTCACAAATAAGAGGAAGAAAAATGAAATAAATTTTCAAAACGTTACACGAAAGAGTTTGAAAAAAACTAAATTTTTACCTGAGTTCGTGTCGACCTTTTCCATATTTCCCTTGACGAAAGCAGCCGAAAAGATTAATAAAAACACCACAAAAACACCTCAATTGAAAGGCAAAACTCCCTAACTTGATAACTATGATAACAAAGATGAAACCAAGCTTAAAGGTATCAAAAAAAAACGACGAATAGGCTGGAATAGCTTTGACTTTGTACTCCAAAAAATATAAATATTGCTTTTTACCTAATAAGCCTCGTTTTCGTGTTTTAACCCTCCTAACTATCCTCTTTAATTTTTCCTTGGCCGATGAATTTACCCATGTATAATTTTTGAAGATTTAGTACTGTATAGCCTTATGACCATACTGTTTTCAAAACCAGAAATGATCTGTACCCAATTAGTACGCTAATTGCACAAGCAATTGTTTACGCTTGATTAAATGCGTACGTCATAAATAAGCTGATTATTGTTGGGAAATTTTGATAATGTCAGATATGGGCGCGTGTCTTGTTGTTTCCGGAAGAACGATGAAGTTCACGAGCCGGTCAATCAAGATGTTGTCGAAAATCAAAATCGGAAAAAAAGTAAAGGCAAGAGATACTTGCGCGATCAAAGTTGCAAAGCTTCATGAAAGGAGCCAAGTATAATTCACACTTACCACCATTTGCAAGCGACAGGCGAGCCAAATATAAACACTGAAACGTATAAACTAATTAGTTTAAACGGGAGTTGACTGACCTAAGTTGTTGACATTCATATTGTAAAAGCTATAGAACCAATTCGAGTATATTGAGAAATGTGCCGTTACGTTTGTTCAAAGTGTGTGCGTGACATATCAAGCGTTTTCAACTCAAAGTTTAAAAAAATTATACCTTTCAGTGTGTATTTAACTTCAGCTGCTTCCCACTTACGCGTTTTCCATACGCATGCACGTTTGGCAAAACTCAAAGGCAGGCATTTGGAATAAGTGGCAACTCAGACACGAAAGGAAAATCTTTCTATAAACAGGAGGCGACGACCAATCATTGCAAGTGTGAGCTTCAAAATCTGTTGGTCGAAAAACTTGCGACAGACGCTGGCAACAAAGACGAGCCAACAAAATACAACTCCGTTGGCGAGAAACCAATCCCGGTCAAGAACAAAAGCGAAGCTTCGAATGCACAAGCAAAAGACAAAATACCTGAAGTTGACGCACCTGCTGAAGCCCTTCCTGTTGACGTTGTTAAAAAATCTGAGAAAGAAGCGAGCGGCGTTGCCATGGAAGCAGCCGTCGAAACCGAAGCTAAAGAACCCGACGTCACTTACGAGATAAAGGTTGACGTCACCAGCAAGTCCAAAGCCCAAACGAGAGAACCGAGGATCAAAGGATCAAACCAGTCGCAGGAGAGTAATAATTCCGAAAAAAGCGAAAAGGACGACGACGAGGATAAAATGCCATGGACTGACATGTTCTCGCAGCCATTGGTGGCTCAACTCAGTGAAGTAGTCCGCGTTGCAATGATAGTTCGGATACCGGAGAAAGAAGTCGCCTCTGAAGTAGGGATCAACGATGTCGACATAACTGGAAAAGACGATCCGAAAATCAACGGATCGCATCTCGAATGTGAGGAAACTAAAAGACGCTGGATGATAAATCTGCCATGTGAAAACGAAATTTAAGAGAAGCTGGTTTCGTTGCTACGTTGTACAGGGGTGTCGGCATGTTTCAGACTGAGAAAGAATTGGAAAATACACAATGTTCATGGAGATGGTGCCTGCCTTTTCAGAGCAATTTCACACCAGCGTTGCGATACAGAAGACAATCACAGAGAATTTCGTGGGATAAATTATATACGGAGAAATCGGGGAAAAGGTAAAAGCAAGAAGTGTTTGTACGAACACATTCGAAAAGCTTCATGAAAATATAGACCTTTAAACTCAAAACTGTCAGTTGAAAAATCTACGGCAGACGCTGGTAACAAACGAGCCAACGAAAAGCAACACTAGTGGCGAGCAGCCAATCTTGCGCACTCATTGCGATGGCTCTTGACCATCATGGGCAAGAGCCAATCTATATCAAACGAGATGTGGAAGAGCCAAACCAGGTCAAGATGAATGGACAAGGGGAAATCAAAACCGAGGTGGATGGGCAGGAAACAATCAAAGTCGAGATGGATGGAAAATAGCCAAACAAAATAAAACGGGATGGGAAAGAGCCAATTAAAATCAGGATGGATAGGCAAGAGCCACTCGAAGTGAAGGTGGATCGATGGCCAAGAACTAAACGAAATGAAATATGATGTGTAAGAGTCAATGAAAATCAAGATGGATGGGCAAAAGACAACTCCAATCAAAATGGATTGCCAAGAGCTAATCGTGAACAAGACCAGCGACAAGCACTTAAATGTTGTGGCCGCAAAAACAGCAGTACTGCCAACTGATGATAAAGCAAACGACGCACAGTTCCTAGTTGGTGTTGCAAATAAATACGAAGGCAAAGCTTCGAATCGAATGCACGAAACTAAGGCGTTCAAATTGAACAAGAAGACAAAGCTGAAATGGCCGTCACCAAAGAAGCTGACGTCCCTGATGGTGAGATAAAACTTGACGTCACTAACGAAGTTCAAAGCTGAAACGAGACAAACGAAGGCGAAGTATCAAACCAGTCGCAGAAGAATTTTAATGACGACCAGAGTATAGAAGACGACGACGAGGATGAAATGCCATGGACTGACATGTCGTTCTCGCAGTCATTGGTGGCTCAACTCAGTTATGTAGTCCGTGTTGGAGTGATAGCTGGCGTACCGGAGAAAAAAGTCGCCGCTGAAGCAGGCGGCAACGATGTCGACAGGACTGGAAAAGACGGCGACAAAACCGACGATACAGGTTAACCAAGAAAGCGAATTACTGTCCGGATTTCTTATCGCATTGAAGAAAAGACTCAAACGAGGAAGTCAGGCATGGAATAACCAAGCATCGCGAATTTTATATAATTATTTTTACTTTAGTCGAGCGGGAAACGGACGTGAATGAAAGCATTCCATCGATATTGGAAGTAAATAAAAAAAGCGAGGCTATCCTCAAATGTAACGTTATTGTATATATGTAAATACGGAATCACCTATTCTACTGCATGCATCTTACTGTATATTTGAAATCAATAAACGATAACTGAAAAACATCGATTGGTGCCACTTTGCTCGGGGCTGTACAAGAATTTGAAGAATAGGAACTTGATGAGTCACCAAACAGAGATTTGCCGTTTTTCAGTGAAAATCATGAAATAAGAGTACAAAATGCAACAAAAATAATGATACAGGCAGAATGTGATACAAATCGCCATCTTGAATTGAACTCCAGGCAAACAGGGATAGCATAAAAAGCTTTGGGCGTCTTGCGAACATTCGAGTCGTGACTTCACGACATCCGAGTCGTGACTTCACGACTTCATCCCAATCATCTATTTTACGAATTTGATGGCATAAAAGGATTTTGCTTCGCCAACCTCAAATATGCATAACAAACTTTGAAACAACCGGTCAAAGCAGTTCTCGGACGAACAAGAATACCTGAATTGACTTTCAAAGAAATCCAAATCAAACCACGATTTAGTTAAACTCATCAAATTCATCACTAAACCAAAACCAAATTCTATCAGACCCTGAAATTACTATTGCCGAACAAAAGGTTACAAGGGTTGATAACAAAAAATTCTTAGGCGTAATTGTTGACAAAAACCTTAAATGGCATGACCATATTGATGCGCAATGCAAAAAAATTTCTAAAAATATAGCTTTACTGAGGAGAGCAAAAAACTACATGACTGACAACGCCCTTAAGACGATGTATAACTCCCTAGTTTTACCCCATTTTACTTATTGTTCGACAGTGTGGCACCACGGAAACACCACACATATTGACAAACTCCAAAAACTACAAAAAAGAGCCGCTAGGGTTATCACAAATTCAAATTTTGACATTAGAAGTGCAGAGATTTTTAAAACACTACAATGGGAACCAATCGGACACATCCTAAAACGACGCGATGAACAATTAACATTTAAGGCAATACGAGGAATGACACCAACATATTTAACTGAACTGTTTAGTACCTGTCAAAATACTTGCTATACTCTGAGAAGCAACGATCGGAAACTCACTTTACCAAAGCCAAACACTAACTTTCTTAAAAATAGTTTCTCGTATCGCGGAGCAGTAGCTTGGAATAATCTTCCTCGTGAAATTCTTGACAATTATGAGTCTCTTTCATTGAATTCATTCAAACAATTAAGTCAGAGACACGAAATGAAAAACTCCGAACAACCGTGCAAAATTTATTTGTAACGCGGAGACATATTGTAGCATTTTGGCTGTTGTCACTTTGTATATAATGCATGAATATATATATATTAGCTTGATTGAATTTTTAGATTTTTATTGCATGCGTGTGGAGCACGGCCCTTTGAAAAACAGGTCACTGAAAGGCTACCGTGCATAAATATGTTTAAATAATAATAATAATAATAATAATAATAATAATAATAATAATAATAATAATAATAATAATAATAATAATATATAATAATATATAATAATAATAATAATAATATAATAATAATATAATAATAATAATAATAATAATAATAATAATAATAATAATAATAATAATAATAATAATAATAATAATAATAATAATAATAATAATAATACTATTTGTGTTTAAAAAAACGTCGCAAAAATCGTGAAAAAGCACGGACAAATGCGCATAAGCATCCTAGCATATAGCCTATCTAGGAAATATAGCCTATATATATATATAGGCTGTCCTACAAGGAGCAGATGATGCATGGGTACTATGTTGAAACATGTGACCATTTTTATATGATGATAAATAGGATAGACTGTGTTGCCGATAGACTACGCTTACTGCGCTAAGGAATACTGAGCTCATTATTTCCGAGGCTGTACATGAAAAGCTTTGATGTAGAAACTTTACTGGGGAAATAAAAGCTGATTGTTTAATAGTATACCACAGTTTACATTTTACTTTGCGACATATTGAGATACGTTAGAAACATTATAACCCCCAACAAACATTATTGTGATAGTAACTTGAACATTTTTCTAAAAACGTTCATCTAATCAACGCCATACAAAAGTAAATTGTTCAGTCCATAAAAATTAGAGGCAACAAGAACATTTAATTTCCCGACGCATTTTTCCGTTCGAGCCTATTCGAGTTTTTCAGCAGACCTGCGATGTCTTCATAAATCAAGCTCGGCGCATCCATTCCCCAAATGAAATCAAGATGGTCCCATGATACAAGATCTTTGCTGAAAACCACCGTCTTGAGTTTAGCTTTGAGTTTGGAAACATCTTTGGGAGTCGCCAGCCAGTCCTTGTCAGCGGAGAACAGCGCCACTGGAACTCGGATTTTGGAAACGTCGTACAGTTTGGGCGTAGACTAAAAAATTACAAATTTGATAATTGATACACGTCGGCAAAGTCCCAAATTTGGATTTCGAAGACAGTCAGTAACGACTGTACGTAGTTCAATTGTTTATGTTTGATGCGATATGTTTCAGGTCAGCTAATCTACAAAGATGGCAACAGGAACTTATTTTCCTCATTCTTATATTGCCTCAATTCTATTTTCATACATATTCTATAATGCAGTATACTTCGATTTCCATTCATATATACGGACTATAGAACTGACCTGACCATAATGCATTCGATTTTTATATCTCCAACCATAGTCGTACATCTGGAATTTTCCCGATTTGTACATCTGGTAAAAAGTAAAAAAAGGTTGTATATCTGTTATTTCCTCTGCAAAATTGTGGTGTAACTTTAGTTCGTTGATCTTAGGTGATCTTCAAAAACAAGTGTATAATATTCAATGGATTCAAATGTTTCCATTCAGAAACCATACTTACGTTTCTTATATATTTGTAATACATGCATATATTTAAGATGGATCCAATGAAAGGTCGTAAAAAGGAGCATGGCAATTTCTGACGTTCCAGAGCTCACAAAACTCACAAAATTTCGCATCAAATGTTATCACACTAATTTAAACCTCGTTATTTTCTTGGGGAATTATGTCCCTTTTGCACAATAATCAGTTAGTGGACCCTCACAAATTGCATTTGCACTCGTACTTCCAGCTTTTTTTTCACGCATTGACGGGATTGAAAATATTTATCATTGTTGCAGAATTTGCAGACATGCAGTGCATAGTATCAGGATGCGCATCTTAATACCCAATACTCATATACACAGATCAAACGATAGGGTAACTTCCCCATTTTACCTGAGCAAAATGCGCCACATCCTTGACTGACGTTCCCGCTGGGGTGTGAGCCACGTACACAGGTAATCGTGTCTATGTACAGAGAGACCAAATACATTAATTGCTCTGTGCAATACTGAATACTATATCTATACCTATATAACTATTGTTACTTTGTCCTGATTTGGGTGGGTCTATGAAACTGCCACATTTCGAGCACAAGTGTAGAGAGTATGGTAGTGAATAAAAAAGCAATTTCACCTGATATAGGAACTAATTATACACCGTACTGTGCAAAAAGTTTTAGATGAATCCCTAATGATCACAACTTTGTGAAAATGTTGTGTTTTTTAACCTGTCATATTTTCACGCGTAGGGTATATGTAAAATATAGATATATTGGGGTCGTCTTTACATGCACACATTTTGTATTGAATTATGTCCACGTCCGCGTGCAAGTCCAAATCTAAGCACTATTTGCACATGCATATCTTGTTCGGAACCTTATAAAAGGCACTGAACGTTAAACGTCGATTGCATGGGCAAAAAATAAAAATATATACCATATTGAGCTGTTTCTTATCGTAGCCACACAGCAAAAACATGATGTTTGAGCACCATGCACTACCCACGTCATCTTCACAGACGTAACGACCAAGCGACCGAGTAACGAATGTCGAAGGCAGAAAATCACGAACGCCAAATAGCCAGGACAACCACTGCACGGAAGAATAAATATAATAATCTCAGATACCATGTTCTGACAGTATGGCATATATAATATAATATATATATATATATACTCGTAAGCTTTTAAAAACTGTAATTCGGCTTTGCTTTTCAATGACGTTAATTGAGACAATTCATACCAATTTATGAAATGAATCAACAGGGAACCAAAAAAAATTTACCGCGTTGTTTTAAATTTTCGTGTTCACAAAGTGCGAATTTTCCTGCGATTTTAGATCCTCTTACCTTCTCTTGACGGATGCAAACGAGCAAATAGTTATGAACGCTCCGAGTATGTAGGTGCCCTTATTAGAACATTCATGCTATATTCGTGAGATTCTGAACTGCATGCTGTATAATAATACTTCCAGTAACAAATTGGATGTACACTGTAAAAACTGTGTAAACTACCCTTATATAAGAGTCCAAGTTTTGGGGTTTAGACATGCGCATATGTGACGGTTTGTCTGGCGATGCTCGTGCTCACCTGTATTCCTCCACTCAGGTACGACATGTATCGAATGGGGCTTTTCATATTGCCGACGGTGGCGACCGGGGCCAGGGCGATAAATAAATTGATTTTGGCAGCCAATGTTTGGTTTCTCGAGAAAGCTGCAAACCCGATGGTTGTGCCTTGGGAATGGCCAATGTACGCGATAGTTCTTTGCTGCGAACGAGCCATGGCGAATTCAAGCGAAGCCGGAAGATCGTACTTTGCAAACTCATCGAAACTACAAGAAAAGAAGTTTATATCTTCTCAGTATTTTCAAGTGTTATAGATCTTTCAGCCTGATCATATATTTTCGCCTCCAACGACCCCGTTCTCGCATAGTATGTTTGCTATGTTGTTCGTGATTACGCTTCAATGAAGCAAATTAGTTCTAAAGTTCATGCGCCTATAGGGTTATGGTTCTTTAGTTGATAACGTGATTCTAAAAGCGGGGATGGACGGATATTCGCGATACATATAATATTACGTTGAAATTAGGCAAGAATGACCTTTACTAGAAGCCCAACATCATCAAGTATATACATATATGTACATATATATATGTATTACACCATACCTGAATAACACATAACCTAAATTGTTTCTAACAAAATTGAGTCTATATGAATAAGAACTTCTCTGACTTATCGAAAAGAATTCATGGATTTTTAGTGAATACTTAACTCTTACAAATCAAAATTAGGGATTTTATGGATTTAAAGGACCGGTAGCGCCATGTTTCCATGCATGAACCGGATAGTTTGTCAGATTGATATTAGTCATATTACTTACCTGAAATCCCAGAACTCGTCGGTGTCTGTTGACAGGCGTTCGTGCTTCAGGCCATACGTGTTTCCACGGGAATTTCCGAGCCAAACATCGAATCCCTTGTCAGCCAGAATGAAGGCGAGACTCTGATGTGGAAGGTTGGTGACCCACTGGCTGGAGGATCCCAGAAGTCCGTGTTGAAGAAAGACGACTGGTCGCTTGGTGCCAGTCGCTTGGTCGTTTCGACCGCGCGGAACTCGTTGCACCGTGAGGATATAGCCATCGGAGGTTGCGACATCGTATTCTTCAGCCGGGTACCCCCAGTGTTGGATGATTTGAGCCTATTTTGAAAAAGATAAGTAGAGGGTACTATAAAAGACGACGTGTATTTTAATATCCAAGTATTTCATTCTAGAAGCCTAATCGCCATCAAACTCATTGAATGAAAAATCCTCAATCAGCTTGTGACTATTTTATCACAGTATTTTCAACGCTCTTTTATTGATCAGCAGGAATACAATTTGAAATTTCTCACTCAATAACTATGTGTGCGGATATTTTGATGTCATCTGAGCACAAATAAGAAAAAGACTCGTGACATTACCAAACCAAATGAAACGTGGATCATCACGTAATTTTTATGAACTCGCTGCAACAGAAATCCGGTTAGGCTTAGGGTGTTTACAAGGTGTTCACAAATGTAAGCCAGGAATCTGAAGAATAAATTTGGTTCCAACAGGTTAATGTTTTAATTAGAAACGTGATACAGGAAGTTGACGACAGCTCTCTTTTTTAGAGGGGTATACGGTTGCCAGCGAAGGTCATTTATGTGGTCTGATTGTCTCGTTTAAAAAAGACGATGTAATCTTCAAGATCGAAATTTTCCTACCATTTGTCAGGTAGCCCATTTATCACTTCAACCTACTATGCACTCGGACCCGCTGAAGTTTGGTTTGGTGCCCGGTCGAGCAGTTTAGAAAAGCCCGTTGAATGACTGCGGGCAATTTCCAGAGACGAATTCTCATCCTTAAGGATTTTCGTTTGTTGCGCAAATTTAATTAATCCCGCAGCACAATCTGGTATTCAACGCAAGCTTGTTTGTTGCTGCGCGCTCGTATTCAAAGGATATTTATATGTATTCACTTACCACATTCATGTTGATTTCAGGGTCCTCAGCAAAACCTCTCGCCACTAAACAAAGTGAGAAAACGATATACCTCGTTGTGAGCATATTGCTGTTCGGAGTTGAGGTCGGCGTAACTTTCAATATGTTTTAATATACGCTTAGTTTTGCTCTGCGCCTTTCGTATGATCTGCCACAGCTGACTGGGAAGTGGAAGCAGCGCAAAAATATTTCGATATAACGCGATCGCCTTGAAGCATCGTGCAACCGGATGCGTAAGTTCCTTAGGGGACGTTTGTCATTCCATAGATTTCCCAACGAACGAACACGCATTTACGTTATTACGTATGTTTGTCCAATAGGGCAATACACTAAAAATCACGATTTATCCATTTTAAATACTTTCATAGGATGCAATCTTAAATATCTCCCTAAAACCCTGAACCTGGATATTTTTGCTAAGGTGGTCCACAACAAAAAAATCATAATTTATCCTGTTTTAAAAATTTCAAAGGATGCGAACTTAAATGTATACCTAAAGGCGGATTTCCACTTACAGCGAAATCGTTCGCTAGCGAAAGATTAGCATATTTTCTTTTGAATTGAGAACAGTCAAGTCGAACTAATTTATTTATGCTGTTAAAATTCAAAAGAAAATATGAAAATATTTCGCTAGCGAACGATTTCGCTGTAAGTGGAAATCCGCCTTAAGCGATCGTGAATATTTTCCCCCCAAAAAATATACAAAGAACGCAAGAATTAAACAAAACGTTTTATTAATTAGGGTTTTGTCCCGAGCATACAAGCTGGAGAGGGGTCGATTGGCTTATCAGTCTATTGTTTCATTGTTCTATTGTATTGCTCTGTATAATTTATGAATATATTCAAAACATTTTTCGTCGCTTTTCCTAGCAAACGAAAATTCTCATTCCCTTTAATTTCATGCTTGACTTCAAAGACATTTTTCTCGTAGGTGAACCTAAAAAGAGTTGTATTCCGTTCAGTATAAGTGAAATAGCGGCTGTTTGTGTCAGATAGATCGTAAAAGCTTTATATTCATAGCCTGAAAAACGTCGTTTGAGCGTTAAAACGTGGTTAGTTATCGTGCTTACAAAAATCTCTATTTTCTATCATTGGGTGTGTCTGGTGTGTTCGTATTAAACTATGGTGACTGCACATTCAGAATGGCTGGCTTAGTGATGTATGGTAAGAAAAAAATCTTTAGACTGTCAGATCCCCTACCAGGTTACTTTACAACGGACAAGAAAGTGTAATAAACACAAAATTTACATTCTTACAAAGTTATGTCTAAAAAGTACAATTGTATTCTAAGCTGCATAAAAAATTCGGCACCGCGTAACAGGAAGTTTTAGTACACAAGACTGATAAGAGGCGGCCATTTTAACCCAATGCGCCCACTACACCCAATTTATTAGCACGACAGGGCTAAAATGGGTACCCGTACCAGTTTCATGACTTTCATCCATTCTCGCCTTCTTGGCCTTTGCATTGTTAACATTAAAGGTGGCTGATGTTATAGAATATTTCAATGTGTGGCAATCAACAAGGACTATTTCTCATCGGTGAAAATGATCTGTCACCACTAAGTCCACTATTACGATCAAGTGGAAACCAAGCTTTACACAGGCTTTTTCTGCAGTGAATTCCTGGTTTTGAGGATGTACGCTTAAATTCGCGTCAGCCAATTGGTAATTGAATCCGGCAAGCGCGACCAGCGATTGTCACCTCCAATGTCCTTGACATTGGGATTGGGATGTGTTTTCTTGGGTCGTTTTTCTGATATCATATCATCGTCAGTGGCTCGCATTTCGCGTCAAAATAAACGTTATCGGATAATGCGTATATAAAATAGATATGAGGCATACGTTTTATGATATAACTTGGGAAGAATAGAGAGAGAAAACCGCATCCGCAGGTAGTAAGATGTTTGTGGTTATTTCATTAACGATTTTGCGTGATTCCTGGGCTTGCATACCGGTGTGCATGCCTCAAGGATCACCGCGCGCTCATTTATTGAAGACCGAGATCAAATTAAGTATGTATTATGTATTTTTAAAATAAGGGCGCTTTCCTTTATACGGTAAAAATAGCCTTAAGGCTGAATTCCCAATTGAGGCAATGCATTGTAAAACACCGGTTGGTTTCAGATTGGAGCACCAGAAATCTCTAAAAGATCTGTCATCTGCTTTAACACGGGCTTTTAAAAGTCAAATTGCGAGCGAACGTACAAACCCAAATTGACTGTCACTGAATGAATGCAATTTACTACACGATTTAAGCTAAACCGCTTAATATTCTTGCAGTGTTGCATAGTGAATTTAGGGGCTTCTCACAAATACGCTGAGCGCGGCTCTGAGAGGCGAGGGTGTTTGAAAGAGATTCACAGGGAGTGAGGGGGTGTCACTGGTGACGTCGCAAAATATGGTGTGCATATAGTCAACTGTGCCTTGAAGACGATAAGCTATCCTGCCTAGTCTACTTAGAAATATTAAGGTGGTCCATTATCATATTATGACAATTTATCCTGTTTTAAGAAATTTGAGGGATACATCCCAAATTGATCCTGAATGTTTTTCTCTGAGAAATATACAAAGAACGCGAAAAATGAACGAAAAGTTTTATTAATTGGGGTTTATCCCAAAAAATAATAAAGGTTAACTGGGATAATATTCAGTTACTTCATGGACATTTGTCACCTAGTCGGAACACTAAAATAATTGTATTTTATTGGCCTAAGTAAAATGGTGACAGTTATTTTAGAAAGATCGTAAAAGGTTTACTTTATAGCTTGCAAAACGTTTCTTATTGCACCAGTTTTATCTGTTTTAGGTTGAATTTCAAGGCAAAAATGTTTACGCTTAATAAAAGCATGCAAAAATCAAAATTCCATCGTTACAGCATTATAAACTTGGTTAGGTATTTTGTTTATCGGGTTGATGTCGTCTATTTGCTATCACTGGGTGTGTTTGATGTTTGTAACAAACCGAATAAAGTTTTATCCCGAATAAAGCTCTGTTATGGCCGGGGCAATACCTTCACTTTTATTAGTATGCAATGCCACATTCAGTGTCATTCCCGTTGTATTCAAGCACTTTTGAGTCAGTGATTTGAGTTCATCTGTGATTTGAGTTCAACCTTCTATCCACCGCCCGCGATCTAGTTTTAAGCCTGGTTGACACGAGTGAAATAAGCACAAGCGTAATGAAAGACAAAAGGCCGAAAACAAAGAAATGCAATGAATGAAGCGTACGACGTAAGCATCGACATAACACAAGCATAACTTCATAGGCACAAAAGTCAAAAGTGACAAGACTCGAAGCATAAGCGAAGCTGGAACGAAAGACATTTAAAAATAAAATTCCTTTGGCTTTGTCTTTTTTACCCATTAGGGGAAAAGATTTCTTTTGCATTTCTGCTTATGCCTATTTCACTCGTGACTCGTGTGAACCCTGCCAGACTTTACCTCCGTTATGTCTACGGCTCGCTCTGCCCCTTGTACGAACAGACCAGAACTAGTCAGAACCACAGTTATGGAACTCGCGGCGGAACCCTTTGATGTTGCTTTCCCCCTGCCTAGGCCATTCCACGCGCCACGCAAATTGCTTTATGGCAAGTGTATTTTGACTCTAAAGTAAGGGAAAAAGGTGTTCGAAAGACGAAAAATGTTAATATTTTAAAGCTGGCTCTATCGATTTTCATTTTTGCGCCTGAATTTTAAGAAGAAACGGTAAATGGTTGTGTTTTTGTAAAAAAATATATGCGTTAGGTTAAAGAGGTAAGAAATACAAGCACGAATGATTTTCTTTATAATTTGAAGCTGATTGCCAACATCGTCGCCGATTATAAATTAGGCAGTTATTTTTCCATCCAGAAAACATCTGAGCTGATCTTAAAACAAGCATGATTGATGTGTTATTTCTACAATTCATGATCAAACACACGAAAAAATTTCTTTGAAAATAATTTATTTTGCCCTAAAACTAGCAAAAACTACATGTTTTTTATTCGAATCTTGAACTTGAATTCAAAGGATTTACAATAAACAAATGCAACTTTTACCTTTATGTAAAATTACATGAGTATAAATCTAACTTCACACACAAATGGCAAATGCTAACAGATATTAATTTCAGTTCATACATGATTGTAATATTCATGAAGGCAGTGGCGTAACGGACGTAAGGTAGGGTGAGGATAAGAACTAAGGGCCCCCGCCTGTTGGTGGCCTCAGAGGTCCCCCATTGATTGCCGTTTATCACCACGATTCTTAAAGAAAAACGTCGTGTCAGTGTATCGCATAAAAAAGTCAGGTTAAAAACAAATTGTTATGCCAAAGATAGGCCTAGTGTATGAGGTATATTGCCAAGGAAAATGCAGCATTAATGATGGTAGATTACATAATACCGGGTGTCCCAAAAAAAACTTTACCTCTTTGTCTTAATATAACTCAAAAACGAATAAAAGTCATTAAATTGAAATAAACTCCACTGCATGCAAGCAGGGCTAACTTAGATTTTGATATATAACACTAAATTATTGATGCGATATTTACGGAGATACAAGCATTTGATGTCGCAAGGTACTTTCAAAATCTGTGCAAAATTGACAAAAATCGGCTATTAAATTAATTCGAAACTAATACTTTAACTTTTACGTTTTTAACTTTAGTGATTTTAACTTTAAATGTACGCTTTTCCATTGCAAACTTACTCTTATATGAGAGCGAACAATTAAAGTTAAAATCGCTGAAGTTAAAAACTTACCACGGGAAGTGGCATGCAAGTATTTTCGAATTAATTTAATAGCCGATTTTTGTCAATTTTTCACGCATTTTGAAAGTACCTTGCGACATCAAATGCTTGTATCTCCGTAAATATCACATCAATAATTTAATGTTATATATCAAAATCTAAGTTAGCCCTGCTTGTATACAGTGGAGTTTATTTCAACTCAATAGCTTTTATCGTTTTTGAGTTATATTAAGACAAACAGGTAAAGTTTTTTTTGGGACACCCGGTAGAGTATATCCATCGACCATGGCTGAATTTTCTATTCTATTATCTATGTTCTATTACTTATATAAATAATGAAGTAATACACTAATGTAAATTTACAAGCTTCAGCTCTCAAATTATTTTTCAAGTGAAAACATGACAAACAGCTAGGGCACACCAAATATAACTAAGGGCCCCATCTTCGTCCGTTACGCCACTGCATGAAGGACATGCAAATCAATTTCCAATCTAATCTTTGCAATGCTGTGTGGCTTCTATGAGAAGATTGAAAGCTATTTTCCAATTTTTGGATCTGAATATAATGAAAAATATAAATATTTTTTGCTCTGAAACTCAGTAATATGGTGATGAACTCAATGTGTCCTAACCTTCCCTTTTAATGTTGTAGAATGTGCATTGCATGGATAGATTCACGAACAAGGCTTTTTGTTGAGATTAATTACATCATTTACATGAATGAATTTAGACCAAGCCTAAATAATGTGAGCAGTTAAATGATAAGAATGGTAGTATAAAAGCTTACCTATATATGAATAACATAAATTTCTTTTACTAATATGCAAGCTATAATTCTAGAACCATTGTCTAACCTAGCTGCTGCTGCTAGATAATTCAGTTCTAGAATTTCCATTGGTACCAGCCCGAAGAGGGTCCAAAAAGTCCAAAGTGAATTTTTCATTTCTAATCCAAAAGGAGCAATGTCGGATGGATAAATAAAATTTGTCAAAAAAACGAAGAGCAAAAGAGTGAAAAGACCCTTGGCTTTAAAATTGCATTTTTCTGCTAAAAAAGCGAATTTTCCTTATTAAAAAGTGCAAAAACACTTGCTAGAGCCTAGCGCATGCGCATTAAAAACAGGGGGACAAGATTTGCCGCGAATTCCACCTCTGTCTCTGTGTAGCCCTCTGTCACTGTGCCTCTGTGCCAGAACTAACTTCTGTGCTGAATGACGTCATCATAATCTCATCATTCCAGTTACATTTGAGTTCATCGGTCTAGAATGACGCCATATTATGATGAAATTGAAATTGTCAATTTGAATCTTTTTGTTACAATTATTAACAAATCACATTTTGTGTATAAAATAGTTGTCAAAAGCTTCCAGAAGAGAATTCCTTTCATAGTGTTAACTAAAGGCCATCGACAACGGATTCGTGATTTTTCACTTTCAGAATTTTCAGCTTTCAGCGTTCAGGCCAGACGTTTGTGACAGCATTTTGTTAAAATTATTTACAAAATACGTGTGAATTTGCTGCACCAGCCTCAGGATGAAGCCGTATATTATTTTGTTCTGTTTGTTTGTGTACGCCCAGGCTAAACGTTTGGGAAATGGTAAGTTTTGTATTTTTATTCTCTAGAGCTTTAGAGTAAAAACACAATTTTACAATTCTGAAAGTCTCTTCTGATATACAATGTCAAATTATGCTTGTACTTTAGACTATGTATATATTATATACTGTATGTATATATAGAAAGAGAAAATCATATCCAAACAAGGTAAAAACCGTATAGCATGTGTAACTCGGCAAACAAAAAGCAATGTCAGCAGACAAGAATACAGTCAGAGCATTTTAGCTAGTATTTAGTAAAACATCCCAATTTCCAATTGTTTGCATGAAACGTGGCAAGAACAGCAAACACCAAGAAGCAGAAAACAAGTAGCCTAACTAGCAGGCAATCCCTAGCAAATAGGAAATGTTATTTTCTTTAAATAAGTCTTGTTGATATGTCAGATATGGCGGCCAACCTTCGTAGACAGAGAAGTTATAAAATCTATGACATTGACAGTATTAACCAATATTTGCCTTTATTTGGTAATAATAATATGGGAGATATTTAACTGCCCTGTTTGGCTGTTTTGTTTGTAATGACAAACTGCAGATTCTTTCATCTAAAGCCAACCCTGGAATGAACTCCTCCCAACATTCGTGAAATTCATATATGATTGACAATGAAATAATTTTGAGCTAGCTTTTAATGTGCCCTTTATTTGCGTTCATTTGGATGTTATCATCACATTGACCTCCTAATTTTAAATTTGCTTGTCATATCCTACTGGGCCGGACTCCCAGACAAACCAGAATAATGTTTTAAATGCTGCAATGTAAAAGACAATAGACTATTGCCATTAATGTATTGACACTCAGAGAAAAACAGTATTGTAAAATGTACAATGTTAAGTTGCAATTTTATATACAGTTAATGGCTGACACTTACAGGATGCTGATATGTTTAATATGCTCGCAGAAAGTAAACAATGTGCATGCATATGTACCTGTCAATGCCAGGCAGCCCCCAGTGTTGTCTAAATTTTCCCATGAACAGTATTTTAACAATGTTGTTGAACCTTAATCATCAATATTGATATAGGTAAGTATCAATGGTTCAACAAGGTTCAATAATGTTGTTAATTAACAATACTGTTCACATGGTGTAACGCAACATTGTTCATTCCTGTTTTCAACAACTTGCAACTGTGGCAAGCATGATTGCTATGGTTAGATAGAGGCTATGGTTATTTTATAGAAAATCGCCGCCATGTTCGTGATAATAAACAACAGAAAATCCCACCACAGATAGCAGGTACCTTATTTAAATTGCTGTTTAACATTAAAGGGCATGAATAAGAGAAATTTTGCTTTCAATGTTGCCAAAAACTTACAGAGTGCTTTTTATTGTTTAAATGTGGTTAATTAAGCAGCTACAATTTTTTTTTTAAAATTTAAGCTTAGGTGACCCTTTTAGAGTTGATAAGTTGTTTAAATGTCATTAATTAACAATAGTGTTCACAGGGTGTAGCGCAACATTGTTCATTCCTGTTTTTAATAACTTGCAACTGTGACAAGCATCATTGCTATTGATTTTCTTAAAGAGGCTATGATTATTTTATAGATGATGGTAAGGATGAGGAAACCCTAACAGAGACAGCAGGTACCTTCTTTAAATCACTGTTTAAGTATGAATATCCATGTTGCCAAATATTTACAGAGCGCTTTTTATTGTTTAACTTCTTATCAAATGTGGTTAATTAAGCAGCTACAAGAAACGTTTCAAATTTAAAGCTTATAGGGGCCCTTTTAGAGAACTTTGTTGATGACCATATGTATATATGTATGTATATATTATATATATATATATATATATATATATATATATATATATATATATATATATATATATATATATATATATATATATATATATTTATATATACATATATATAGATATAGATATAGATATAGATATAGATATAGATATAGATATAGATATAGATATAGATATAGATATAGATATATATTTATCAATGAATGTTCTCCAGATTTAAAGTTGTTTTTTAATAAAAATAATGCCTGGATTACAAATCTTTGTAAAATTATATATATATATATATATATATATATATTATATTTGTTTTTTGTTTTTTGAAGATTAAACTAAAACTCTATTAAAGTCCCCATAGTCCATATTGGTCTTGAATTCACAATATAGGAACGGAGAGGAAAGTTGTGTCAAAGAATAAAGATTGAAAGTCATTTAAGTCTCATACTTTCATCACTTTTTTTCACCAAAAAACTCCTGTATGATAGTTTAGCATCAATGTGGTGTAACAACTGCCTAAAATAGACAAAGCACTTTTCAACGTTTCAACCTGAGGGCCTTCGTCAGGAGAGTTAGTATGAAAATAAATAGGGGAGAATCAGTGTGAGTGTGTGACCAGGTCTTCTGAAAGGCAATTACCATTTACCAAATTAGGTGACAGAAATTTCTATATCAGGCAAAAAATTACTACGCACTCATTTATCCCGCATTATCATTGGTAATTTCAAAACTTTTTCCAAAATATCCCTACTTTACCCTAACAGAAACGTATAAATTATTGTTTTGCAGCGGAAATGACCTAGGACATAAGACAAACAGGGGGCATGTACGAAAACTGGATAGGCCTATCCACCTGATAGGGATTTTCTCAACCTTGTAAGAATGCTTTGAAAAGTAATAAAGCCCTCTGTAACTTTAAGAAAAATTACTGTAGTAATTACTTCAAATTCCAATTACTACAATCATCCAAAAAAATACCAAAAATTACCAAAAGTAATTAAAATTACTACGTCTGGTCACACTGGGGAGAATACATGTTTTGTATGGGGGCAAAACACGTGATGAAAATGGGCCAATAGAAAAGAAAAAAATCAAAACAAATTGGAATACATTACATTGCCAAAGAGACGCCTGATTGTGGGCTAAGAATAGCCCGCAATGAAGGAAGCCTGGTCAGCAACGAAAACTTATCACAACCACTGAGCTATACTCAGTGATTACAACCAGTTTTGATGTAAACAAAGAAATGGTAGTCATATCACTCTGGGCGAAGTGGCTTAAATGAAAGAGAGTCTTTCAGTTATGCCAGAGGGATATAGAGTGCCAAGACTTTGGATGAGTCGCATTTCTTGTCGTTTACGGCGATCGTTAGTACCGGAAATGGGACAGAGAGCTCTAATTTTCATGTCAGTGACACAATGATTACCAGAGGTAAAGTGTCTGGCAACAGGCTTAGTCTTATTGTGGTTGTTTACCGACCTACGGTTTTCACCAAACAGTAGAGAGACCTACGGTTTTCACCAAACCAAGAGATCTTCCAGTTTCGCCGATATATAGTAATCCACATTACTAAATGACAAGAAATGCGACTCATCCACAGTCTTGGCACTCTCCATCCCTCTGGCAAAAATGAAAGACTCTCTTTCATTTAGAGGTTTTAAAGGGTCTTAATTTCGAGTGGAATTATGCACACTTTAAATTCAAGCCTGGAACAGTTGATGGAAAAATGAGTCAACTATAGGTCCTCCGGCAGGAATCGAACCTACGCTTTTGCGATGCCGGTGCAATGCTCTTGCTACTTCACCCAGAGTAATGTGACTCCCATTTCTTTGTTTACATCAAAGCTGGTTGTAATACGTTTTCGTTGCTGATCAGGCTTCTTTCGATGCGGGCTATTCTTAGCCCACAATCAGACTTTTGTTTTGATTATTTGTTTTCTATTGGCCTATTTTTATCACGCGTTTTGCCCCCATACAAAACATGTATAATGTATAAGGTATTCTCCCCCTATTTATTTTCATACTAACTCTCCTGACGAAGGCCCTCAGGTCGAAACGTCGAGAAGTGTTTTGTCTATTTTAGGCAGTTGTTATACCACAGTTGTTGATATCCTGCATGATAGTTTCCTCCTATCTTATACTTCGGCCTTCAGTCTGTCACGCCGAAATAATCGGTCACCGATTAATCAAATTGGCTAATCAGTCCTTCGTTCCGATCGGCTCATCCCTAAATTGCTAACACCAATGAACTCCTCCCAAGCCAAAAACCGTACGTCAACATTTATTAGTGTATGAAACTTATGTGTTTGACAATGAAAGATGATTTTTTTGTTGTATCCCTCATTTGCACGTCATTGTAACAGTTACCTCCTAATTCTAAAGTTTCTCTTCACATCCTGGACTGCAGACACAGATAATGTTTTAAATGCTGCGTGCAGAGACCATATTTATAGTAAAATAGAAGTGAAATTACAGCCAGGTCAACAGGGCTGAACTGAAAGTGTTTAGAATGCCACAAGTAATGGATCCACTGGATTCATAATACATGTTTTCTGTACAATCTGTGAATGCATAAAGGTTTCAGGGTTATGCCTTATGGGTTATAGGTTCTGTGGTCTGCTGTTATTTTTTTTGCCAAGTTCTACATGCATAGGTACAAGGGCTATTACTATAACTACTGTACAAATTATGAAATTTTCTTGATTGCCTTTTTAATTAGTTTTGTCCAGTGAGAAGACTCTCTGGTGGTGAAATTATGAAAATAATTTAACTACCGTTACTTTATCATGATCACAATTTTTAAAACATTGTTTAGGATATCATGTAAATTAATAATCTGACTGTATTTATTTTCAGGTGATCAACAACAAGAGATAATCACATCAAAACCATTTACTACATTAAAACCATCTACTACATTTAAAACATCTACTACATTAACCATCACCCAGATTCAAAAGCATACTCAATTCCTTAAACACTTCCACAGCAAAAACTTCCACAGCAAAAACGACACCAAAAGGTATTTCGCCTGGCTATTTAAAAAACACTTAAATACAAAAAGTGTTCTTTGAGCTGTCGTGTCTGTTAAGTTCCCAGATGATACTGTAAGTATCGATTATCTTGGGATATCAATGAAGTTCTCGGATGATAAGTATCAATTCTCTTGACTATTATTATTTGATATTCAGGTCAGCAAAACACAAAGAATAAAACCACTCCCACAACACCACCCCAGAGGTCAACAAATACTCAACCCAATAGAAAAACTCGCCCCACTAGCACCGCTGAAAAAACGTCTACAAAAACGACATCAAAAGGTATTGTGAACCAGGGGCCGAATCTTACGAGGTATCTTAACCCGAGGTGAATCTAACGAGGTGTCTTATCGTAAACGGTTGTCAGTTAGAAAGAAGAAACGGTAACAATCATGTTTCTCCTTCCAGAGTACAACAAATCAGATTAAGTTCGCAGTAAGTTTGCGCTCCCACCGCGGGGCAAGGGGGAGTAGCCCCTAGCCCCTCTGCTTTAGGCAAGCAGTGGCGTAGGAAGGGGGGGGCACTGAGGGCACGTGCCCCCCCAAGATTTCTCAAGCGACCGAAAGTGCCCTTTTTGTGAAAAAAATGCCTTTTTGGAAGCGAAAAGAAACAAAAAAGTGTCTACTATTTCCCAATAATCCTTAAATTGAGAAAGATTTGCGGCCATTTCAGAGGCCTATATCTCAAAATTTTCTCCTCGGACCCCCTAGCAGTACGAAGCCCACGAAATACGAAAAATGCTCTGCAGTCGGTGGTCCCCGACTCAAACCGTCCCTATATATATATTTTTATTAACCATTTTAAACACCATTTTTATTAACCGAGAGTGCCCCTAGAAGCTGGTGCCCCCCAACCTCTGGATGCTTCCTACGCTCTTGTAGGTGGGAATTGGCATTAATCTCCGGTCCTTAAACAGGCCTCGCGTCCTTTCTGTTACTCGCAGAACCGATACGCGGAACTTAACATCATCTTTAGACGTTGCCTAAATAAGCGCAAACAATGTCAGTGACTCATTGTTTTCTGTGAGATCAGCCACCAATCGCTTTAGAGTGTCTCATCTTCACTGGCCTGCCACCTTCACTGGTTTGCCACCGGTTTTATGGGAGGTTCAGAGTTGCAAAAAAACTGCGGGTACGCGGGTGCCACCCGGAGGAAGGCTCGCCTCGAATGAAGTCTGTCAGGAAGACTCAAAGTTGAACACTCCAATTGACCACATGCATGTACCAAAAAACCAAATATTTCTTTACACTGGTCGCCACTTGACTCAGTGACGTAACGTCATTTTGAGGAAGGTTTTCAAAACTTGAAATCCTACCGGAGGAAGGTTGAACTCTTTTTGCAACTCTGGGGAGGTTTTCCTTTTCTTCGGAAAATCACAAGAAAAACGGCAAATGCTTGAAGCAGGAAATGTAGATAACTGTTAATTTGTAGTATGATGTTATTTTTCTGTTAATTTGTTGATTTTGGCACAACCAAAATTTTGAACCTTGTTGATTTTGGCACAAGGTGCTTTTGCTGTAGACCAGGATCATGGTGCCTAAAGTAAAAAGAATTAGACACTTGTTAAATGTCTTCTAGGCGTACGCGTGTGCATTCACGCATCGTTAAGCCAAGGAAATATTTTAATGTGTAAGTAGTTTGCGCCAGACACATCCTGCACAAAAGATTTTAGAAAACGTTGTTTTTTTGCGAATAAAAATGTGTTTTGAGAGCTTGCAGTACAATAACAAAAGATTTCCTCAAAGGTGATTTTGCTGCGATCTTATGAGTTATGTGCGATTTTCTTCTTTCCACAGATGTTAACGAGTGAAGTAGTTACAGATGTTGAAATAAGAGCTTTTCTACATGCATCTGCGCATTTGTAACCGATTACTCGTTCACATCCATCGAAAGAAGAAAATCTCAGCCAAAATTGCAAGTGTAAAAAACGGGCCTTAGATTCGTGCGCTTTTGTTCGCCTAGACATTTAGTAAGTGTCTCATTATTAAAACACAGTGTATGCTCTTTGAATTAAACCTTGCAAGTTGAATGAGACAGCTACTGTATTTCGCGACAATTTCAGTGCAAAAACACAGAATGGATTGAACTTGCTTGCATGTCAAAATAATCCCCTCTTTTCAACTTTGATTTGCTGGGAGCAAAGCTAGTAATCGGCCCAGCACTGCATGAGTAGCTACGTTAACGGAAGCCGGTTGACAAACAGCGTAGGCATGCAGCCCAAATTTGCGTGGTAAATCTAACTGGAGAAATTTTTCGAGTTTATTCACTCTGTGTGGTGGCTATATAGTTGAATTACTTACTTGATAGCCGAGACCTCTCTCTTTCAAAACCTTGTTGAAAACTTCTCAATATTTGTAAAACCTTGACAAAATGTGACATAATTCTAACGCAAGAATTTTTTCTGCAATTTCTTCAATTTCCGAAAAATTTCTCGCGTTAAAATTGTGTCGCAATTAGACGTTATGATAACATTGAAGTCATATACATCGATTGCCAGTGTTTTTATCGACACCGTTCGCTATTTGATAACGAACGATCAATTTTGCCTTCTTTTTTTCCTTAATTGTTTTTTAATTCTAATCATCAATGCAAATCCTTCGCAAAGTTTTCTTATGCATGTATGTATAGTAAATTGGTTCTGTTTTTAGGCAATGATAAAGGACATACCACCACAACAAATGCGATGTCAGCTAAAGAATTTGAGAAACGTCTCAAAGGTATAAACCTTGTTGTTGCCATTGACTCTCATTGCATGGATTGATTGTCAAATTAACAGTTATTTTTATACAATTTCCTGTGTTATATACCTGTCGGAATGTTTTATGACATTGGTTTTAAAGATAAATATATATATATATATATAACGTTGGCCGCAGGTAGATTAATAGATACTCGAAATCTAATTAGATTTGCATATGTTGTGTAATATGATTGAAATCCCATGCAAATGTAATCATATGCAATTCTAATTAGACTTCGAGTATCTATATATATATATATATATATATATATATATATATATATATATATATATATATATATATATAACGCCTTCCCGAGCTTTGGATTAAACAAAACAACAAGTATTAGGATTATAACATTTAGGCTCTATTTCAAGGTCATTGCCAGACCAAAGGCAAAGGTTGCTATAATATACAGTAATATGCCAATCAAGAATGAGATGATATTTAAAGTTTTTAAGTGGAAAGTTTTTTTGGCGAAATGCAAACTGGTCAATCAACTTAGCATCAAATGTGGTATAACAACTGCCTAAAATAGACAAAACACTTCTCGACGTTTCGACCTGAAGGCCTTCGGGTCGAAATGTCGAGAAGTGTTTTTTCTATTTTAAGGAGTTGGTATACCACATTTGATGATAAGTTGTTTGAAGACGGTGCCACGCTGTTCCCTGGTTATATTGGGTCAGTCAGTCAGTCAGTCATAGTGTAAAACGTCTGGGGGGGGGGGTAGTCGTGATTTTTTCTTATAGTTATTTTTTGTGCAGAATAATTTTTTTAATCAGTTTAAAATGTTTTATTTACTAATTCTCTATTCCTTTTGCCAAGTCAACAAAAATATTGAGAAATCTCTGCCGCTACTGTAAATTTTCAAATTTGAAACATTGCTTTTCCGTGGTGTGGGTTTGGCTTTAAAGGGATTTACCCCGGAACACCCGATTTTTTTCTTATACGTCGCAACTGCGCATGCGCCGTCGGGCCTTGATCACTATTCACGATGTAAAGAAACGAGGACGACGAGTTCCGGACGCAAAAATCGAGTAAATCCCCGAAAACCTACGTAATTTATAAACTTGTATTATGAATTACGAGCATTCAATTAAACACAAATATAATTTGGACAAAAGCGTAGGAAGAAATGACGCTGTGTCGTTTATGTATGTATAGATATCTCTTACGTGAATGCCATATATTATGTTAATAGTTGATATTCTGCATACAGTACATAATTGATACTACGCAACACGGACATTCGGTGCAGTCATGAAATAAATTTGGCGGTATACAGTTTTGATTATAAGTATATCGCTTTGTATCGATTTACGCGTCGAAGAATCCACATCACAGACATAATATGCACCGCAGTTTATTTGCATTGTTTACAATTGCAAGTATTTTGGCTATTCTTTTAAAATGAACGATAAGTTGTTACCATCGTATACACGGATATAGTCACAGTTATCTGACGAAGAGACATGGTGTGTTTTGCTGAACCCAATAAACTGAGAAAGTTGCGCCCGCTTTACACGAGGAACTATAAAAATATAATTCAATAATGACAATATCGCAGCTAACGTAATTTGGGTACATTGAGTACAATTTCTGGTAATGATTAACTTACATGTATAATTTTACTGGCAGAAGTCATAACCTGACTGGCTGATTCACTTATGTTAGGACAAAGCAAACGTCAGGTTGCTTAGGTATTAGAGGGCATGGAAAATTTGCATATGATTATTGCACAGGGCCGTCGCTAGAAGACTAAGGGGTGCATATTCATATATTCGTCTTAGTTCTTTTGTTGGCAATTGTTTCTACGGTTGTACGAACATGAGTGCATATTAATATACACTCCCCCCCCCAATTAAGCTTCTAGCGACAACTCTGATGATATACAGTTATTCCCTGCTCCCTTTTTATCAGTTTATATTCAAGCTGTCTCGGATATATTTGATCTTTTAGCGTTTGACAACAAGACGTTTTCACGATATTGGGAAGTTTTCAAGAAGGTTTTGAAACAAAAAGGTCAGCAATTAGGTAAGTAATTCAACTATAGCCACTATACACAGTGAACATACATGAACACTTATTAAATGCCTGCGTTTTGACCATGACGTTGTTTGCGGCCGATTCCCCGCCTCGTATCCAAGCGCTTTAGTAGAAGAAACATATAACGTTTCATTAAGCTATTATATATGGAGGTCAAGTGAAAAAAAAAGCGAGCGCGAGGCGGATGCTTGGGGTTTTGCACTCGCAGAAACCTTTTGGTTCGCAGAAACATGGCCGCAACCTCGTACCCAGGCCACAACCTCGTACCTTCCGTAGCAAGGGGCGAGCGAGGGAAAGAACCTGGGTACGTGGTTAAAACATTGAGGGGTTAACATTGCCAATGTCATGGATTTTGCGGCGGCCATTTCAGTGAAAATGCCGAAATCGCCAGGTGGGTTCGGACTAGCTTGAGAAAAGCCTACCTGCATGCTCGGAACCAATCAAAAGGCGGCATTTGCACAAGGCGTAAGAAAATAGAATATAAATAGCACTCATTTCTGGGCTGCCTACTGATACTGAATATAGAACGATTATAAAAGAGAGTAAATCAATTAAGATTTTGTAAGACTACTAAGGTGATATGGTGTCGCATGGAACACTCATAAATCATCATTTCAGAATATTTCTTTTGTTATATTATATCCATGTTATCTTGGTTAAAAGTTCTAGCACCACGATCTTTAAAAAACGCGTAGTTTCCAGCGGAGACATCTTAACTACTTCAGGCTCCTTGCCTAACAACAACGCAGTTGCTCGCATGAAATAAAGCTCTAATCGCTGCTCCCCGATAAGTCCATCACGAGTCGGTCATCTTGTAAAATCGCAATTCGAACGTGCGCGTATCAAAACAATTTTCTAACAATAAATTTTCAATCTTTCGTATAACACGAGATTAGAAGTAAAAAGCGTGATTCCCTTTTCAGTTTTCGGCAAACATAGGCATGCATGTTCAACATTCCAGTTCACGTGCATGCAGTTCATCGGAAGAGACTCAACTCCAGGTTTTGATCCGGAACAGCACGTAATCCGCAGCGTGCATGGCGTTAAAAAACCAGTCTTTAAGTTATTTACATCCCAGCTTTGGACGTTATTCATTTACACGCCAAAAAGTTGATCACGTTGTGGCATCAGGAGTGAACAACGTTGGGCTTCACCCCATGAACAGTATTTTTAACAATTTTGTTGAACCTTGTTGAATCTTCAATTGCAACAGTATCGATGGTTCAACAAGGTTCAATAACAATGCTATATAAACAATACTGTTCACATGATGCAGCACAACATTGTTCACTCCTGCCTTTAACAACTTGCATCAACATGATGATTTTAAGGTGCGTATACTGTGACAGGCATGCTCAGAGTATTGGGGAGATTTAGCAAGAGGACGTGGACGTCAAAAGAGGACGTTAAAATGGCGAATAAATGGCGTGACGCATCTATATATGGACACGCCACGCCATTTATTCGCCATTTTAAGGTCGTCTTTGACGTTCACGCCCTCAGTCAGGTAATATAATTTTATTAATTAGCTACATTAGCTACATTCATATATATATATATATATATATATATATATATATATATATATATATATATATATATATTAATCCGGGTGTCCCAGAAAAAAGTACTCCGGTTTGATTCATAATCGCTTCTAAACTATATAGCTAAGCTATTAAACTGAAATAACTTTCACTAGATAGAGGGAAGACTTACTTAGATTTTGATATATTACAGTTGTATTTTACTTAAAAATTTACGGAGATATCAATGTTAAAAATTGGTAGCATATTTCTAGATGTATCTAAATTATGAAAAAAACGGCGTATCAAATATTAATCAAGCTTTTCTCAACTGAAACATGCACTATTAGCAGTAAATAAATGACACCCATACTCTTTGATCTTTACTTAATCTTGGCATATTCAGGATAAACTCAAAATAAAACACATTCAAACCATAATTCCATAAGGCACAACATGCAACTCCCAAGGGACATCCAACATCTTTCGAACAAAACGTAACGAAAACAATAGCGCTGATACTTTTATATGTGTAATTGCAAAAAGGCTGTATTATTTTCTCCATTAAATAATAATACTTCGTTTCATAATAAACAATTTGTCAAGTGTCATTTATTTACTGCTAATAGTGCATGTTTCAGTTGAGAAAAGCTTGATTAATATTTGATACGGCGTTTTTTGCATAATTTAGACACATCCAGAAATATGCTACCAATTTTGAACATTGATATCTCCGTAAATTTTTAAGTAAAATACAACTGTAATGTATCAAAATCTAAGTTAGTCTTCCCTCTATCTAGCTTAGCTAGTTTAGAAGCTATTATGAATCAAACCGGAGTACTTTTTTCTTGGACACCCGGTATATATATATATATATATATATATATATATATATATATATATATATATATTATATATATATATATATATATATATATATATATATATATATACACAATGCATTTTTGATAATTTATAACGTGGCATTGTGGCATTACCTTCATACATATATATATACAATTTATACAATTTAGTGTATTTAAATATCCAAGCTGAACAAAAGAAGTGAACTCTTCGCAAAATGCCTGCATAAGTACAGATGTAGCGCTAAAAACTTTGAACGCTTTTTTGTAGAAAAATCTTCCCCACCCACAAAAGTCACCACTACCAAAAAAGGTAATACTTATTATGTTCGGTCTGTACTGTTAAATATCAGACCGAGGTTTTTTGAATTTTTTGCGTACTAAAAAGCCTCGGTCTTATATTTCACAGTACAGACCTCACGCTCGGTCAAAAATTTGCAATTGACCATTTTTAGGTCGAAATATAAGTTTGCAATTGACCATTTTTAGGTTCAAAAAAGTCCCCAACTCAGTCAGGTAATATAATTTTATTAATATATATATATATAGCTATATAATACCTGATTTTCCTCTGAAACTTCTTCTTCAGCCATATAATAAACAGTTTATTGAACTCGCTTGTTCGGTCTGTACTGTGAAATATCAGACCGAGGTGAACTCTTCGCAAAATGCCTGCATATGTAAGTACAGATCTAGCGCTAAAAACTTTGAACGCTTTTTTTAGAAAAATCTTCCCCAAGCAAAAAAGTCACCACTGCCAAAGAAGGTAATACTTATTATTATCCTACGTTTGCAATTCACCATTTTTAGGTCCTAGTAAGTCCCCACCTCCGTCAGATGATATAATTTTATTAATTATATTTTATATCTTTATACATCATTAGGTCCAAAAAAGTCCCCAACTCAGTCAGGTAATATAATTTTGTTAATATATATATATATTTTTTTTTGCATACTAAACACCCTCGGTCTTATATTTCAAAGTACAAACCTCACGCTCGGTCAATAATTTGCAATTGACCATTTTTTGGTCCAAATAAGTCCCCAACTCAGTCAGGAAATGTAATTAAACGTATAGAAACGTATAGAAGACTAGTGTTTTTGTCTACTTTAGGCAGTTGTTATACCACATTTGATGCTAAGTTACATTTCATACTTTTATATATATTGTGGCAGTGCCACCATATATAGTACCATCATATATATATACAATCATATATATATATATATATATATATATATATATATATATATATATATATACAATTTATACAATTTAGTGTATTTAAGTATCCAAGCTGAACAAAAGAAGTGAACTCATCACAAAATGCCTGCATAAGTACAGATCTAGCGCTAAAAACTTTTTGAAACGCTTTTTTTTAAAAAAATCTTCCCCAACCAAAAAAGTCAACCCTCCTAAAGAAGGTAATACTTATTACTTTCCTAAGTTTGCAATTGACCATTTTTAGGTCCAAGTAAGTCCCCATCTCAGTCCGATTATATAATTTTATTTACAGTACAGACCTCACGCTTGGTCAATAATCAGTTAATATTTTTTCATTTATATTGTTTTATATTTCTTCGTGCACAATGCAATATTCATAACGTATGAGAACAAGACTTACATACATTCCATCACGCTACTCGTAAAATGTTCATTGTGACATTACCATCGGCTTTCGTAAAAATGTTTCTGGTTATTTTTAGGAAAGGATTCCGTAACTACAAAGACCGACACGACCACTACCAAAGCAGGTAATACTTATTATTTTCCTGAGTTGGCAATTGACCATTTTTAGGTCTAGGTATTGTATATATACTTATATATAACTTACTTGCGCGATAAACGGAATTAAATTTCATTACACATGCATATCAGGTATCTCATTCAAAAGTATATAACATACATTTTTGTGTCAGAGGGAAAAGGAAAGTTAACCGAATTTGAATTGAATGAATAATAAATAACGTCGACCCACACTGAAAAAAGTGATTTGACAATATTAGTACAGATGTTTAAATAAAAAGGTAGTCGTTGACATGCTAACGAATAAATACTTATAATTATATGTATTAACTTCTTCTCTGGCCGGTTAATAAAGATTCTGAGCAGTGAAAAGAATAGAATAGAATGGAATAGAATAGAATAGAATAGAATAGAATAGAATAGAATAGAATAGAATAGAATAGAATAGAATAGAATAGAATAGAATAGAGTAGAATAGAGTAGAATAGAGTAGAATAGAATAGAATAGAATAGAGTAGAATAGAGTAGAATAGAGTAGAATAGAGTAGAATAGATTAGAATAGAATAGAATAGAATAGAATGGAATGGAATGGAATGGAATGGAATGGAATGGAATGGAATGGAATGGAATGGAATGGAATGGAATGAAATGGAATGGAATGGAATGGAATGGAATGGAATGGAATGGAATGGAACGGAACGGAATGGAGTGGAGTGGAGTGGAGTGGAGTGGAGTGGAATGGGGTGGAATGGAATGGAATAGAGTGGAATGGAATTGGAATTGATGTAGAAAATCCCGAACTTTTCTAGTAGAATATGATGTAAAAAATCCCAAGCTTGCATGTAAATCCAAGCTTTTCTCAGTGTCACCATCTTGTTTTCGACAATTTGGCGCATGCGCAGATAAATTGCACCTACGTTAATTATTTGGACTCGATGTGACAATTGCCACGTTTCCATGTTGCCAGTTTGCACGAGCACGACTAGCACACGTCCAATAGACCTTTCTTATAATGACGTCAAACGCGGAAAGTCTGATCTTACACGAAGTTTGATTAGCTTGATAGTTTTGTGGAGCCAATCAAATTTCGTGTATCATTAGACTTTCCGCGTTTGACGTCATTATAAGAAAGGTCTATTAACAATACAGGAACTATATTTTCGTATATTTTCGAACATGATATTTTCGAAATGCTTTGGTTTACTTTAAGTTTCTTTTGGTGTTGTAGTGTTGTATATATATGCTAAAAAACAAATTTAGAAAAATGCGAATTGCACATAATACTCATCGCCATCTGCTTTCAGAGGCGCAGGAATCATCGAGTGATTGGGGGCACCCTTTAGCTTTCAAGGGCATTTTTGGTTAATAGGAGCGGTTTGATTGCCAAAGCTGCAAGGACACCATGCACTAGTGTGGTTTACATTTAAGCTCTACAAAATGAGTTGGGTGCGTGTGAGTTGCGTGGACATACGTAGGAAAACAAAAAGGGCTCCTTCGATTTTAAAATAAATATTTACAGCTACACATAAAATAATATTTACAGCTACATTTGTTGTATAAAATTGTTCTTAATTTGGTATAACGCATACAAAAACTTGGTCTTAAAGCAATGTTTGTTTAGGATTAGTTTGTTTGGATGATACCTGTAGCACATATTGCTTTTGAGGCGTTTTTACAACGTTGAAAAAACTCTGTCCGGTGGATAGCAGGCATCCAACCTTCGTTAACCAACTACTATATATAGGCACATGCCCAGGGCTTTCTTAATTTTTTTATACCGACCATTCTTAGGAGATAACATGAAAAACAGTATTGGTAGTAATGGTGGCAACGACCATGCTAAGTCAGGTATATATTCGAGTTAAATCGCTAGCTGTATAAATTGCTCTTAATATAGGATGTAAATTTTGCTGTATACGCTGGGGTGTATTTTGCATGCGTTCAGAGCATGTTCCTGATTGGTCAATTGGGCAATCAGAAACATGCTTTGCGCCACTATAGCTTAATTGGGGCACTTTTGTAATGGCCCACCAAATTTAAAAAAACTGAAGGTCGTTTATTCTCCATCCACAGGGCCAAAGTTTCCATCCAAAACGCCCGAGTCGAGTCATTTTGCTGTCGTGTTTCTGGTTTTGATCGCCTTGTTATTTGGCCTGTATGCTTTGTATCACAACAGACAGAAGGTGAGTGATATAGCGATGACAATTGGTATCGCAGCGTGGTCGTTTCTTATCTATAGAAACAAATTAACTAAGACTGAATGCGTAAAATAAGAAGAATGGTGCTCGATGTCGATGTTTCGACCACTGGGGCCAGTTGTATAAAAATCTAGTTACCTTTTAAGGTGGTCTGATACCAAATTGTTTTTATTTTATTTTGAAAGATATAAAAATCTTTTCATGCCATATTGCAAGCCAAATTGCTCTGAGTGAAAAAAGACTTGTAGGAATCTTCAATCACGATAGTTCCCCAGAGCAGACACACCCAATGATGGAAAATGGACGATTTTTGTAAACACGATAACAAACTAGGTTTTAACTCTAGAACGATAAAATTAGTTTTATTTAGTTCTAGTTTTATTTAGTTAGGAGCTGAACTAGAATAAATAAAACTTGTCCAGTATAAAACGTTTTGCAGGCTATAAATATAAAACTTCTACGATCAATCTGAAATAACCAGTCGCTATTTTATTTAGACCGAACGGAATGCAAAACTTTTAGTGCACCTCCGTGCCAATTGTCTTTAAAGTCAACCATGAAAATTTTATAAATTTAGCTGTATTACTTTTTGAGGGGAAAGAGAATTTTAGTTTGCTAGGAAAAGCGACGAAAAAAGTTTTGCAAAATTTTCATAAATTATAGAGAACAATACAATATAGAACAATGAAACAATAGAATAAGCCAATGCACCCCTTTTGTTTGCTCGGGGTAAAACCATAATTAATAAAACTTTTCGTTTAATTTCGTTCAAACTTTTCGTTGAATATTTTCAAGAAAAAATATTCAGGATCGAATAGGGAGACATTTTAGTTTGCATCCCTTGAAAATTTAGAAACTGAATTTGCCCACCTTAACTGTAGTTAAGGACAGAATTGGCCAATCACAGACGTGTATTTCTGAGTTAACTAGGATTTAACTATGGAAAATGTTGTTAAAGAGTTTAATACAACCGGCCCCTGCATGAACTAAATATATAGTGATAGAATTCTTCTATACGTTATCTTAACCATATATGTACTTGATTTCCTCCTTATCACCGCTTCTGGTAACCCATCGCCCCTTCCAATAAATGCGAGGACGTCCCTTAAGGTTATGTTACTCGGTACAATTTTTCATTCAACGCTATTCTGCGTTTAAGAGATGTAACTTAGTAAAGAGTCTTCAAAATTTGAGTGTAAGAAACGTCCATCGAGTGTAATAAAAGTTTTGTAGTTGCTGAATTCACATCTCTGAAAAGTAGAAATGTATTGCAAGTTGTATAAAAAATTGTTTGTACCGTCATATACACTTATGTTTTGTTTGTTTGTTTTTTGCAACCCAGATAATAGCAGTTGTTGTCGAGGGACGTTCCGGACACGGTCGTAGTGCCCGCGAGCGCTATAGAAAACTGGATAATTCACCCGAAGATAACGAAGTTCGAATTAAAAACAGTAATGAAGTATATGTGTACTAAGTTATTGTAACTACTCTTAACCACCACCCCCCAACCTCTCTCCTGTTTTTTTTTTATTAATTTTGTTAAACCTTGCAAAGTTCAACCCTTGGTTGGCCGTGTTTAACCACGTTGACTTAACTATACCCGCGTTCTTAGCCTACATTTGCATTTGAGCCTGGAAAATTAAAGTTTATACATTCACTGAAAATCTTTATAATTATTATTAAGCAAGAAAACATAGGGACACTGATAAAGAAGATAGCTGTATAATTTAACTATGAATAACGTGGGGTTTTTTATTAGATTTGATAAAATTTGTAGATCCTTCGAAATGGTGAGATCTGTAGGTGCACAACAAGACACTGACGAGATTGATTTTAGTTTTGAAAATAGTTAAATTTGACGCAAACTTTGTGAAGAACTTTATAAATGTTATATTGTTTCTATAGGTAATAACTATAATAAATAGTGTTCGAAAATCATTTTCAAAATTATTTTTCATGGTGGTGAACAAGGAATTTTATTTTCTTCATGTATTGCTGTGGGAACTGTGGAAAAACAAAAACCAAGACTCAAAGCCACTTGTTTAACTTATGCTCCTTTAAAGAGAACTTAAGAAAAGTAATTCATGGTTATCGTGGTTTAGAGCCCTCCTTGTCAAAATTTTGAAAATTTATCCAGGAAATTCATGCAATTTACCAACGTTATCAATTTCCTTCCCCCCAGTAGAATAAGACGTTAATGTTGTCCATATTCCCTACTTGTATGCAGTGGCGTGGGAAGCACAGTAATTTTATGGGATATTCATGTTAACAGACCATAAAGACAATCGATTTGAAAAGAAATTATCACATGAATGCACAACATAAATATACCAATATGTGCCCCTCCTCCCCAATTATGGTATTTCACTACGCCACTGCCTACATGTGATTGGAAACATTTGCTTCGAATTCTCGGTTAGCTCCAGTAGCGTGGCCAGCCTGACGATTTTGTCCCGCTGTGTAAACTTCGAGTTATTATAATCATTCGTGTCTTTAGAAATCTATTGTTTTCACAATCAATGAACACGAAAATATTAGCATAGCGGGACAAATCGACAGGCTGGCTACGCTACTGGTTAGCTCCAACATCTTGATAACGTGAAACGCATGGTCTAATCTTTTGCACATTTATAATTTATATTTGAAACGCCCTCTACAGAAGAAATGTTTTACACGGTGCATTGTTCGGTATCTTACATTAACTTAATAATAACGTAATATAGAGCTGTATAACAAAACAAAAAGTCTCTCGCACCCTTTCCATGTTTTTTCATGCAACGGTTGCAACCCATGTTTAGGGGTAAAACATCTAATTGATTCATATTGATGTTTGTTTATAATATGCTTGGGAAGATATGGGGAAATAACAAGCTTCATACTCGTGATAGCATACAGTGATAGCCTACATAATAGCCTTTTTTTCGGCTAAAAATAATCGACAAAACTTTCAAAGGTCGAATGCTCACGCGTGAAAGCTACAGCGGTCAACAGCGGTGCAAGATGTCAAATTTCCTACTCTGGTTATAAAGAAGGTGTCAAATTCCCGAGCTTTTGTAACACCATTATTCACGCACTGTACCGTCATCAGGGAATGTTAGACAAATTGCTTTTATTTTTCCTGGAGAACACCCCTAATCTTTCATAAGTGACTGTGCATAAATTTACTGGATGGCGTTTCATCCGGCCTATCTATTCCAACGAGATCCAACAATAATATATATTAACCTTCAAAATGAAAATATTTTTCAAATTGGTCCAATATGATGAGTACTTCTGACGTCAGTGCCCAAGGCATGAAATTTTATATTTTTAATAATCCTATGAAGAAAAGAAAACCCCCTGAAAATTCACGATCACTGAAGTCTGAGTTGCAATTTAATTCACTTTAAGGGTCGATTTGGATCTTCATTGGAATTCAAATTTTTTCAGGAATGTTGGCGACTATGCCGACACAATATTTAGTTCATAGCCTGCGCTCAGGTCGAGTAGAAATTTTGCGCAATCAGGCCTGATTATGGGCGACGTGGTCACCAAGTTCCGGGGGTACTATATCCGGGAATCAAGCAGTGTAATGGCCGCCGATTGATTTTTGAAAATTAAGGCCAAATAGCAAAGAATATATTTTAGATTATCTAGTCTGATCTGTGCTTTTTCTCGCCGATTGCGATGAAAAATAAAAGAGTGTTTAGTGTATATTAAGTAAAGAATGTCAAAGGGTCAAGAAGAAGCGAATACGGCGAAAAATGGCCCCGTAATACAAGGCCAAGTTCATGCAATAGACCATTCACCTTGTGTATCCGACTCGTCAGACGGCGACGAAGACCTAGATGAATCGGCAGTAAGTATCATTTTCGTAACTGAAAATATTTCTTATAAATTTGTTGACGAAATTATGTCTTCCACTGTTAATTTCAGTCAATATTTAGGCAGGATTTTTACTGAGAATTAAATTTTTTTAAGCTATTTTCCCACACTGTTGTTTGTACGAGTAAAGTTGTTGATCGTTTTCGACCGGTCTGATTAATAAGATCGCGTTTGTATGACCAGTTGGTGATTTAAAATATCAGAGATCCTAAAATGTCTCCCACGAAAGTAAGGGTCATTCAAAACCTTTTGTGGCTGGCGTCTTGTGAAATCAGTTATAGAATCAAATGATTTTCATATGCTTGCAAAAGATATGCAAATTTTTTTGTAGTAAGATTGAAGTAGAAATTACAAATTTTATGTTTAAAAATATCGTTCAAGCGTGTGCATTTACCAAATGCTGTTCGAGGCCAGTTTCTATCTTACTGTTGAAAAATTGAGTTGAAAGTATTATATTTTGTGGGATATATGAAATCGTTTGTCTATTAATACGTTAATATAAATGTCAATAAATTTTAAAGTTTGAAATCATATTTGCTCTCCAAATAACCAAATTTCGTCTAAGCAAGAAATACAACTGGCTTTTTTACAGGTTATTGTTTCATTAATTGACATTTTTGACAACTTGAATAGACATGCTTAACAGTTGAATAGTTATTAAATATTATGTGTTATATAATATTAGAAAATGAAATGTTTATATAGATTATATAATGAACATTTCAGTGTCATCTGGACACTGTGTTAATCCTGATTATTCAAATCTTTCCCGACTCCTTAGATCACATGCCTGAAATTCTCAGTAAATGGAGGTCTAGGTCCTAACCAATTTCCTTTTCCAGATATTCCTTCTTTCAATGAAAGTGAGAGGTTACAAACTGTGTAACCAAAGTACATTTATGATTTTTTTTTCTAACTTGCACTTAAAGCACATTTCAATGTAGCAAAATAAGTATTTTGAATTGAAAGTTCTCATAGCTTGATAGCTCCTATCTCATAGCTTAATATACACATTTGCAAAACCTATATGCACATCTTGCTCTTGCAGTCTTGCACACCTTGCTCTTGCAGTCTTGCACACTTTTACTCTTAAATTCAAAATAATTTTTCTGTTGTGTACATATATTTACCATTTGATTTATTTAATAAAGTATGTATGTAAACAAACAGTTTGTTTGCTTTGTTGAACTTCTATACTGTTTTGAAATATGTTGTGTTGTCTAAATATCTAACAACATTAAGGCTTGCTATGCTTTTAAATAAATATGACTTAGTGTTTTGATGAGAAAGGTTGGAAACATGCAAAATTTGGGCAAAATTTATATCTGAGGACATCACCCTTGCGCAGAACAGACTCAACTTCCACTTTAATGCATATTAAATGTTACAAAACAGTTACAATAATTTGTTCAAGTACAATACAACCAACTATGGCATTTATTAAATTCAGACTGATTTGAGTTAGGTGGCTTATAATGTGTTGTACACCTTTTGAAAATATTTAACAAATTCACTAATAAGATCTTTTGTTTGTAGCTTGAATACATTCTACAAGGAAAACAAGATTTCCTGACATCAAAGATTAAGTTACCAAGTGGTTCTTCGGGCAATGATAATGATGTGCGCACAAAAATTGATCCTGATACACAAGCAAGACTTGAAGCTTTACTTGAAGCAGCTGGTAAGAGTTTAGCCATTTCATTTTCATTGGGAAGTATAATTATTTCATATTTTGAATATATGTGCTTGGATTGAATGTCTGTAATAGTTATGAAGAGAACCTTTTGAATAGATTTTTCTGCACAAGACTTGTGAATTTTGCATTGTTTTTTTCCCACAAATTTTACATCAATACAGTTTTAATCTTTCTAGAATACTCAGATGTACAGCAGTGTAGAATTTTGTTTTTTGTTACCAAATCAAAAATCTGGCTGCAATTTCAACTGCTGTTTGTTTTTTAATATGTGATCAACGGTTTGAAATTCAGTTTGACTGAAAGTCTGAAATGTATTTCTATTGTTATCATAGGTGTCGCAAAACTAGCTGATGGTAAGGCTTTTGCCGATCCCGATGTTCTGCGGAGGTTGACATCTTCGGTGAGCAGTGCATTGGATGAAGCAGCAGCTGCGCTGACCAGAATGAGAACTCAAAACAATGGTGTACCTTCATCACCCAATCATACTACCGAAGCAGGTAAGCAGCCAACCATGTGACTTTTGAAAGACTGTGTGGGCATTTTTAGATAATATCTTCAACCAGGTAATATTTCATTGAAAAGTATTAGATACTGGAACTTATCATGTAGAATACCATAGTGTTCATAGAACTACTGTAAGTAGACCAAAGTCCATTAATCAAAAATGTTTCAAAACCAATGCCGGCTGACAATTTAACAAAAAAACAAGACAAAATGGAATCTGAAGATGGGACTCAAAATATAGGTTAAAACAAGACAGAAATGTGGTAGTGATATTTCAATTTTATTGCAAAATCATTATCAGGCTAACTTTATGATGAAATAGAAATATCACAAACTCATCCTCGTCTTTTATTTTTTTTAAAATATTTTTAAATAAAAATACTCCCAAACCTGCTTCTTTCAATTTCCTAATATTGTAAGTGTATCTGCCTTCAACGTTCTTTAAATGGGATTGTTATGGTACGGTTTATGAAAGATCATGAATGTTTATGCTTTTATTTAGCTGGATTTCACAGTTTGGCAAATGCGTGTCTGGAGGGAAATGTGAACGCGGTGAGAAAGCTTTTGGAGCAAGGCTGGAGTGTCCACGATTCAACGGATGAAGGAGAGAGCCTCTTGTCCCTGGCTTGCTCTGCAGGTAATATTTCAACTGCAGCGCCGGACCGATATTTTTACCAATAATTTTACCACATTTATAAAGAGAATCGCAAAATCTTCTTTCTTATTCACACTGTTAAAATTGACGCCTTTCTTCATGAATGGTATCAATTTCGCTCGTTAATGTACAGCAGCACGGTCGTGTCTGTGCATCGGTAATATCAATGCAAGGTATCAATGTAATATCGTGTGTGTGCATCGGTGATATCAATGCGAGGCTCGCTTATTTAAAAATTGTCTAAATTTTGCACTTCTCGGATTTCCCTTGGGGTCCTATACATTTAGAACCACAACGAACCGATTTTGTGTTCGCATATTGGATCAGTTCGTTATGTTTACATAACCTGTATACAAGGCGTTTCATTACATTACGGTCTGTACATAACCTCTCGTAATTGCACGCAATCAAAAAACATCGTAACGACGTTAAAGAAGAAATTTCCACTTTCATTCCGGAAAGAGAAAATGAAATTTCTTTTCAGTCGAGTAGATCGCACCGTTCAGGCCCTTTCAATTAAGGACTCCCTCTCTACTGAATATTTAAAGTGGAAGTCAAGTCCGTGCTTAAACAAATGGTTTGTTTGCATTTTAAACTTCACTACTTTTTGAAATACTGACAAATACTTTGAAATTCTGATAAATATTTTAAAATACTGACAAATAAATTAATCTAAACAGGAGATTATGTTTAGAAAAATTTTGACATTCGCCAAATTTGGGCAATTTTTGCATCCGGGGTCCTCGCAGAATGGACTAGACTCACACTGTGATAAAAGAGCCTTTCGATATTTGGTTAACGAACTCATTTTTAGCCAATCATAGTGAAGCCCTAAATACTCAGAAATGCAAGCCGGTTGGCTCACGGGAGCGGTCATTAGGAAACGCACCAGTTTCTAACTCAATTCCCTGGTGATTTTTCTTTTCGTGTTAATTTATTGTATTCATCTCCACCATAGGTTACTGCGAGCTTGCGCAAGTTTTGCTCGCGATGAATGCCAAGGTGGACGACCGTGGCAGCAAGGGGGACTGTACACCACTCATGGAAGCTTCCAGTGGCGGCTTCCTCGATATTGTGCATTTACTTCTCGACAATGGCGCTGATGTAAACGCCCAATCTCAAGCTGGTATGTATTGCCATAACCTAGGCCAAAAAACAACGATGAAAGATTACATGACTGTATCGATACTGCAAATTGCATTTCAATGCCTGTACAACGCACTGCACTTCTGTGGTTTAAAAAATTATTTTGATTCTGCTCGTTATAAGAATATAGCATGACAAGATGCGTTTTTAAGCTTGAATTTTATTTTCGAACGTATGCGATCAGTCAGTGCTAAATTATGCAGCATTGACAAACATCTGATCTCAAAGAGTTTCAACCGACCATAGTCAGTGCCTTTGTTGAATGATATGAAACGTATCAATTCATGTGCATTGTGTTGTATTCTGTGGTATATACATAGCTATACATAAACCTGTAATTGCAAGTTTTTTGACCATCGGCCTGCAAAGGCCCTGTTACACAGTGCACTTTTCTTGCAACTTGCAATGCAGTTCTACTTTTGAGAGATGTAGATTTGGCAAAAGAAAAGTAGAATTGCATTGCGGGTTGCAAGAAAAATTGCATCGTGTAACAAGCCTTAAGGACGCCCGTCACAATTGAAAAGAAAATCGAGCGAAAAGTTTCGCCTTAATGGAAAACCGGCTCAAGTTAAAGGACTGCATTTTTCCTGTCGATTTTAGATGAGATCTTCTTTCATATGTATGAAGGAACCGGCCGCTATACATGCGTGATGGTTTTTTTTTATCTGCTATGCATTATTTTCTAGGTAACACCGCGTTGATCTACGCATGTTGCGGAGGTTACGAAGATGTTGTGAAAGTGTTGTTGGTTCATGGTGCTGAGATCGAGTCTCATAATGAGAACGGTCACACGCCTTTGATGGAAGCAGCTAGCGGAGGTCATGTGAATGTTGCAAAGTTGTTGCTCGAACGAGGCGCGTGTATTAATTCTCACTCAAACGAGTTTAAAGAGAGCGCCTTAACGTTGGCTTGTTATAAAGGTTAGTCAATTAGCCGTTGAAATCGTATAATAACGGGACTAGAAGGCCCACTTTAGCTGAAACTATGGCCAGTTAATGCATATTTTTGCATAGCGAAACGAGGGCACTTGCTCCGCTACATTGGTCTTTGAGTCATCGCATTATTCTATGGTTGAGATAGAGAGAAATAGTGCTGATTCTGTGTGCAGCAATGTAATAACTACTGGGCATCAGTTATGATTTGGGTAGCTTTTAAACTGCCGGGTCATGCGAAGTCAGATTATGTTCACTCTTTCATACTATACAAGATTGTATTCGATCCATTTGGGGCCATTTGGAGTGGGGAGTGTAAATCTATGTGTTACTTATAGTAGACCGGCAGTTACTAGTCAGATGGGTCAACTGGCTGATACACTCTATTTTTTAAGGGCATGTTGACATGGTGAAGTTCCTTCTGGATGCTGGAGCAGATCAGGAACACAAAACTGATGAAATGCACACGGCTTTGATGGAAGCTTCTATGGTAAGGAAATCAAACAATCGTCAGGGAGAATTTTTTAAGAATTGGTGTACATTTACTAGCAAGTGTTGGCGGAAATGATCATTCTTCCAATCTACCGCCTACGAATTATATGAAAAGGCACTCGATGAGTATGGTCATTGATTAATCTAAGATAGATTTCGAAAGCTCTACTCATGTACTAAAATATGGCTAATGATTTCGAAAACTCTACTCGTATACTAAAATATGGCTAATGATTTCGAAAGCTCTACCCATGTACTAAAATATGGCTAATGATTTCGAAAATAAATGACGTAAATCCTTTTTAATCAGCACATTTCTTGGATGTTTACTGTAAGCTGAAGGAAAAGGCAGAACTTCTCCGAAATTGATATAAATCCTTTATTATTGATATAAATCCTGTATTGCACCTGAATTACTTGAGATGTATGGTTTGTTTGAAGATTAAGGAATGATTCTGAAATGTTTAGTAGAAAGCACTACTGCTCTAGAAACGTGTACTGACTGTGTAGGTTCGATTGAAAGCAGAGTTTCATTTCTTTTGCAACCCTCCTAGTTTATTCCTGAACATTAATTGTTATATTTTATTCCTCGTACTTCGAAAGAAGTACCTAATACAGTTGATACAAATATATAACTTCATTATTTATTTAGGATGGACATGTTGAGGTTGCTCGACTGCTTTTAGATCACGGAGCGGAGGTTAGTAACCTCTTACATTTCTTGGCCTCCGATATTTCCTGATTGTTTTGTGTTGTCTTGTCTTTTCTTTTAATCCTTTTTGCTTTTGTCTTCTCTGTTATTCCTTTCTGCTTTTATCTTCTCTGTTATTCCTTACTGCTTTGTCTTCACTGTTATTCCTTACTACTTTTGTCTTCTCTGTTATTCCTTACTACTTTTGTCTTCTCTGTTATTCCTTACTACTTTTGTCTTCTCTGTTATTCCTTACTACTTTTGTCTTCTCTGTTATTCCTTACTACTTTTGTCTTCTCTGTTATTCCTTACTACTTTTGTCTTCTCTGTTATTCCTTACTGCTTTTGTCTTCTCTGTTATTCCTTACTACTTTTGTCTTCTCTGTTATTCCTTACTACTTTTGTCTTCTCTGTTATTCCTTACTGCTTTTGCCTTCTCTGTTATTCCTTACTACTTTTGTCTTCACTGTTATTCCTTATTCCCTTTGCCTTCACTGTTATTCCTTATTCCCTTTGCCTTCACTGTTATAGTGACCGCGTCCAGTAACATGCCGTATTCTCCCTAGGTCAACATGCCTGCCGACAGCTTCGAATCTCCCCTAACTCTGGCTGCCTGTGGCGGTCACGTGGAACTCGCCTCTTTGCTGATTGAACGAGATGCTTTCTTGGAAGAAGTCAACGACGAAGGGTAAGCGGCAGAATTACGTGCCTATTGATGGCTTCCATTCAGCATTTTTTTTACAGTTGCTTGAATCGAATGAGATCAACGAGAATAGTTTGTTATGAAAGCACGCCCCTTATGAGTTATGAAAACCAACAAAGAAGGTTGTGTAAGGCTAGCGTGGATAAATAATTTTTTAAATAAATGAGGCAGAAAAGGATAAGGCATCGCGCATTCCTGCAAGCAAACGCCATCTGAACAACAGAAATGCGCAATTATTTATTAAATCCCCACACAATCTACGATCTCACACTCAACCCGTAAAATGAATCAACGTGGAACTGTAGTAAAAACAGCCGTGGTTGACTGATAGCTAGTATAGCGGCTGACGGCGTTATTTTAGTAGTTTGGGTGAGTGGGGATGGAGTGGTACACCATGATTGGGGGCAACTGCCATGGCTAATTTCTTAAAATAAGTTACTCCCGTTTTCGTCATTTAGGTATACTCCACTAATGGAGGCATCGCGTGAAGGTCATCTTGATATGGTGGCCTTGCTACTTGACAAAGGTAGGCTCACATGCTCATATCTAAGGTCTGAAAAAGCTCAATCTATCGTGTGACTTTGGGCGATATGATCAAGCAAACTTTTAGCGTACACATTGGATGCGCTCTTTTCGAGAGAGTGGGTATGCTTGGTGTAACATGTTTTGGCTACATTAGGTATAAATGCGAGACGTGTATCGTAGTTTGAAATTATTTTTCCCGCGCCATAAAAGGTGCAGATCTTCATGCGCAAACTGATGAAACGCAAGAGACCGCTTTAAGTTTAACGTGTTGTGGAGGATTTCAGGACGTCGCCGCCTTTTTGTTAGACCGAGGTTAGTACTAACGTTAGTGTTATATAACTCAGACCAGACCTAGGACTAACAAGATCTTCTTCTCGTCCCTGAAAGGAATCTCTTAAAATAGTCCCGTAAAGTATCACTGCACGTAATGAACATTTTTAGGCATGTGGAGTTCACTATATTTTCGGTTGCATTTGCTTCGATTGGTTTGCGTTTTGTTCTTTACGTGTAAATATAGTTTCCTGAAAATTACTGAAATCATCTAATCTTGAAATGTGTGATGTGTACTGTAGTATTAATTCTCTGTCCTCTCGCAAACTTGCACAAAATATTGATTGATGCTCTCGCATTTATAAACAGGGGCGGATATCGAACAGGGTTCCTCGACCCCACTTATGGAAGCTGCTCAGGAAGGCCATGTTGATTTGGTGAAGTTTCTTTTAAGCAGAGGTTGGTTAGGTTTCAGAGAGAAAAGAAGTTAAACCTGCTTTGACGCATCGTATATTGAGCCTTAGCAATTTAGCTTTCTTACCATACTTTTCATGCCCTAATACAGTAGCTAAAAGTAGTCAAATCCTCGTGTGTTAAAAATTGCCGGTCGAAAAAGTGCACATTCTTATCGGCGCATACACGCAATAATAAATAAAAAATTCCTCGTTTTGCTTTCAATTAGACAACTTGTGATGACATAAGAAATGTAGCTAAATAGCTGCTCTTTCACACCACATAAGAATGAAGTCGTTAAATCAATCTCCCGCATAATAGTTGATTTCCGTTTTGGGTTTTTTTGAGACGCACTCCATAGTTGGTATTCTGCAAAAGTTTGTATTCAGGCTCAACATCTGAATTGTGGTGTAATAGGTTTTTCTGAAAGATGATAAAGTGCGACCACTGATACTGTATATATTATATAGTACATTAGTTCATCTTCAAAAGTGTCCACGCGGGCGATGGCGAATATATATAGATTACACGGGCACGCTGAGCTCAACGGCTTTTCATACGTGTAGCTATATTCACCATTATTTGCCATCATTTACTGGTTTTAGTATTAGAATTTTAAAATACAATTCGCCCGCAAACAAAAAGTGTTGATAATGTGGTTCTCAGAGACCTATATGCCTCATCTGGGCAAACATATTTTGATCTCGAGCACTCCAGAGGTCAGTCATGTCAGTGAGAGCGACCCAGCGAAGTAACAGCATTGCTTGTGCGACCTTTGACAAAGGGAAGCCTTGTTCACATTTGTCCTAAGAATCTGGGATTCCCTTTGTCTGAGGTAGCTGGTTTGCAAAATGCTTTGTCTGTCGGAAAGTAATACAATGGTTCCCCGATACTTAGGAGCTAGTGTGAACTTAGGTCTTAGGAACGTTTGTGAACTGAACAACTTGTGGTCAACTCAGTGAACCGTAAAATGCCTTAAAGCGTGCCATTGAAGCCCGCCAGTGATAGCGGTGGACCATTTATATAATGCTTCGAAAAAGAAAATATCTTTTACGTCGGAATGTGTTCAAGGCAAATACTAAAAGCTCAGACTAGGCGTCTGTATTTACATGTGCTTTAAGGGAAACTTTCAGGGCTATTAAATCTTTTTCATCAGCACGTAAAACGCTATTTTAAATGCAAAACTGGTACCAGCCGACATTTGCTGCCACTTGTACTCGCCCTAGTTTTTTTTATTATCGCGCGGTTCCCGCCTTTTAGCAATCAGCATTCAAATTGGCTTTAGTCAATCATTTTGAGGGCATATCGCTGGACTTCCAGTCCATTCATCCAGTCTCTGCTAAAGTTAGGCTTGTATTTTGAAAGCTTGTTCATGCATTACTCAGGTGCAAATGTGAACGGGACAACTGCCACTGGCGATACGCCTCTGTCGTTTGCCTGCGAAAATGGCCACACCGATGTTGCTGATATTCTTTTGGAAGTTGGAGCAGAGCTGGTGAGTATTGTACATGGCAATAAGTCAAACACAAGAACTTTGCCAAGTTCGAGTGCTTTTGAAAAGAGGGGTTTATTTTTAAGCACACTGATTTCGAAATCGAGGAAAACCCTAAAGGGCGAAATTTTGAACTCACTTTTAAAGCTGAAACCAGGGAAAACCTTCAAACGGTGCGATATGATGCGAGTCATTTTAAACTTTAGGGACTTTGAAAACTTGAATTATTTCAAAAGTCTTCAAATCTCGTCAGACAGTAGGCATGATCATCTGATCATGTAGGCATGTATTAGGGAATTTCGAGTTTTTTCAACAGTATTTTTGCTTCCGTGTTTTTGGGCGAAATAAAATGGTTGGAATCACAGGAATGCGTAGTACATTTCGGGCATTATTCGATATCGTAAGCACATTTTCACTGCCCTCAATTTATTGGCAGGGCACGGCTAGAATTTTTGCCCGCAATATTAGGGCCAACATTCATGTTTGACATGAATAAACTTGGTAGGGGAAAAGATTTTAATGCCCTTCTTTGGCTATAGTATCAGCAGGTCTTTGCAGCGCGGGAAATTCATGGTTCAATATTACAGCGGATCAAAAGAGGATGTGCGGTCAGAGTTGCTGCTACTTGACCTTAATCTTGATGCGATTTTCAAATTGATCAGATTATTTTGATACTCCTTATTTAGATTTCCGTTAATTTCGTGTAAACGTCTCTTAATAACAACAATAATAATAGTAATAATAATGAAAATAATTATGAAATTTCTGGCTAACCTACGTATAATCAAGCTGAGTGGTTACTTTCATATGCTTTCACCAATCATCGTATTTAGCTAATGTTCTTCTTAGTGGTAAATCCATCGTAATTTTTTAATTTAAGATGATTATAAAATACTGTTACTATCCGTGCGCCTTAATCATGTCAGCTGAATAATAACGCACCGGCCTTTCAGCGAAAATTTGTAGAAGATTGCTTTATGATAAACGCGTATATGCTTACAACTTTCATCCTACCTTAGTAGTGGGTTGTAATTGCGTGAAAAGAAACTGGATTTCAGCAGCAAAACTCAACTTCAAGATTATGACTGCATGTCGCTTTCCATCTATTATAGTTCAATGTTTAATATTCATTTTGACTTTTTTTTGTGCAGGAACACGAGTCGGAAGGTGGACGAACGCCGTTGATGAAAGCAGCACGAGCAGGCCACCTTTGCACCGTTCAGTTCCTCATCTCACGAGGTATTGTATGGTTAGGGATTGCATGACCCCTCGATTTTGGGTAGCCAAACGTGCATGGAAATTATTTCTCTCTTGAACCATGCTTTGGATAAAAAAAACTGTGCGAAACAGTCGCGGATCTAGAGGTGTGCAGAATAAATTACACAGATTAATTTTAAATTCAAAACACCTTAATAACAACGCTATTGGTTATAGATTTGAAAAGAATATTTTTACATTCTAAAAAGAATATTTTTACGAATCTGCCAATGCGATTCCGATTTTAAGCTATAGAAATTTATTCTGACCACCCCTAGATCCGCCACTACTGCTTCAAGAGGCAAACTGCGAGCATCGTTTCCGCCGATAATTAAGCATTATAGAAATCTGTTTAGCAGGCAGTAGACCTCGATTACCAAGGCAAGGATGCAATTTATTTTACCATTCTACCACGACCGATGCATTGAAGATGCAAATTTTTATATATGAGAAAGCAGGCCACTGGAACTTTCTGTCTTTCAGATTGTGTCGAGAATTTCACAACAATTTTTCTGTTTTTCTTCAGGTGCTGATGTGAATCGAGCTACGACAACGAACGATCATACGGTGCTTTCGTTGGCCTGCGCTGGAGGGTATCTCGCTGTCGTCGAGCTACTCCTGGCGCATGGCGCTAAACCTGATCACGATTTGAAGGTACATGTATAGTAAATAAGTATATTCAAAACACGAAGAGTGAACGTTAATTATTGTCAAAATGGGTTTCTAGGATAACTCGACAATGTTACTGGAAGCGTGTAAAGGGGGTCATACCTCTGTTGCCCGGCTACTTATGGAGACGCCTCTGCATGGAAATCACCCCGAATATCGTTTCGCTGCCATCCAACCCCCCAGCTCGCCCTCCTCCCCACCCCGTGTCCCCCCAGTTCACTCGCTGGACCAACTCGATCCCAACCTGCCTCTCCCTGGCCTGAACTGTAACCATCACGATTTGTTACCCTCGACCTCCATAATGGTCCCTCCTGGTCTACTGCCATCTACTGGTGTACCAATGACGGACGATAAGCTTGGATTTCTCACCAACAGCTTGTATAAGAACGGTGAGGACGGGATTGTTTTTACTTGTCTTATTTACCTATAAATGGTAACGTTACGGTATGTACACAACGTTATGGAATGTGCGCAGTATAGTTAGAAGCAGCTCCTGTAAAAGTATTTGGCAAGATGCCCGCATCCTGACATGGTGGAGTTGGCACAAGTGTATAGAGTACAAATACGGTTAAAATGATAACAATTTGGACGCACTTAAAATCTTTAAAATCAGCCCCAAGAAACGATATCTAAGTTAAACGTTCAAAGTGTCCATTCACCTTGTGAAGTCTTCAATGAGACCTTTCATTCAATGTAGACAAAAGGTCTATAACAGTATCATTTTGTCAAACATGCAACATGATACAATATTTCAGTTTTGCATAATTTTTCGTTATTGGAACCTTATAGCTTTCCTCAACGAATTGGAACGTGAAATGCCGTCGCTCACGCCGGAAGAACAACAACGCATCGAGGCCGAATTAGCACGTGTCAAGCACGAGGCGCTCGAGATCACCACGCCACCTTCGCCTTTTCGACTGGACGCCGCTGTCGCAGAGGTCGACAGTATCGGCGACGGCGACGAATCTGGGGCGAGTGATGATGGAGACAGTTTGCACAGCGGATATGCAGGTGCGATGTGCTCGTGTAATTCTTTTATAAAGTTAACACGACATGAAAGGAACCTTTTATAATGCAAAATATATCTTTCGAAAAATGTGATAAATGAATTCTCCGTAAACAAACCTGCTGAGTTTTCACTTATTCTTTTTGAAAATATTTGCACGTTTTCTTCATATTTACACGCTTAAATTTTTGTGTTAATGCCGAACATCTGAATATTTCGTTTGCAAGCGAAGTCTCTTCGAATGAAAATCCGCACATAGTTTCCAATGAACTTTCGTCGCCTTTAGCCACCAGGGGCCGGTTTTTCAAAAGCCGGTTAGCTTAACCCTGGGTTAACTCTAATTTTCACATCAATTTTTTTAATCGCTCGTTTATGAAGTTGAACATGTTTTTTCGTAAAAATTTTAGTCTTATTTATTAAAGTCTTGAAACAAACAGCGGCGCAGAAGCATATAAACCAAAACAGCGGAGTAAAATTTAACCCAGGGTTAGCGCTAACCTAGCTTTGAACAGCCGGCCATTTCGGATAGGAAAAGTAGAAAACAGTTCTCTTAAATATTTTTCTGAAAAAAAACGAAAAAATATCAACTTACATTGCTTTTTAAATCACGTAGTTAAGACTACGAAGTTTTTTGAAAATGCCGTAGTCAGACTGGGCGATGGCTACGAGGCTATGGCGTCAGTCAATATGACGAATCTCGTACTCATAATCTAAAGTTATCTGATATAGATAGTAAAGAGAAATTCTTTCTGTCGTACTTGAAAAGATTTTAGCATCAATTCAACTTCTTAAGACAGCTCTTAATATGACAAACTTCATTATTTGATGGTCGTAGATCACTCGGATGAAAGCTCCCCGTGTGATTTTGTCGGGCCATCATCGATGCCGCTGACACCGACACCGTCGCCAGCGAGCCCCACGTTCGTGCCCGCGATCGATATCGAACAGCAGACGGAAAGCAATCACGACACCGCGTTGTCTATGGCGGCTGCCGGAGGGCATGATGATCTTGTAAAGCTGTTGCTTCAGCGAGGATCGACCTTGGAACACCGCGATAAGAAAGGTTAGTGATGGTTTTCGGGGTGCTGAGTAGTTACGGTTCGTGGAAGTACCATCTAGGCACATCTCGATAATAAACTTACTACAGCGGGAAACAACATTTGTAAAGCATCAACAGTTGAACTTTGCCTTTGCCTTGGGGATTTTCGCCACATTCTTGAAGCTGGTTGGCTGCACTACTAGCGTTGTCTGAAACGGGTTGAAATGCAATCCCAGCCCCTGGATCCCTGCGAAACTTTCTATTAATTTCTTGTTGAAAATGGCTTCCTTCATGCTGGCGATGTTTTTACCCATAAAACACGTTATGCCATCTAAGTGAGTTCGCGGGTTAGGGGAGTAATAATTACCTAGCCAGTATAAAGTTATATTTTGTTCCGGTTCTGAAGCTAATAATCTTATATATGTTATATATGTGGCTGCTTGCCCTGCATGTATTTAAAGACTTGTGTCATTATTTAGGATGTACGCCTTTAATTCTGGCGGCAACGGCCGGTCATGCGTCTACAGTTCAGATGCTGCTAGACCACGGCGCAGATATAGAGGCACAATCCGATCGAACCAAGGACACCGCATTATCTCTCGCCTGTTCTGGGGGGAGACAAGAGGTACGGACTTATATTGCGTTGTTCCACTCAGATTCAAAGTGCTTCCGTTATATTTATTTTGATATTGTACCTATATATGACATAGCGTGGATGGAGCAAAAGAGAAGTGTTTTTGAATAGGAAGCTGATTTTTGCGATATGTTAATATTTAATACTTGGATTGTCCTAAACATTGTTTAGAGAACTTCCATTTTCTCCGCTGGAATTAATATAGATTTCTGTTTGGAAAAACTGCTCATTGCTAAAAATAGTTCGTTTGTCATAAACATGTCAATCAAACCGTGGGAAATTTAAAGAGTTGTAAAGTGGGTCTAAACGTATTTCATTTCGAAGAATACCCCGTCCTTAATTGCCTTCAAACCATAACTAATTTTAGTTTACAATGACAAAACAATCAGAGGAGTGATACAAATACAAAATTTGCAATGATTAAAAGTTGAATTCGCAGTGATTTTTAAAGGGGTTTTAAAAGGGATTATTGAGAATGGACAAAGCAGAGGTGCGCCTGGGGCCGGTTGTAGGAAGCCCGTTTAGCTTAAACGGTGGATACGTCAAAACTAAATAACACTCTTACATCTGTCTGGAACGAGTCAACTTGAATATTATGCACTGAATATGTAGTTGTAAACAGTATTTTTGTACTAAGGCTAAAACATTTTGTTTGCTTGTTGAATAAAACGATAGACTTGATTTCTATTTTGAACTTATCCACCGTTTAAGCTAAACGGGCTTGATACAACCGACCCCTGGGCATTTAGTATTTTAGATTTTGCCGTTTGAATGTATTTTGTAGTGTTTTATAATACGGGTGAACGCCTGTGAGTATTTGCCCGCATAGGAATGAAAGCCTAGTATAACATTACCGTATTTTAAAAGCCGAAATCAAGCGTTGAAATTCTGTGTTTACGAAATGTTGTGGTGTGTTTCGAACAAATGTCCATTGTATTCTCCGTAAACAATTAAGGGTATAACTTCTCAATACGAAACCATAACACTCTTGATAACGGACGTCTTAGCTCAATGCTGTTTTTACAATTAATGTTTTAAGAAATATCATTAACCCAAGGTTAAGGAGCTGTATGGTTTAAGGGTGAAAACTTGATATGGAGAACAAGTAAACTGTGTATGCGCGACTGTAATGGCCTCTGGAGAAAGGCCATTTCTTTGGGAACTGGCCAAGAAAACTAATGTTAGTCGGGGGTTTATGTAATAGGAAATGTACAGTGATAAATTATAACTGAAAATGTAGGTTAAACCTACGGCCCATCAACCGGACCCCATGGACCAAAATGTTGATAGTGAGGCAAAAACTGCATGGACCTCATTGTATCTTCCTCCTGGTAAGCCCTGCATTTAAACACTACATTTCATTCATCTCTGTATCCATAGGCTGTAGAAGTGCTGATCGCTGGTAACGCCAACTTCGAACATCGCAATGTCTCAGACTACACTCCATTAAGTCTGGCTGCATCGGGCGGTTACATTGGCATCGTTAAAATACTCCTAGCTCACGGTGCGGAGATCAATTCGCGAACTGGTAGCAAGCTTGGTATCTCTCCTCTGATGCTGGCTTCCATGAACGGGCATACTGCCACCGTGAAACTACTCCTCGACATGGGCGCGGACATCAATGCCCAGATCGAAACGAACAGGAATACGGCGCTGACCTTGGCGTGCTTTCAAGGCAGGCACGAGGTCGTCAGCTTGTTGGTTGAGAGACGGGCGAATATCGAACATCGTGCCAAGGTAAGCGAGAACTAGTTAGTCGAGTGAGAGATTTTTTTACCGTCATCTAATTGCTAAAATTTTACGCTATTTTTACCACGATTTTGATTGATTGGTTCTCTTTTTAGAATATTGGAAGTAACTTGAAAATTTGGCGTAGGGCGTAATGCACTGCATGGATTTTCAGTCGTTCCTTCATGTGTTTTTCCCCATTTTATTTTAGACTGGGCTAACTCCGCTCATGGAAGCCGCGTCAGGAGGTTATGTTGAAGTAGGTCGTGTCCTGTTGGATAAAGGGGCTGACGTCAACGCCCCGCCTGTGCCCTCGTCACGTGACACCGCCCTGACGATTGCAGCCGACAAAGGTCACCAGAAATTTTGTGATCTTCTCCTGTCTCGTAGCGCCATCGTGGAAGTGCGAAATAAGAAAGGAAGCACGCCTTTATGGTTGGCTGCAAACGGTACGTTTGAGTGCGGTTTTTTTTAGTACCGCTAGAAATTCTATACGTTCTCGCTTTTGGGAGGCCATTTTCCGTCAAAGTCGTGATCATCAAATCGTCATCATGAGTTCATCATGATCATTATCATCATCCGATGATCATAGAAAAATAATCACCATTATCAGTAGATTATAATCATCATCATCGTCACTTATTTTATTCAGGAGGCCATCTCGAAGTCTGCCAACTTCTCGCACGATACGGCGCGGATGTGAGCAGTCAGGACAATCGCAAGGTATCCGTTCTGATGGCTGCCTTCAGGAAGGGTCATGTCAAAACCGTAAAGTGGATAGTCCGTCACGTCACGCAGTTTCCCTCCGAATCTGATTCAGCTAGATTCATTTCGACCCTCAGCGATAAGGTATGCACGAAAGTAGATTGGAAGTTATTATTTTGAAGTTGATTTAGAAGTAATTTTACAAAACCACCCCCATTTTCGTAACAAAAGTTCCGGACAAGATTTTATTGTTCCATTGAACTCTCAGTGGGGTCTTATTGTTCAATGATTCAATGTACTCGACCCTTTAGTTTTTCTAAATTTTGAGCAGATATATTAAGCGCTAAACGTCGTGCGTAAATAAAACCACCATGCTCTTTAAAAACGCTTTTCGGTGTGGATATTTCAAAAAGGGAAAGAAAACTAACAGACAATCGTGGGCATGTCTATCTCCAGATATCATTCCAGTTGTACTGGTGTTATGGCTTAAACTGGCTTGACCACCTCTAGGCCTCTACCAGATTGTGCTCGTAAATTAATAAATAATTTTTACGGTCCAGATTTTATTTAATAATTTGTGAGGAATTCGCAGTATTGAATATGTAACGGCCTAAAAGGTGCTTCCGATAGCTCAAAAAACAAAGGTTTTCCCAGGTTGCTCGAAACCAGAACAGTTGCTCAAATCCAGAACAGTTGCTCAAATCGTCAAAAGTTGCTCAAAAGTTGCCGAGCAGAATCTGTAGAGGCGTGAGGTCCGCTTCCAACAACCCATCCATTGAGTCGAAGTGAAGCACCGACCGTGGATTTGGAAATATACAATTACTTAATGGTTTCCGTGTTTGGATGGCCTAATCCAAACACGCGGGAATGCCCATCCCATGCAAGTGTTTGGATCAGGCCATCCAAACACGGAAACCATTAAGTAATTGTTTTATAAAATAACAACGACAAGGCCTGAATTTAAATTTAAATTCTTTAAAACTTTGAATTTCGACCAATCAGAACACGCGTTATATACATGTTATTTTATAAATGAAGTTCCAATATTTATTCTTAGGAGCTCCTGAAAAAATGCCAGCAATGCATGGGTGTCATCCGCCACGCGAAAGACCGCCAGGAAGAAGAGGCCGCGAAGAATGCCTCCATCTTGCTCCAGGAAGTGGACATGGAGAAAGAGCGAGAAGAGGTGAAAAAGCAAGCAGCCGCACGACGCCGTGAGAAAAAGAAGAAGAAAAAGAAGAACAAGATGGCAGGGAAAGGAGAAAATGAGAAGATGGCAGGAAAGGAGGAGGAGGGAGAAGATGACGAGGAGCCGATGGTGATTGTCAAGGAAGAGATCGAAGGGGTCCAAGAAGAGAAGAGTAAAGGTGGGTGTGGGTGGGTTCGTCCCTCTTCTTTTGTTCTTAAAATGAAGTGCGGGAGGTGATAAGAAACACCGATTTCCAAGGGAAATATAATGTGAGAGAAGTCGAAAGTGTTGATAAGGATAGTTGTTAATAGTGGATCAAGTCATAAAGAGCTCTATATGTAGACTGAGTAGCGCTTTTCGCCGGATAGTGATTTTTTCAACAGTTGTAAAAATGATTCATAAGCAATAAAAATACAGATTTAGAGCTAATGAATAGGTTACTACAAAGGTTTAATCCAGGTTACACAGAATAACGGGCAATTTCAGAACGATCGAAAAACACTATCCGGTGGATATACCATGCACTATCCAGCTTTTGTACAACCACTCGCAGAGAAGAATGCTTATGGCAAAGGCCATAAAAATAGGTTGACGCGCTAGAAAAGTACGACGAGTGTTGATGGAATGTTTTACTGTTCTAGATACCAGCGATCGAAGTCCGAATAAAAAGGACTCGCCTAAGAAAGAAGCGATGGACGCTCTCACTAGCATTGCAATAACTACAGCTGTTGCTTCTAGTGTGTCTGGCAAGTAAGTGATCTTTTTGTGTTAGGTACACTAAAATCTTGTGGAAGTGACAAACGTATGACATATTAGCTACGTATTTTCCTTGACTTTCATACAGAAGGGCAAAAATGGCCCTGAGTTCGCTTGACTTCTTGTTAACTTATGATAGCTTTTGGAGTTATACTGACAAAGGGGTTCAAATGGGTGAAAATACATGTTGCCCGCTCAAAAAAATTTCAACCAATAACCATGTTTGATTTTCAGACACGTGGAAAGAACGTTCGCAATGACAACATCCGAGATCACGAAGGCCGTTGCGTCGACGATGTACACCACTGCAACCAGGATCAGCGATATCTCGCCAATCACTGTCGCTACTGCGGCTGCGCAATGCGTCACTGTCACCTTGACGACGACCTCCCCCGTGATGAGCAGTACGACGTCTCACAGTCGTATCAAGGCCTCACCCAGTTCCAGGAGGGGCAGGAAACACGAAGAGGGTTGGAATGTTGTCATTAGAAGGTAATAACATTTTCGAAAGTTGTTTGAAGTTCCTATGGCTTCCCTTGAAGTTGCCAAAACTGGCAGTTACAACAAGCTGTTGTTTTGTGACCGCATTGATTACCAGAACTGTAGATTCAGTATATGACGTTTTAAGCAAATTCTTTCGCCTTAGCAAAACTTTGAGGAATAAAAAGTAAAGAGTGTGCTTGATAGAAAAGTTTTATTTGCTCGGAACGTGTTGTTGTTGAACCTAGCTGCACTGAGCCTTCCATGCTTAAGCAATCCAATGATTTTATTAGTTACTTTAGTCTATTTTCCATTTTTTTTTAACATTTTCCCTTAAACTTGAGCCTTGACGGAGATTGTATTTGGGAACTAGAATTTGGCTAGAAAAAAAGAGTTGCTGTTTCAAATTTTATAGCTTTTTAATGAACACAGCAAAAGTATTTAGATTGACAATATTTCTTAAGTCTTGAAGTTTGACGGCTGCCTTTACAATGCCATCATCTAATGTCGACCATCTTATAACTATATCTCGTCCTGCGTTTGTATAGATCTAAGAAACTCTCAGTGCCCTCCTCTGTAATCAGTCGTGTCATCGGGCGAGGCGGTTGCAACGTGAACGCTATCCGCGACGCCACTGGGGCCCATGTGGATATAGACACCAGCAACCAGAAGGCTACGGGAACGTGCACCGTCACGATAAAGTGAGTCCACGATTAATTTCTGTTTACAAGTCTGGAACCGGTTGTTCAAAGGCGTTTAGCGCAAACGGTGTATAAGCCAAAGTTTAATATATGTCTTTAATTTTATCTTTAAAACATATCGTTTACCATACATCTTTTGAATGGCTGAACCTTCATCTCAGGCATTAAATATGTACTTCCATTCAAAATTAAACTATTTGCATCGAAATATTTCAGCTCATGCAGTTGTTCAATAAATAAGTAAATTTGTTTTTCATTTTGAACTTATCTGCATCTAAACACCTTTCGAACAACTGGCCCCTGATTCACGTTGTCCTGCAGCCTACCATATTCCTGCCGTAACGCCGAGGCATCAACATCAACACTGTCATCTATAAGAACACTTTCATATAAGTTGCCTATATAATAATGATAATAATATCCTCGATTTTATAGAGCACATATCCTAAAGTTATAGGCGCTTTACGAATAGGAAAAAAATATTAGAAACAATTATTTACAATCGTTTACATATGCTTAATAATTACGTACTTATAAACCATCTACATCAATCAAGAGAATGATACAGGGAACTATAAGTAATAAAAAGTTTTAAAAGAAAAATTTTGAGATCCTTTTAAAATTGTTTCTCTGAGTGGCAAGCTGAAATACTGAACCCCGAGTTAGCCTTTTGTTTACTTACTGTTCCGCACCGTCCATTGGAAAAAAGCCATAATAAATGCGATCCACACTTGTCCACCACGTTCAACACAGTATGATGAGTTAAGTTCTGATGTCTCTTCGAATTCTGTTTCAGGGGAGCAGTTGAGGCGACGAGAGAAGCTCATCAACTCATTCTGACCTTGATCAAGGATCCTGAATGTGATATCAACGATCATCTACCACGTTCGAAGCAATCCCAAAACACCTCTGCATCACATCGTTCATCCTTCGAGATCCCCGCAGCCAGTACCCACTCCACCGCGCACGATGCGTCGCGTGTCTCGCGCGTGCCCTCCACTTCTGTATCCCTTAGTACAACTTCCTATCCTTTGGTTATCCCTGTGTCGAGAAGTCTCCACTCGCGTCCTGAGAAGAGGTCAGTACGGTGTGTAAATTTTATTCGTTCAACGTTGTCGATACATGTTATGAACGTGTTAAACGTGAAAAATTTTCCTTTAGATTTAGTTTAAGTTCTGTTTTTTATCGATAAAATTTTTTTTAATCATTTTATTTATTGCTCATTTTCAATAAAAAGGTTCCTTTAGCCTTATTCAAAGCGTTGTTACAGATTCCTACAGTTGTAGTTGAAGAAACACCTGTAGTTAATTGTGTTTCGATTCAAAAGAATGACGATTTAAACGAAACAGGAATCCAATAGAAAAAATAAAAAGTCTCATAGCAGTCATTTAATAGCAGCTGTTAACAGTTTTAGCGCAATATTTCGAACTGTTTTGAATATTTCGATACCAGAATGACATTGTTGAGTTAAATTATTATTGATTGTCATTATCAATTATTTTTAATTTCCTTGTAGGTCACGTCCAGCAAGTACTGCTGTGTCATCATCGCACCTGCCCGGAAACGTTCGCTGGGCTTCGCCGACCTACCAAGCACCGACGAAAACGACCAATGTTTGCGACTTCCCAGTGCAGCACCCGAGCAGCGTACCCACTACTCAGCCGAGCAGTTCTGGAAGGGGCACATCTGCTGCCCGTTCTCCTGCCGCCCGTCAACTCGTATATGCGAGCGACACGTCGCCGCCGCCCCTCCAATCATCACCGCCCATCCGAGTAACGTCGACAACCGCCCGAACAGCGTCGTTGGCAACTCGTGTTACACCATCAAAGACCAGCGCGACGGCCTCGACCACCCGAGTGACGTCTTCGAAGACTAGCGTAACGTCGTCGTCCAATCGGATAACGCCGCCAACCACCAAGGTCACTTCAGCCACATCTCGTATGACGTCATCGACCGCACGTGTGACGTCATCGAAAACTAGTGTGACGCCATCGACCACCCGAGTGATGTCATCTTCGGAGTATCGAAGCTCGAAACAACTCAGCTACTCGAATGTCGCGGGGGGTGTAATGCCTGGAAATGGCGACAAGTCCCTTATGATTGGACCGGATAGTGGCCTCAACGGTGCGGCACTCCCCCCTGTGATAAGCAGCATTCTGTCGCAAGTGTGTCAAACTCGAAGCCCGATTGTTTGGAACGAGGGGTACTTTCCGAAATCCGCGTCTGAGCCTGACGACCCTCTGGATAGCATCGGGGAGAGTGGCGAGTTCTCACAACCCCTCTCCGTAGCCACGTCTGGGGGATTCAAGCCTCTACCTCACGAAAACTCCCCACCAATCCCGTTGAGTGCGTCGCCCACGTCTAGCTCCTCGCCCATAGTCGATAGTACGCCATCTCCCCCCGCTGCCTTGGCAAATGCAGTTGAGGAGAAGCCTATTCAGCCAATTGGGACAGAGAGGGCAGCGCATAGAAGAACTAACACCAGTCCATCGCCAACTTTGACCGGGGTACCGCCGTTGATCTCAGCTGGTAAGTAGAGGTTAGGTGTAATACACTTCGTTTCGTGACCAAATGATTCAGGGGAAATATTTTTCTATCCGGACCTCGCAGCCGGTAAATAACATATATATCTTCGAGCGAACCGTGTAATGTTCTGTTTATTATATGACTAAATTCAGAGTGACAAAAATACACACAAAGACGACAGGTAAATAAGCCACGAAAGACCATTATAAAAGCGAGTATTTTTTAAATTATGGCCTAAAAATTAAAGTGGTATAAATTTTACTTATCTAAAGACTGATGTCTTTTAAGTGTTTTATTATTATGACGACTGTGACTCGATAGTGTTACTTGGGACATGCTTTTCTTACTTGATAAAAATTAGTAAAAAGTAAATTTGGGTTCACTTTTGATGGTATAATAAAAATACGGAGTCTAACTTTGTCGTAATGTATTCCCTTATTTATTTAGAAGGAACAAGTGGAACCACGAACAGCGTTTGGAGTTACTATCCCAGTAAGTTGCCTGATATTGATATTTTTTCAAATCCACCCAACGACTTATTTGTAAATGTAGCTGTACTAGAAATATTCTATTGAACATTCTCGAGGAATCTCTGTTCGAGAAGTTAATAGTGGATTTACCAATAATACGCGTATGCTGACGTTCTATGCTTTTCCAGATACTTCACCCTCGTCAGCTTGGCCTACGACTTCCCTCGACACCAGGGCATTAGCATCGCCGCCTTTGGTTGCCATGGATACGTCAACCTCGCCACGACCGATCTCCTCCACGGCTATCTCGCAAGCGCGGTCCAACGATAGCCTACAAGAGTTTCTCGATAGACTTGGACTGTCCAACTACCTTGTCCTCTTTCAGGTAACCAAGTGACATTCATGTTCAGTATCAGGCTATACACACCTTGGGAGCAACTGAATCTCCCCCCCCCTGCGGGGCCTGGGTTATTTGATGAATACATGACTGGCTTGTATAATACATGAAAACCTGCCCGGGTGGAATTTCGTTCCACAATCCAACCGCTTGCAGGTCGCACCTTCATTTTGTTCATTCCTTTCAGAAAAACGAAATCGATCTTGAAGCGTTGTTGTTGATGACGGAGACGGACTACGCGGAAATTGGATTGCCAAAGGTCAGCGAATAGGTTTTTTAGCCAAGTTTTCTGCAGTTATAATATTATGGCAATTGCTTACAATTACCGCTGTTAAACTCAAATTGGTGGAAGACTATGTTTAAACACGCATATACTAAGGACGCGTGTTGGGCAAATTTCTTATCGGCCAATTTGTCATTCTTATTTGACTTCTGTGCCTACTTCTTACAGTAGTACCGTCGTTGATGGTTATCTTTACCACTGCAGATATTTCTGTAGATCATTTTCAGTTAGAGAAGTCTTCATCTAAGAGTCAGTCCAGCTAAACACTGAGCTCATCAAAGAGTTCTGTTTCCATTTTCCACAGGGTCCCAGTACCAAGCTCCTGAGCTCGATACGTCGCATGTACAATCCTCAAATGGTTGTCCGATCACAACATGAGATCTATCGTCCTGAGTTCGGTTACGGAGTGATACGAGCTAACTATCCACGCCCTGCGGTCCGTTCGTCTCCTGTGCGATCAAATATCTCATGGAGACAACCGCTGCCACAGCGCCCTGTATTGCAGCCGCAAAATATTCCGAATGGCTCGATTCCTAACAGCCCAGAGACGTATAATGGCGGTCATGGAAGTGGGGTAAGCTGCTTGTAATTCACTACAAATGCAAATTATTGCTTCGCTTGTGATAAGAGCCATTTGAAAACAATTCAAGCATTTTTGGGGTTTTTTAACACGACAACACGTTCCCACTCAAGGGAAATATCCTTACAAAAACCAACCATGTCTGTGCTGATGGCCCTGATAATTTGTTGTTGAAATATTTTAGATGTGGAACGCGTGGAGTCGAACGGCGATCTAGTAGGTAATTCGATGCTGTGTTTCTTTAGTTTTGATTAAGTTTAGGAGATGAAGGTGTACGGTGGTGGATCCTGTCCTGAATTTTAGGGCAGTGCACCAGCAACCAACAGTGCTCCTCGAATTTGAAGTGCTCGCAATGCACCAGCTTGAGATACTGAGTTCATATGTCGAAAGTTCAGAGCGGGCACCCTCCCTGCACATATCCTCTATAGACCACAGGGGGGAGTTCTACTCTCCAGATGAAACTCAACCATGAAACCGTTCACTCTTGATTTGCCGGCTTCCCAATATTTTGGGGGTTTTTTGCATACCCCAATTTAGCCATAAGTTTAAAGACTGATTAAATTTGGGTGCCTTAATTCCCTTTTTTTCGTATGTTCTCTTTCCTTTCTGACACAGGTTCTCTCCATGTTTTGTTTTTAGGTAGCCTTGCAGCAGTTTTGTTTGTTAGACTTGACGTTGTTGCTTGTTGACGAGGTTTTGCGATCAAACAATAGTTATTGTAATGGTGTTTCATTTCGCTCTCTGTACTCTCAGATTATCTCTATTCAAATTATTAAAACAGAAACAAATCGAGCTCTTGTTTTACTGTCTTATAAACTGCGTAATTTTGAATAATTCGGTAAAGACCGACGCTTAACGCGTACTCGGCGATGAATAAATGTTAAACTGAGAAAGTCAACATGAAGTATAATGACGTAATCTTGCGTGTTCAATGTGAATGCCGAAATTGTCCAAAGAAAGGCGGAAAATCCCGATGTATTACGTTATTACGCAATTGCATATTTTCTGTAGTACATTGAAATTTAGTAAAATAATCTCACCATTTTTTAAATGTTCCCAATTAGTATAAATTCCAAGGTGATTTTTGAAATATTGTATTCAACAAATCGGTCATCCGTCGTGGGGAAATTTAAGATGGCAGCCACTCAGTTTTTTCGAAAAATCACTTGATTGAATATCACCTATACCTTTATTACCTAAAAATTTGTTTCCTACAACTGTTGGGGTTTTTTAAATATTTGCCTCATACGGGCTATGTTCATATCATTTCACGTACGTTGTTACAAATCTTGCACGTTCTCGTGCATGTTGTGTTGTTTGTACGCTTGAGTTAGAACAAATACAAAACACCCCATATTTCAACAATCATAATAAATTTAAAATAATTCATCAATCACTTCAAAAAATTTTAACACGTCACACCAAATCTTATGATTCGCAAAGAATTAAGTCACGAAGTGATTAAAGTCATTCAATAAAATATAAATTTCAATCAAATCTGTATTCGTGTCGAAAATAACTTTATTCATAATTCACATGATTAATTTTGCAATAATGTATGTACACAATTTAATAATTACCGTCCATTGAAATAGCGGAAATTAATGCAAAAATAGAATTGAAGATATTTAGCCAATAATTTCAGTATAATAATTTCAATAAAGTTAAATCATTTTTTGCAAGGTACAGCTACGTACGATGCATTTCAAACGTAACAATCCAATCCACCATCATAATATACCAGCAATCTACTAACCAACTGCGGTTACTGCTAATTCTTTCATACACCTCGTAACAGTGAAAAAGTTAAACACCCAATTTCAATAACATTGAAAATCCTTTTGGAATATAACGCATCTTTAAAAGGCTGTTTTGCGCGATTGCTGAGTAAGGCACTATACTTCATGCGGTACAGATTGTTAGAAGTCGCTGTTGGTTTAAGCAAATTCGTGGTAAAAGCATTCGTGTTACCAGTAAGTACAGATCATAAATTACTCATTCAAGAGAAACATTCCGCTAATTTTAGCTAAGCCGTGAACAGACGCGTTGTACATTTCAGTGAATTCCGTGTCGTAATCTATAAAAAATATATATAGCGTTCAAGATCGACCGAGTTACAAGAACGATTGTGCGCGCCAGTTTGCACCATTGATCCGCGTATGGTTATCTGTAACTCCGAAAATTAGAGCACTTATGACTTACCATGAAGAGCATGAGCATCTTCGTGTAGTCCAAGAATGGTTTCCTCCCAAACTTCGAAAAATGCAGCAACTAGCAAACCACGTTGTTTCTTACACGGTATAACTTTCAAAATCCTCTTCATCAAACTGACAAACCACTCAAGCTTTTGATTGTATTCACGTCCGTCCACCTTATCTCCCAGCAGTGCCTACAGATTTCAAAAATAAAATGGAGAACTTCTTGCTTCATTGCCCAGTGTAGGAATTGCGAAATAAGAAAAATACACGGTTACAGGGAATGGGATTCTGAAAAAATTATAAGAAGTTACAAGCTCCCCAATTTACCACCATCATCCACCAATCTGGGTAGGTACCGACTTACCATAAACGCAGTCAAATTAAAATTTTCAAAGTAAAGACTAGCTTGTTTTAATTTTCTTGTATGATTGCATGGCGACTTTAGTAATTATAATAACTTGTAGGTACACCACGTAAGTATTAAATACTGCAAAGCTTTCGGTCCGTTAACCCGGACCTTCATCAGTGCAATTACTTGAATACACATTTGCGCGTCACTTAAATATCATGTTTGTCGTGATTAGTTTGCTCGCGCTATTAATTAAACGGTTTCATTTAATTAAGTTCTAATTAATGCGCGCGCCCTAGGTGTCTCTTAGTCAAATACTTGTCTAGGGCGCGCGCATTAATTAGAACTTAATTAAATGAAACCGTTTAATTAATAGCGCGAGCAAACTAATCACGACAAACATGATATTTAAGTGACGCGCAAATGTGTATTCAAGTAATTGCACTGATGAAGGTCCGGGTTAACGGACCGAAAGCTTTGCAGTATTTAATACTTACGTGGTGTACCTACAAGTTATTATAATTAGCTTGTTTTAGTTTGCTATCAAGGCGGTCCTGTAGCCTGCAGGATACTTCAAGCTCGTTTTACTGCTGCGAAAATGAAGTCGAGTCTTGTTTATTACCTGGACAATGTAGAATAACGTAAAGGCAAGTTCTGGTATCCTTCCGTTAATTGCTCTGCTTCCCAAGAACTCGCAACAAATTCCATCGCCGCACAACTTCAAAAGTTTCGCGATATTTTCCAAGCACCAACCTCCGGGAAGAACTTCAAGTTGAAAAACGATTTTGAAAAACGATATCGATTTTGAACCAGTGCTGCATCGTTAATTCCTATTTTGAACTCGCACAGTGACTGTACATTTTACACATAAGACAGTCATCGTACCATTGATAATAAAAATGTTGGTTATTGAATGCTTACCAATCAGTTCCTCCATTACACTTATCAAACTATCATGACTCCATTCTCTTTTAGTATTACTGTATAGGTTTGTCAAGGCTTTCGCAATTCCTTGAAGGTCTTTATCAGGGACGCCGAAGAATGTGGGGCATGTTAACATATTCTCCCAACAGATCAACTCTGCGATTAATTGAAGGGAAACAATTTCAGGACATTGATCGTTGTGGATCGATGGATTGTGACTATATCGCAAATGAAGCCCTACCTTCATCGGTATTTTCGGGTCCATAAAGTATATATAGCATTCTGGCCTGATACACAAGAGGCAGTGGGGAGAGCATCTGGCACAACCAGAAGCCAAGTTCGGCGCCGTCTTCAGCTTTGTCGAGGAATATTTCCCTGTAAAATACTCTTACATATTTCTCATACCAAGGCTTCGATCCAGGACCTCTCTTTAATGCTTCTTGCAATCTCTCGTCAACACGTGATGCCCCTAAAGTATGGAATTCATTGACAATTTTTGGTTTCAAATTCGTTCCTTGCCATCATGTAATGAAGAAGTAAAATATTAAACGTGTTCACTTTTTGACTACATGTATAACACATTTTCCGGGAGATCCTTTTTGATCGACGTGTAAGTCATACCTTACCTTTAATGGCCATGTAAGCCTTGCTTTTTTCGTCATTTTCCCATCCTGCGATGAAGGCGTGGAGCATATTACCATAGCATCTGTAAGCCATGTCACTTCCAAAACGTTCGCATAATGACACGTGGGTGTCTTTTAGCTGTAACATTACATGGTAATGATTAGTCAGTATTGAAGCACGCGTTTATGACAAATACTATAGCTACAACCACCAGGCAATAGTAAAAATTATAATTTACCATATGGCAGGGGTGGAAACTATAATGCCTCCAATTAAATGAAATTTGGATACAAAGGCAAACAAATATTTGCAAAACTGATAACCACGTATTTATAAGAAATACTGACAACTACGTAAACAGACGGAAATTGTAAAAACTATCATTTACAACGTTAGGGATGGAAACTATAATTCCACGAATTATGTGAAATTTGGATACAAATGTGCCTTAAGTGCAATTTTCTAGGTATTGCGTATTGTCTCTATTGACCAAGAAAATATTTTCCATCCCAGTGGCTGAACCCATATGCATGCAGACCCGCCAAATATTTAGCATATACTACATTATTACACCTTTTCCAACAATATGCCAACAATTCTCAATCTCTCTCTCGTTGAATATAGACATGTGAGGCGCTTGAGGAATATCCCTGAAACATGAAAGGGATATCAGAGAAATCATGTTTTCAAATCAACTGTGCTCTGATAAGTTCTGATTCACACTTGCCCTCAGGATCGGAGATCTAGTGCATTACTTTCCGGACGACTATAGAAAAGATTTTGTACACCAAATGATCGCAGATAACGGGAACGTCCCACTTTGAGGACAAATGTGTATCGGGTTTCGGTTAGGCTATGATCAGGCGCATAGTTGTGTCTATGTCGCTGTGTTGTACACTGCATGTGTCCCCCCAAAACTATTGAAATCACACATAGGGATAGCAATGTAATTAGAGTTTGAAACCTATGTATTATGCACACAAAGTGCATAGTTACCAATATATGGTTGCGTGGTTACCATGCACTGGCACTGGCTATAAACTCTAAAAAGCCAACATCACTGCTAATAGGGTTGGCGAACTGGTGAATGAGTAGCGACCATGAGTATATTAACTGTGGTATATTTAATGCGCGAGAAATTTGCGCGAGAGGATAGAAGTAGTAGCATCTTCTAGGCTCTGATAGTTATATCTTTTGTAAAAATTCTAGTAAATCAAATTACGTACCCAAGTTATGAAAATGAGTATAGTGGGTCATTATTCTTTCATCATCGTTGGACGTTTCTGAGGATTTTTCTTTCACGATGGGTTTTAATATTGAAAGTGCTTGAGTACTGTAGTGGAATGTCATGAGCTTGTCGCGTAATGCCCTGGAAGTTAGGGCCATCGAAGCAAGATCATAGAGTGGCATGTAACAGAAAATGCAGAAGAGAAGTTCGTCTGGGACGCTGCTGAATTGGCCAAGTGGACAGGGTTGTATGACCTTGCCATTGCCATTGGGTTCGTTTTGGGCAAAAGGTTTTAGTTTATTTTGAAGACGTACGCTTGTTCTTCTTGTTTTCGTATTTCGGAGATATTTCACAATTCTATTTTTACTATGGTTAACCATTTCTGTGTGAGAGAAAAGCGGGGAAGTATTGCATACAGTATATGATCATCAATATTGATGCCCGGTTTTCGGACAGTTCGTCCAGTTCTCGGACGGACAATTTATACCCTCAAATGATGACGGTAAGCTGAATTTTGATATTAACTATTGAAATTCAATGTAGAAAAAATATAACAATTTATTTTAAACAAATATTAAAGCTAATGTTATTCTTCTGGCATTTAGTCTATATGTCTATGGCACTTCTAATTTTGGAGTGCACTGCTGCCATATCTAGTTCTTCTTTTATATAATACACTCGTATTGCACTATATAATCAAGAATTGGCGTAAAAGCATATTTTTGCATCATTTTGCATCCTCCTAAACTTTTTTGCAACGAAAAACCACGAGGTGCATTATTGCTTGTTTAAGAGCACGTCGGTGTTCGAATAATGGACGAGATATCAGATATACAAAAATGGCATGAAGATTCAAAATCTCACTACATCATAAATATCCGGAAATTAAGAGTCGCACTTATTTACTTCAAACAAGAAGGAGGTTTTTTAACTCCTTTTCATGTAAAAATTGTTATATTTGCTGACCGGGCTCCTAAGAAATTAGTTTTTGAAGTGTCCATACAAATTTGTCTCGCGGTAAACTTATTGACCTACCTTCGCTAAGAAAAATTATTGACCTACCTTCGCTAAAGATGCATAACTCCGAGGAAAGCAAATAAAAAAACACGTCAAAACGCAAAAAAATTCGCCACATATCAGAAAATGATCGGAACATATTGTTTGAACTTTTCCTTTTGTTTAAAGAAAGAAAATTTAGTAATGAAACTCAGCTGTCCGAATACTGGTAATGTCCGAAAATTCCTCCATCAAAACATTTTAGAAAATTACAAAATGCACTTCAAAAAGAATTCACTTGAATTCATAATTTGTACACATTAATTAAACACGTACCTTCACATATCACGAACAATTTTTCGTAGAGATAGTTAGCAAAGTCACATACCAGATAGGAATTAAAATTGTATGAAAAAATCCAAGCTCGACAAAGCTTTGCCCACGTTGTCCATATTTTTCCCGCCAATACTTTCCACGCATATCGCGGGCTCAACGCATCATCGCGCATTGCCTTCTGGATTCTTCTGGATTCTTCTAGACCACTGAGCTATATAATAATTCCTCAGTAATTATTATATAGCTCAGTGTTCTGGACTCTAAAAATGAATAAATTCTAAAAATGATTCTACATTTTTGCTGAAAGTCAGGGTTTTGGAGAGGGGGGTGCTTTTCTATTGCTAGAAGTAAACTAATAACTTTCGAGCTATCTACTATACAGCAAAATGTATTTCACCAAAACGGCAGTTGCATACCCTACCCAGTGAACTCTATAAGACTGGAACGATAACTCAACAATGAAGACTAGTCATTGGATGAAGCCGATTTGAATATAATTTGCTGATTAAGGCGGCAGCCGCGCGAGCACATCAAGCCTTCAAAAGAACTGGGGAGAGTGAGAATTCCGTAAAAATCGTATTTTTTGGCAAAAAATTGTCAGAAAAGTGCAATTTTTATTTGACCACTTCAACTTTAAACAACGAATTTACTCTTTTTGGATAGACCTAAGTAATCCGCATCATCTTACTGTAAAAACCGGCGAGGTACCAGCTTTGTACTTGAAATATTTAAAGAATTTGAACGGGCCGAAAAAAAACTTCGCCTTCAACTCGCAAAAAAAATAGGTTTGCACCTTTTCACGTTCATAAAACTTGTTTGTTAGTAATATCTAAGTGTCAATGCTTGTTTTAAGCTCTTCTTCATGATCAGATGAGATGGATTTGTGTATAAAAACTGGCGTTGTTTTGGTGGTGTAATTTCAACTCTTGGCTTTCATGGCGGCCATCACATAGAGATTATAAATAACACTAGAGGAGGCATTGCCGCAGTGTTGCCAACTGTAATTTTGTGAAAATCCCAAGTAAGCGCCTGAAATATCCCGAGATTCCCCCTAAAATCCCGAGATTCTAATTTCAACCCCAGTCCTCAGCCTTGGCGCACCCTAGTACCCAGTCCGCTCAGTGTGCGTTTATAAAGCGGTACTTCTCTGCATAACCGATTGTACAAATAGTCTTTATTGAGTGACTTTGAGTAAGTATTTTAAGTTCAAGCGGACGAACCTTGGATTTTTAAAATGTTTATTTGTCAATTTAACGAAAACATCTTTTCCCAAATTCCAAACTTCCCTTTCCCAAAAATCCCTAAAAAAATCCCGAGATTACCATTTGAGAAATAAATCCCAAAAAAATCCCAACTGCTTCAAAAAATCCCGAGATCTCGGGATAAAATCCCGAACTTGGCAACACTGGGCATTGGCACAGAATACCTAACAGAATACTTAACGCGCTCTCCAATTTCTCCTCGATGACCCCTCTAGTGTTATTTACATCAGTGCTGGCTTCAAAGATGGCGGCCAAGTTATCGTTCCAGTCCACTGAGCTATCTTTTTAGAGTTCACTCACACCTGAATTTACAGAGGTCAGTTGCGTGAATGGTTCTTTGACTCACTTGGTCCCATCTGCCAAACTGATGTTACGCAAAACCTTAATTTTCAACTTTGCTCTTCAAGACTTTAACAGAGCTCTTCCAAATCAGTTTTCACATTGATAAAATTTTAGTTAAGGATACGTTTTGAGATTAGACTAACCACTAAGGAGGGTTTTCGGCAATATAGTTTATTTAGGTAACCAAAGTTCACTAGTTCATTCAATCGAGTTCGAGTGATGACGTCAGATCAATGTGAAGGATGGAAATAATTTGGGATCGAACACCTAAAAAAATTGTATGACACGTTTACTTGTCTCGTAGATCAAAGATTTCCCAAAGTATTTCATATTTGTGCTGTTCTCTAATAAATCTCAGAAACCATGAGTACTTTAGCAGAGATGCCGTGTTACACGCTGATTAACGTGCCCAGTGATCTTGAACCCTGGTCAGAGCAGAAACTCAAAGACGATTTAGGTAAGTTTTTAATGATATCGAATCTCTGCATTTTTATACCAAAGGGGCCATTAACGCCATTTGTAGCTCATAGCATTTCTACATGCTATGCTTCTTCAAGCTCATAATACGACGGTTCATAGCCTCAAAACAGATCTAAGGAGTATTAGATATTCTCAGTCATCAGGTAGATGATTAAGGACTTTTGAAATCATTTAGTGTATTCACTGTATTGTAAACCAGGATGCATATTGTGATATTCTGTGCAGTGTGCATATCTTTTACATGGAATTAGACCATTCTGGGGGTTTAGCCAGTTTTCAATAAGATGTGGCTTAAATAATGTGGTTTAAAATAGTGAATTTTCCAAATGTGGCTGTGCTATTCAGTTTCCATATAAACAATAAATCAAAGGCACTATTGCAGCAAAACACACCAGACATGGTGCTCAATTTTTTGCTGGACCAGGTGATATACCGTTCTGGTTTTGGAAGACGTATGCAGTGATATTGACTCCTTTGATAATGAGAATATTCAATACTTCTTTGAAGAGAGAAGATTCTGAATGCTTGGAAAATTGCTGATCAATGTGATACCTAGTCCAAAAGAAAACTCAATTAATTCCTGTTCCCAACTAAGACCTATCTCTCTAACAAATATTATCATGTGTTTATTTAAAAAATATGTGTATCAAAGTGAAGTTTCTGATAATTTCTGATTGGAGACGATCAATTCGCATATAAAAAAGGACACAATTCAACCATGGCCCTGATATAATATCAACATATGTGTTTAAAAAGTCTTGATGAAGGTGCAAAATCAGTTAGAGTAATCTCATTGACTTTAGTAGGGCATTTGATAGTGTCCCACACAATATATTGTTTAATAGAATCAAGAAAATACCTATCGATCCATACTTTATAAATTGGATGATTGACTTTTTAAACAACGGTAAACAGAGAGTAAAGGTTTATGTTGTTACAACTGGTAAATCTCTCCAATGATTTATCTAAATTTGCTGACAATATCACAATAATAGCCCCAGTTTATGATTATGAAGATTCAGCTGAGGATGAAGTGGATAATATGAAACTATGGTCAACTGAGAACTGAATGTCTCTAAACATGAGTAAAACCTATGAAATGATAGTTCATTGAAAGGTGTCTTCCCCTCCCCCAGATGAAATTCCATCAATGGTACGGAAAGAATGGCTAAAATTATGGGGTGTCGGGATAGAAGAGATACCTGGAAAATGGGATAATGTATATTCTAAGAGTGTGCAAATATTATGGGTTTTCTATGCATCAATTGGAACTTCTTTTCAATAGTCTTATTCTCTCTCTTTTTATTTGGAGTTGAAGTTTGGGGTGGGGCATCATACAACAAATATATAAGCCAGATTGATAAGTTTGTTAATCATGCTTACAGAAATGGTTGTGTTAGCAACAAATCAGATTTTAAAATAACAATAACGAACATAGACAAAAAGTTATGGTCAAGAATTGTGGAAGATAAAAAGAATTCTTTACATAAACTTTTACCTAGCAAGTTAATAGTTAAACCAGAGAGATTCAAAATTGCTTTTATAAATAGATGCTTATTTAATTTTATATAAATTATAAATAAATGCTTATTTAATTTTATATAAATTATCTACGCTTTTATTCTAGAACTTTGGTTATTATATCATAGTTCCTATTTATTCTTATATCCTAGAGATTGTAAATTCTATACTTTTAATTGATGTAAATACTTATAATGATGTAAACAGGTAAAAATCTATGTAAACTCAAACGTTTCTTTTGAGTATTCTAATTAAGACTTTTGAATTTAATTTAATTGAAATTTGATAGATTTAAAGAAATTGTTGACCTTTGTAGCAGTGAAAACTGTGTGTTGAAGTGGTTTATAAAAAGTTTTAATTGTCAGTTCCGCAACTTTCTAAATATTATATCACTGGAAAAGCATCTGCTTTGCGTTCTAATCAAATTTGCCCAATAAGCTTTTTCATTGCCATTATTGTACCAAAATCATATTCAAAATTTGAAATATTTATATGTAATATTTATATTATTATATTATATTATTGAAATATATATGTATATATATATATATATATATATATATATATATATATATATATACATATATATATATATATATATATATATATATATATATATAATATTTATATTATTATTGCTTCTAAATTATTATTGCTCTTAAATTTGATTACTTATTATACTAATATGTAATATTTTTACATTAAAATCTGCCAATGCCATTCCGATTTTAAACTGTAGTAATTTATTCTGCCCACCCCTAGACCCGCCACTGTAGGTAAAGCCCAGTTTAAGCCTGAGTGTCATGAAAATTTCTTTTTGATGTTAAACCTTTTTGTACATTAGGGACTAATTCATTGTTTTTTTGACCATTAGAAAAAGGTGATGTGAAGGTGAAAACTGAAGCTCTCAAGAGAGTGATTTATCAGATTCTGAATGGTGATAAAATGCCAGGGCTTCTTATGGTCATTATACGATTTGTACTGCCATCTCATAATCACATGATTAAGAAATTGTTGTTGATTTTCTGGGAGATTGTCCCAAAACTTGGTCCAGATGGCAAACTGCTACAAGAGATGATCTTAGTCTGTGACGCTTATCGGAAGGTAAATGTTTATTATATTTTAAACTTTCTAGGAATTAGCTATAAACTAAAAAAGATTACACTCACTTTTTTTTTTTTATTACAGGATCTTCAACATCCTAATGAATTTATCCGAGGATCAACACTGCGGTTTCTTTGCAAACTGAAGGTTGGTATTGATTTACCAAAGTCAATATAATTATATATTATAATTATTGTGAATTTTAATCTTTTAATATCTGTACTGAGACTATTCATTGAGACTACCTGAAAGAGTAATTAAGGTACATACAACACAGACAGTCAATCCTTTTGACAAATCTTAATTGGCAAGGCTGATTGTTTTTTACATTTAATTAAGTTGGTGGCAAAAAGGAAATTTAGAGTTTTTTAAAGTCCTTTACTCTGGATGTTCTTTCTGGATGCCTTGTTAAAATTATCTTAAAATTTTAAATGTTAAAACTTTCTCATGTGTGACACTGTTTTGTTTTTGTAGCAAGCAGAGTTGCTGGAACCTTTGATGCCAACAATACGATCTTGTCTGGAACATCGCCACTGCTATGTGAGGCGAAATGCTGTGATGGCCATTTACACAATATACAAGTATGAAATTGCATATAAATGTAGATAATAAGAGACAAATGTTTCACAAATACAAAAGAAACCACCCTTTGGCTAAAATAAGGCAAATTCCAGGTATTAAAGTAACAAGCTCCTATAGAATTGTTTCTTATGTACTTGTAGAAATTTCAATTTCTTGATTCCTGATGCCCCAGAGTTGGTGCACACCTTCCTTGAGCAAGAACAGGATGCTTCTTGCAAGAGAAATGCCTTTATGATGCTTATTCATGTTGATCAGGTAGGGTTATTCAGTTATTGTCTGGAATTCAGCGGCAGTGCATGTATTCCCCATGTATGTACAAAACACTTGAGATTATTGTAAATCTACCAAGAAAATACATGGGTGGGATGTATTATTATAATTGTACAGTACTATAAATTCTTTCATTTTTTTCTGATTTTATCACTTATACTGCATTCAAGAACATTTTGTATGGAATTCCACATTTTATGTTTGACAACCTTTGCATAAAGTTTTAAACGTTATAGTATCCATATGTCATCATTTTATCCTTCCCACCACTATACCAAGGCTGCGGACTCCACAGTCGGACGTAATTTCATCTACTCAGAGTGAATGTAAACTTTTTTGAAATTTTTCGACATTTATTTTTGTGTGGTTATAAGTGGTCTATGTAGAAATGTGTAATGTTATTTCACATGTAAAAATGTGTACTTTTGTTTCACAGTTGGGAATTAAACTTATATAAAGAAGCTTACGTTAGTTATCAGTGTGCATATTTTACTTGCCATATTTCCGTTCTTTTTTAAAATGATACAATTTTTTTCACATAAACGTTCTAACAGAAATGCAAAAAGGTTTTTTTTTCAAGTTTATAAATACAGTAGACAGCGCTATTCAATGCTAAATTAAGCGTCATGTTAAACGGACATTCATATTATTCTGCATACTGTAATTTGTGTAAGAATCGTTATTAGTTTATTTATTTGTGATTTTGATTCGCTCCAGGACCGTGCATTAGACTACTTGAGCACATGTATCGATCAAGTCAATAGTTTTGGTGACATATTACAGCTGGTTATCGTCGAGTTGATCTACAAGGTTGGTTTAAAAAATATCACGGAATTGGTATATACAATGTATAGGAAACTGCGCGCTACATCTGAGAAGTATTATTATACAAACTGCGGCCTTTACAATTGGTCATGCAACAGGAATAAATTAATCATCTTTTGTAATCATAATATTATTACATTTGCCGGGTTTCGTGTACTTTATAACAAACATGCTTGCATTGTATAATGTATAGCTTTTCATTTCTCAGTTCGGAAAGCGAACGTTTTAGTGGTCAACTTTTTACTCAAATCAGAAACGAGTTAAATTAATGAAGTGATACGCGGCCACTGCTTAATTTATTTGTATTTCATTGTTATTTCTTGTGTTCCAGGTGTGTCGTGCCAATCCTAATGAACGTGCGAGGTTCATCAGATGTATTTACAATCTCCTAAATTCGTCATCACCTGCAGTACGCTACGAAGCCGCCGGTACATTGGTCACTCTATCTTCTGCACCCACTGCCATCAAGGTAGGCAAATGTTATTGTTCCTCTTATCTTTATATCCAATAGGAAGATTTGCCAAAGCGTGTTAAAAATCGCCAAAGCGGTGTTTCCTAACCAGCATTTTTGAAGCGTTTGCATTTACCTTTCCACGGCGAACAAGCATATAACTAATATTTCTTCCCTAGGCTCCTGGAGGCGGTTGTATCAAGCCCGTTAAGCTTAAACGGTGGTTAAGTTCAAAATAGAAAGCAAGTCTATCGTTTTATTCAACAAGCAAACTAAATGTTTTTAACCTTAATACAACGATGCTGTTTACAACTACATATTCAGTGCATAATAGTCAAGTTGACTCATTCAAGTGTGATGTAAGAGTGTGTTATTTAATTTTGAGTTATCCACGTTTAAGCTAAACGCACTTGATACAACCGGCCCCTGGCTTAATTTTGAACGGACATATCCTCATTTGTGAAGTGGAGACTACTACTCTATACTTCTGCATACACAGCTTGTTGGCTAATCGCATTAGTGTTCCCGGCGTACATTATTTCATATTTATTGAAGGGTTATGGTATGGGAAATAAGCTTTAACTATATTTACAGGCTGCAGCGACCTGTTATATTGAACTGATTGTGAAAGAAAGTGACAACAATGTGAAGCTGATTGTTCTTGATCGACTCATTGCCTTACAACAGAATCCATCTCATGAGAAAATTATACAGGTCGGTGATACCTTGATAATTTGTTCCTCTTCATTGAAGGCCATGTTACACGGTGCAATTTTTCTTGCAACTTGCAATGCAATTCTACTTTTAAGAGATGTAAATTAGTGAAAAGGCTTCAAAATATAAGTGTAAAAAGCGCCATGGATTGTAATAAAGACAAAAGTTCGATAGTTTCCAAATTTACGCCTCTCAAAAGAAGAATAGCATTACAAGTTGCAAGAAAAATTGCCCCGTGTAACAGGGCCTTGAGAAAGGATGCATATCAGTGAACTCTATAAACTGAAACGATATTAATAAGTTGAGAAAACTTTGCTATTTATTACAAAATTTACCAGCACTGAAAGACCACTTTTCCTAGTTTCCCCAGTTTCCCGCATACGAGTGACTGCTAGGAGCCAGGATCATACCGATACAACAGAACCACAACATGGGAACATTTGTTACTTCGTAAAACTACCAACTTGCACATATTTTACTACATATTTCACTTCCGTGCATACTTATAGGAATTAGTTATGGATATTCTACGAGTGCTTGCGTCGCCTGACCTCGAGGTTCGTAAGAAGACCCTCGACCTAGTCCTTGAAGTCGTCAACACGAGAAACATCAGTGAGGTTGTCATGATTCTGAAAAAAGAAATCACGAAAACTCACACCGAGGAAAGCACGACGGAAGATTCCGGAAATTACCGGCAGGTCCTGGTCCGCACTCTGCATGCGTGCAGCGTAAAATTCCCGGACGTCGCAGAGTCCGTGGTCCCCGTTGTAAGTATATACAAAAATTCTGATTATGAGATGAAGTTATATATGTATTTGTAACTTTATTATTATTATTACTTTTGCCCATTGTTAGTTCCTAGCTTGGACCTGATAAAGCCATAGCGTATTGGACCACATTTTGAAACGGTCATTTAAACCTGTTTGTTTTACCATAGCTTGGAACAGTAGCACGAAATATTGTAAATATAAAGACGAAAAAAATACCCCGAAAGTTATGAAGATCGATACTCTTTGTATCAATTTCTCGTAAAAGCACAGTATAGGCTAGCAACGGTCAATAACATCGGAGTATGTACGCGACAAAAGCACTTGAGAATGTCGCGATGAACTTTTTAGAGCTATACTAATAAAGGCATAAACAATCGCATGTTTTGTGCTTGCATTCCGCGTGTAATCTTCAGAATGCTGTTATCAAAATTAATAATGTGAAAAAGGCTGGATAGCAGATCAAGTAATGAGGAATGTTCACGACATTTGAGATAGCCCCTGACATTAGCTTGTTCCGTCTAGCTTATCAGATTTTTTCCTCCATAGTTGATGGAATTCTTGGGCGATTCAAACGAGCAGGCTGCCTTGGATGTGCTGGTCTTCGTTCGTGAAGCTGTACAGCGTTTCCCGAACCTTAAGCCTGTCATCGTCGAGAAACTATTGGAGACATTTTCTCAAATCAAGAGTGTGAAGTGAGTGATGTTTTTTAAAACTTTAACCCCCCCCCCCCTCCTTTAATTTGTTAATTATGCTGACCTCAATATGCCAGTGGCCGGATTCTCTTGGTGGTTAGTTCACATCCCTTTTGGAAAATTCTCACCTCTTAGAACAGTTTGTACTCCCCGCCCTCCAATGTGAGTGAACTGCACTACTAAGAAAAATTCCGAAAATAAAATATTGATGTGGCAAATAAAAATATTTGTTGTTCGTTATGATTTTCAATATTTCGTTTTAAAAACAAAAGTAATGGACGAACTAGCTGCAGATTAATACTGGAGATTTCTCCAGTTATATCATTTCCTCACTGCCCTGACTTAGTCCCATTTGTTCAAAGGAATAAGTTCTATGTTGTTGCTTTTACTAGAATCCATCGCCATGCGTTGTGGATATTGGGAGAATATTGCGAGAATGAAAGCGATTTGACCAGCGTCATGGATGTTATTAAGACCTCCCTTGGCGAGGTATCCGTATGCATTTCCTAACCAAATACAAGTGAACATCAAAGAACTTTAATCGTTATAATTCCACTACTTGATTATTACGATAATTCCACTACTTGACTAAGGCATGAATAATAGCGAGTTTAAGATTCACCAACTCTACGACGCGGACGTGAAGTAATACTGCTCTAATTTCCACAGTTTCCCAACAGGGATGTAAATTATAGACTCCTTTTGATAAACAAAGTCAGAGCCGTATGTAAAACAAATTAATACTGGTTTCCTAACACTAGTAGCAGTTTTTATGTCACGTCCGCGCCGTAGATTAATATAATCGACGCAGCTGTCCCTAGAGTTATTTGATGAGCAAACGTAAGCTTTTCATTGGTAGCGCGCTCAACTGGTTTCATGATTTAATGAATAATATATAATGATTCATTAGGTGCCAATCGTTGACGATGAGCTCAGGAAGGCTGCCGGCGTCGAACAAACTGAAGGTTAGTCAATTTAGTTATATACAGCTGATTCAATGAAGGTTATCTTTTCGAAACCTTAAGTGCGTATTAAGGAATGATGAGTTTTTATCAAGTGAGACTCTTAAAGTCGCTAACTTGCCCATGAAGCTGGTAGCTGGGTGTCTGTTGTGAGACTTCTATATTCTGCCAGGCATTATTACAAATCCAAAGTCATTCAATTCAAGTCTCCTCAAGACAATGCTTTGATATCTTCTGTGATAGTTCCTTTAGAATAATTCTTTGGTATCTTCGACTTCCTGAATCATGCTTTGATTATTTAATTCTAGTGTCTTCAGATCAATGCTTTAATCGATATCTTTGATTCTTCTGAACCAAGCTTTGATTATCTCCAGTCTCTTCAGATCAATGGCTTTATATCTTTGATTCTTCGGAACTAAGTTTTGATTATCTCCAGTCTATTCAGATCAATGGCTTTATATCTTTGATTCTTCGGAACCATGCTTTGATTATCTGTAGTTTTTTCAGATCAATGGCTTGATATCTTTGATTTCTTCATGACCATGCTTTGACTATCTCCAGTCTCCTTTAAGACAATACTTTGATATCATTAGTTTCATTAAAACAATCCTTTGATATTGTTAGTTTCTTCAGGACAATCTTTAGATACCTATTCTGTGTTCACAACCTTGCGGTGGCGCCTAATAATTTGTGTTTTTTCATATCGTTACGAATACCTCCAGTTTGAAGGTTGTAAAATATACTTTATTAGAAAACCAGGAGCAAGGAACGACAACAACAAAAACGAGAGTGACCGCGGATGGTACTTATGCCACCGAGAGTGTATTTGTCAGTGCTCCTGGTTCACGGGAGGAAGTCAGGTACGAATGTATTTCATTTCCTTGATTTTACTGCTGTAATGTGCTAGTCTGTACTCTGTTGTATAATGGGTTGTGTAAGTCTTAATAGTACATCGCCAATAATACACCGTTTTTTCCTTCGCATCGGCAGGCCTCCTTTACGTCAATATCTTTTGGATGGCGAGTTCTTCGTCGGTGCAGCCTTGGCCGGTACCTTGACCAAAGTTGCCCTGCGGTACATCGGACTTGTTGCAGATAAAAAGAAACAAAACGTACGTAAAATGTGCGGAATGAATATGGAAAGGATCCAGGGTGTAGTGCCGTAGATTCAGGGCGTACTACCAATGTAGTGGGGCGGGGGGTTCTGATGTGTATTACTTATGGGCGAAGAAATCAAGTGAAAGCTTAAATCATTAGGAAAAGTGAAACTCGGACGAACTGCCCCCTGTTTGCCGGGTACATTACACGTAGGAATAAAAGGTTGACAAATCGCGATTTTGTGGGGTAACCGGGAGATCGTCTACATTGATAAGTGCTACTGCTTTATTTTTGACTTCAGAACAAATATATTTATATACGTACGGTGCAATGTAGGCATTCCTGGACCTTCCTGGAGAATTGAATGCGATATCATCAAACCAACCATCTGTAATAAATGAACTTTTTCCCAAAAATGAAATGGGCTTCGGTGAAGATTATTTCCTTCAAACAGATTGCTGTCCACATGTCGTAGCACCAAAATATTCCAGCCGTAAAGCACCCGCATCAAACGCATTTTCAAAAAATAGTTACTTTGAAAATTGAATCACTTGATTGTTCAATTTCAAAGACTTATTTAGGGGGGTTAGCCCCTCCCCCACTCCGAATATGCCATACAGTTTTGGCAGAGCGCTGACCCCCTCATCACCCGTGGGGAAGGTGTGGAAAATACGTCGTAATTTATAACATTGCGAGCTTTGGTGACATTACTTCCTAGAGAACTGATATTAGCTCGTGTCAGTCGGCGAAACTTATCTAATATCGATTTATGAATTAGAACGTATTGAGATAATATCCACGTTGTGCACAATATCTTGTTGGTTTTACCGCAACTTCCACACTAAATTTGCGTGTGTGTTTTTCTAGATATTCTGTGCCCAATCCATGTTGGTCATGGCCAGCATTCTTCATCTTGGAAAGTCTGGACTGTCTAAGAAGGTACAATTTGCATGCGCGAGTGATGTAAAGGAAGGTTGACATGATTTTTCCACGACTTCCAATTGCGGCGTTCCAAAATGTTATCCAAAATTAATTTCTACAACCTATCGTTGATAGTACATGTTTAACGACAGTATTATAAGTATTATATAGAGTTTCTGGGAAACGGCAACTCGGAATTTACGCGTCACTTAAATATCACGATGAACGTGATATTTAAGTGACGTGTAAATGTGTTTTCAAGTAATTGCACTGATGAAGGTCCGGGTTAACGGACCGAAAGCTTTGCAGGATTAAATACTTACGTGGTGTACCTGCAAGATAATTTACTTATAATCATGATGTCACCATGCAACTTACAAGAATATTATCTTCGTTTCATGTTTCATTAAGCTCTCTGCAGTCTTCAAAAGGTTTAGAAGTGCATGGTTTTCCGGAGTTGCACAGGGACCTACAATCTAGGCAAAAATTATGTGGACAACTAGTGGAGAACTAAAATATTAATATTCTTATGCAAACCTTGGCATGTTTTGAACCCCTGCTCCCCCGTACGATGTTGACTTTGATAATGCACTTCACAAACCTATACCTTAACTATTGTATTAACCATTCAACATTGAAAAGGGGTGCGGGGGGGATGCGAAATGCTGTTTCTGCCAGAATGTGATAGAGCAAAGCATGTATTTTGACTTGCGCGCGCGCTGTTCACAATAATTTTTGCCAAGATTGTAGCTATTCTATTGCTTGTTAACGATGTAGTTATATGAAAAAAAATCTTGGTGCTGAATGAAAAGTGCAATCATATTTGAATTTGCTGGGTTTTCTCATCAATTACGAGGACTTGGATCACTTTACCAAGAAGTCGTGGCTCTTGATTAGGGAAAGACGAATTCGATTAACATGTTTGTTATCTTTTTATCAGTCTATAACGGACGACGATGTCGACAGAATTTCGTTGTGTCTACGAGTGTTGGCAAACCGCACGGGTTTAATGAAAGACATTTTCACCGTGGAATGTCGACGTTCCCTGTCAAACATGCTCGAGTCGAACAAACAAGACACGGAAGTCAGCAGTAAAGTAAGACCGTTTATCTCGAGAACTACTGTATGTACTTGTGTCCACTCATCGTTAAATGTGTGTAACAACTGGCTAAAATTAGGCAGAAATGATGTCTCATACAAAGACTTCTTATTTGCATTAAAACACAAATCATCAGAATCCTGAGATTTATATTTCATTAGCTCAAACATCAAGCTTTATTGTCCCAGATTCTGTCGAAATCCAAAATGCAAATTTCTTTACTTCCAGATAATCCTATCTTCTCCTGTTAATATGAATTTAGCTACTTATAAATTATATGTCAATCTAACTGAGATACGTATAAACTTTAACGTAGACGTAGAAACATCATATCATAAACATAACATCCTAAATGGAACTTGTATGTGGTTTTGTGATTTACATCCGAAATTACCTTTTTAATATTGTGATATGGTGCTACTTTGAGTTACCAACCGAGCGAGCTGAAAAATTGGTCTGAAAACTAACTTTTTCAGATGCCCAGTTGGTAACTCAGAGTAGACCATCTTAGTATTAAAAAGGTAATTGGTAAGGTAATAAGTTGATTGGTAAGTCATAATCACAGTTTTACCTTCTATTTTCAATCGTATGTTTTCTAGGCAGCCGAGAGGAAACCCATCAGTGTCCAAGCTGATGACCCAATTGCGTTTATGCAGCTACTTGCAACGGCTGAAAATGAAATTCTTGAGGTACATCTTCCTTCATGATGATGTTCCGAGATATTCTGTGATATTTCAGACTATAGGCTTATAGGCCTCGAAATATTCGCAAATAACGAAATAGCACATTTCTTTACTTCCATTTTACCTGTAACACGACATACAATAACAAATATTCCTGGCCAAAACCCATTAACCCGTCAATTTTCAATTGTCGGTACATTTTAAAGTTCAGTGCTCGCTTCGTTCCCAAAATACAAAATGATCTCTGTAAAGTCTGTCAACAAGATCCAATTTTGTCGGATCCAATCCACATCTAGTGTATTTTTTATAACCTGTTTACTTGCAGGGGAAGAATCAATATTGCCTAAATCCAAAGCAATTTATCAATAACATACAATACTATCCGTCAGAAATGAATTGTATCCATCAAAATTGGATTGTTTGAACAGTTCCTAATGTGGTAGCTATAGTTCAATATAGAAATACCTATTTGTTTCAATGTCACTGTTTGGAAAAACTTTTTATAGGATCGCTACGATCAAACGCTATCTCAAGCTGTTGGTCTTGACAAACAAGAGGAGGATGCGAAGAATTCGAAATTGAATAAGGTAGTAGAGAAAGCGTTTGAATTTCCTATTTTATGTTGATGATACAGTTGTACCTAAACAAGCGCATGTTTCAATTTAGGTGACGCAGCTAACCGGTTTCTCAGATCCAGTATTTGCCGAGGCGTACGTTAATGTCAATCAGTACGACATCGTCCTTGATGTGTTGGTTGTCAATCAAACATCTGACACTTTACAGAATGTTGTATTAGAGCTTGCGACTCTCGGTGAGTTCATTTATCTTCATGCTGGAACATAACTTTTGCATGTGTATATGGTTGGGCGCTTTAGGTTCATGCTGGTTGTGTGTGAATGTAAATGAATTGTATTTTGCATTTCACCATAAAAATTTAGTTTTTGTAGCAAAAATATAGAAAATAAATTATCTTTGACGTGCCAGGCGAGGAACCATATTCGATTATAAAACTTTGAATCAAACCTATACTGCTTTTGGAAGAGCCATTCAAACAATTTTCGTTTGAAAATTTTAAATTTAAACTCGAGTTAGTAGACTACTTGATTTAAAATTGCTGAAATTTGTTCAAATTAATTTTTAAACCTTTCTGCTCATATTCATTTAGAACTGAAATAGTGTTAAATATTCCTACAGTTTTCGATTCTTGAGATTTTTAGAAACATGATGATTCAAAATGTAAACAAGGCTTTGTGCATATTATTGACTGTAACTTACCTTCATCGTTCTTCTTGACGTTCTTTAGGTGATTTAAAGCTGGTAGAGAAACCAACTCCTATCTTATTAGGCCCACACGACTTCTCCAACATAAAGGTAATTATACGTCCTGCGAACAACACGTATGTCTCAAATTGCCACAGCATGACAAGTTAACGTGTTCAGATAAGTATCATACGAAGAATCTTCACACTTTAAATTCTCAATATGAATACAATTTTTACAGGCAAGTGTCAAGGTGGCATCCACTGAAAATGGCATAATCTTTGGAAATATTGGTGAGACGTTGTTCTTCTTCAAACGTCAAAAAAACGTTTCATTTTAGAACGATCGTTTCGTCTTGAAACGACCCTGATCTGTATGCGATAGCCTTTGCAAATTCATTCTGGTGCTCGTATTTATTGAATATGTTTGATATTCCCCTCTAATGATATAGCATTTTTGACAGTATTAATGTACGAACACGATTGTCTGGTGTGGAAACGATCTTACAATTTATTGACCAAATTAGATGACCTTGTTTAGTTCAACAAGATTAGTTTGATAACTCTAATCTTGAATTTGCAAACTGATGTTTTTCGGAGTTTGTTTCGTTTTTTATTTCATCAAATTGTCTGCTTGCAAAGGATTGTGTAGTAGAAGCTTTAGATCATTTTAGAATGGGTTTTTTTCTTTTCCTTCAAGTTTATGATATTTCGGGTGGCTCTGGTGATCGTAATTGCGTTGTTCTCAATGACATACATATTGATATTATGGATTACATCCTTCCTGCCTCGTGCACTGACACCGAGTTCAGACAGATGTGGGCAGAGTTCGAGTGGGAGAACAAGGTATACTACTACCGCAACTGTTTTAATATGAATTATTCTACAGCATGTGGTATCAGCAAACAAAGGCATCAATTCTGGGAGGGAACGTCCCCCGACTTGGTAAACCCTTGCAACTTTACAAATCTTCTGTAAAAGAGTAAACAGCTATGCAAATATGCACTTGTGATGTCAGCTGCGATGGCTCAATAAAGCGGAATAATTTTTATTTTTTCATCGATCGTATAGGTAACGGTCAATACAAACATCAAGGATTTACGAGAATACATCGAGCACCTTATCAGCTGCACAAACATGAAGCTCTTGACACCAGAGAAGGTGAGGCTTGATTAGGACCTGGGGCAGGCTGAGTTGTTAGTGATTCGGGCGTAAACTGAGGTTTCCCCCGTGGGCCCGGAATATCAACTGAACAGAGCTCTTTACTTTTGTAAGAAACATTCAAAAAATGATAATTGAATGCGTGTGAATTTCGAATTTATATTATTTGAGGACGTTCATGATTTTTTTAAAGTCAAATTGCAAATTTGTAATTCTACTTTAACGTTATGTTAAGCAATGAGCAGCAAAAGTAATATTTCATTACACTATAACTCTATTTGCGCACACGTACAAAAGGACGTACATCGGCGTTAAGACGTACATGTTAGCCTGCATGATAGCTCAAAACCAAGGCCCGAAAATTGTCAGTCCGTCCCTGATCAGGACTTTTTTTTACTATGTAGCTTTAAGATTTTTTTAAAAGTGTGAAGACGCAAATACGAAGATTGCATCGTTTTTATTTTACATCAGGCACTATCAGGCGACTGTGGTTTTATGGCAGCGAATCTCTACGCTCGCAGTATTTTTGGCGAAGATGCATTGGCGAATGTCAGCATTGAGGTTCCTGTCGACCAAGGTCCTGACGCGGCGGTGACTGGCCATATACGTATTCGAGCCAAAAGTCAGGTTTGTGATCTACGATTTTCTGTGGGTGATATCTTAAACCCGTATTCCTCTATAGGCGAATTTATATGCGCGACTCGAAGCGATAACTAAAATCCGGTGATGGGATTGGTTTGCGAAAAAATTCGTCGCGAAAAGTGAAAACGCTTCCCACTCTTTAATGGCCCACATGCATTGTTCTATATATTATTCATAGCAAAATTGCTTAATAACAAGGTTTTATATTCTTTCAGGGTATGGCTTTGAGTCTTGGCGACAAGATTAATCTTTCTCAGAAGAAACAGTCTGCAAACTAGAAACAATATAAGCCATATACCCTTATTTTCAAATGAATTAAGTCGAAGTTTAAATAAATCAAAATAGTCAAGTCAAAATAAATTTCAATCTCCGTTGATCAACCGTAGAGTATTAATAGAATATATTGTCTTTGGAAATGATGGCCAAACATCGATCTTTTTAAATAATTTGCATTGGCGTGCAGGTAGCAACCCCCCCAGGGGGAGCTAGAGATACGGTAGGGCAACCCCATGCAGGGGGAGCTAGAAATACGGTAGGGCAATCCCATGCTGGGGAAGCTAGAGATGCCTGTGGAGGAGGCTAGCGTGCAGGCTGTATAAAAGTATTTCGAACCAATCAGCGGGTTGGTTTTGTTTCTTCCGGCCAATCACAGGCGTAGAAGTTGCTGACGTCAAGTGTCGAGGAATTTCCAAATCAAGTGTGCAGACGTCCAGTTTTGTCCAAGTCGTCGTCGGTGTAAGATCTCAACCAAATAGTCGCGAAGAATCAGAAGTCTAAAGATATAAATGAATTGATTTTAAAACCGAGGAGAACTGACATGGCAGAGCAGATAAACAACTCTGATTATTCATGCAGGTAATTTTATCATTTTCTTTGATGCGCTGACCACGGTTTGTTGTGTTTAAATAGTAAACAATTTGAGTCCTTGGCTGGTTGCCCGTCGGTGTACATTGGAACTTTGATTAAATTTCTACTGGTATATATAGGCGGATCAAGTTTTATTCATTTGTGTCGCCGTTGAAGGGAATTAAGGTGCAAGGGTTCGGCAATTGGCCGCTGTATTCTGCATGTAAAGATCGTCTCTACACCGAAATACTTTTAGGACTGAAGTCAAAAAGCATACGCATGCAATTAACGTTTATTGAATATTGATATAACACGCCTTAGGTGGGGAAGGACTACGTAGATCTTTAACTTCAACCGAATTCTGCCAAATATGATATAGTTCCAAACGCAGACCTATAATAGGCATGTTGCGAGATCGACCGTCAACGCTCAACACCTTCAATTGTATCCTGAAGAAAAACAATTAGAAAACAAACGGTTATGCATGACATATCGGCTAGTTAATCTGGAAACTTGGTCTATAGGTATGCAAACAGCTTTGCTTTTAGCGTCGAGTTTATGGGGTGAATATATATGATCATCATATGTATACATTATGAACAGGAGAATGGCAAGGACTCCAACCTTGTCCGTTGCTTTATTATTGCCTCCCAAGAAAATCCTAATGTAGGAAACGTGTGATTTCTTTTGAAAGCTATTGTCCACGTGTAAACATGAATATTTGAATATACACTCCCTACAGCAAGCGGTCTTGCTAAGCCCATGGGGCCGGGTTAAATTACATTAAATTTAATCTGTTGTTTTGGTTTATGTGCTTCTGCATCGCTGTTTGTTTCAAAACTTTTACAAAAATGACTTCTATCAGTCTTGAAAATATTTATGACAAAAGATGTTTAACTTAATGTGAAATACATTTTAAAAAATGATGTAAAGATTTGCTTCAACTCAGGGTTGAGCTACCAGCTTTTGAACAACCGGTCCCTGTCGTCTATTTACGGGGTGTCCCAAGAAATGTCCCATGAAAGAGCCGCTCTCTTGTTCTGAATGTGCGCTTTCCACCTATGGGAGTTGGCGTCTATATAAACCAAAGTTACCGAACTGCAAAATACCATATACAAGAGTCCCAAAAAGCACGCTCTATTGAAATCGGACATTTTGTTTTGAACGTGCGTTGTGAAACTTCTAGAAATTTAATAAATTGAGGAAACGTTAGACAATGCATTATGAGCTGGAATGCCTCATTAACCATGGTTTTTAATGTATTAATTAAATAATATGCATTAATAGTATGCGTTTATTCGCCCTGATTGTCGGAATAAGGAGCTGTTTACATGAACTCGGTTACCCGAGATTCAACGAAGCGTGAGATGATTTTGAGGTATTGAAATGAGCAGATAACGTGATCCTGGCAGTCGTATAATCACCACAACAATAGCATGTGCTTGTTTGGTGTCGTAAAGACTTATTTCAATACCTCAAAGTCCTCTCACGCTTCGTTGAATCTCGGGTAACCGGGCTCATGTAAACAGCCCCTAAATTTCTAGGGTGTGCCAAAAAATTTGACCTCAAAATAAAGAAGCCGCTTTTTTGGGCGCCTTTGAATGCGTGTTTTCCACCTTTACGAATTTGCGCAAAAAGTTGAAGGGCGTGGCCCACAGCTTTTCTTTTCTGCCTTTCTCAAAAATTACGGTAAATTTGTAGTATTATTTAGACAACCGGAAAGTTGTAAATATTCCACTGTTAAATTAACTTACTCAAAATACTCAAGTTCAGAAATGAATCTACAACAGAAGATCGCCTCCTTTTGAGGAGACATTTTTTTGGGACATCCTGTATAACTCCCCGATCAGCAAATAATGCCACCGGTGGCAGGGCGAGAATTAGGCAAATAACTGAACGGTTTCTTTTCCTTCTTTTCCTTCTTTTAATTACTGAACTTTTCCCACAAATAACTGAACGGTTTCTTTACCTTCACAACAAATGAAAATTGGAATACGAAACCGGTTCAAGTTCAAGTTGAGTTCTTGATTTTAGAAACAGTTATTTGCTATCTGTAGGGCTCAGAGAGAAAACAGGAAAAGACATCCTATAGTCGTTAACCTTGGGACATTTTCGGACAGGAGGATGTCATGCAGTTGTTGATATTTCACTGAGAAGCCAGAAGAGCAGGAATCTCGATTGAATGTGAGTAGAAAGTCAACCCGGTGAACTCTATTACATCTGCAATATTGTTGTATTAGAGCAGTGTAGTTCTGGGATTTGAGCTAAATAACTTAGCCCAAATCGTTGGGTTGTATATGTACGTATATCAAACAGAAGCTGGCTTTTGATGTAGGACAAATTGTTACAGTACAGTGCGTATAAAACTGACCGCGCGCGTAAACAATATAGTCGAAGACTGAGTCACAGACAGATTTCTGGGCTACCTATGCACACATTCCACGCGCAAGCGCGGGATGATATAAAGCATGCGTACGCATAATTTTTAACTATGGCTATAGGAGCAGAAAAAAATTCCCAAATTTTGCAAAATGCACGAGAAAATTAAGCAACACAACTTACAACTGTCGACCATTCGAATATCATCATCACAGGGACATTTGCGATATCGTTTACGATGCCAACGATGATAAAAAGTAGCAAAGGACCAAGCTTGGCTACTTGAGGATCACAGGCATTGATTGGTTTCCAAAAATAATTTAAATGATCAGTTTTTGTACGTTATCTGTATTATCAATGAAAATGTTCCATCCGGATGAGCCTCCAGAAATATATATATATCATGGGTGAACGGTGATTTCAACAATCACCTGTGAAGCTTTACGTTATACGTCAAACCACAGGTCAAACGTACGCGAAAGGCCAGGCAAAGAACATCTCTGGCACAAAAGGCTTTAAAGAGAAAATAGATTCGACTGTTTTAAACTTCGAATTCAGGCTCAATCAATGTTTTCAAAAAAGGAAAAGAAATGTGAAAAGAAGAAGTTGAACGAAAATTCTGCCAAGAAAGTTTGGGCTTGCAATTTGCTGTTTCCCGAAACGCGAAGCTTAAACACCCAATAGTAGCAAGCATGTTGTAATGTTTGAGGTATTGTAAAAAATTGTGAAACATGTTGAAAAGAAGAGGTGTTGCTTAGCGTAAACAAAGACGGTTAAGAAAATTTTATTTTACAAAGGTGGGCCTCTCAGCGAACTACAGCTGATTTTCAAGGAACGGTTTTAAAAATAACCAAAAAATACAATTACACTATACATATACACACTTACAGTACATTATATTAAGGGCAGCACACAAGATCCACCTCAGAAGCAACTGAACTGTCACTTGAAATGCAAATCTTTTAATGGTCATGCATGACATAAACGAAGCATTAATATTCTGAAAACACTATTTTTGATTGGACGTTTAGTCGATGATTCATGACGATTTTGCATTGTTTTGATGTGTTTTTTGGAGCATCGTAGACGTGCAAAGGGTGAATTTTACAGTTAAATAAACTGTTGAGTGACTTGAGTCGATAGTATGCCTGTTTGACACCGCGGAAAAGCGGGGTACTATTATTTCAATATCATGACTATTTTGTACCTCTCGAGATATTTCACAATATAAACGTATAGGTCTAGAATTCTAAAGAAATTACTTCCTGGAAAGTATTCTACATAGATATATAACTCCGTTTTAGTAACATTTTTAGGCATCAGTTTGGTTATACTCTCTATAGTTCGCTCTTATGTCGCGCGTTTTAATTGTTACATCCTTTCGTCTGCCGTCCATCTGCCTATCTTTACTTTAGCTGCCTTAAAAACAGTGCTTCGCCAGTGACAAAGGCTTTAGACCGTGTGTAGGAGGAGCTGTTTCTTACTAGACGAATCTCATGATTTATTGACGATGTCTGTACTGATTCAGTTACCTTTGGAAATCATAATATATTTTATCCCTGAAAGTGAAAGCGCCACCACGAAACTTTTACGTCTAAAAATTGACAAATTGAAATCACAATATTGGTTTATTGATTTGGTTTATTTATTGTAAATGAATAAGAACTCACAACAGGCGAAATTTAAGCGATTTTAAAAACAACAAGCCAAGCATTGTTATGAGTAAGAACTGGTTCGCAGACCTGACTTGACCTCAATAGAACCACACTAATATTAGGCTATATGGAAAGAACTTTAATTAAAAGCGATAACGCGAACCCATATTTGTATATGTTTTACTTCCTGCTTCGCTTCGTGCAGTCATTTTATGATGGCTTTACGACTGAATTCTCAACGAGCTTTCAAACTCCTTTTTCTCCTGGGAATCTTTCTCCTTTTGACAACTTTGGTTAAATGGCCACGGTTATTGGACCTAAGATTCGTTACCAAAAAAGAAATGAGACTATCATTTCTTTCTAGAAACATTGGGACAAAGTCAACAAACCTTTCAAGCTCCGTCTCTTACATAAACGCGAGTAGACAACATGCCGGTTATAGTATATATGGTTCAAAATGTCCATTCAATCGACATAAAGAAACATTAAGATATTTGTTC